TAAGCTCTGTATGATTAACTCAATCTATTCAAACTATAAACAAACTCGAATGTTTTTTTTTTTTACAGGAAATCTCCATTTTCAATATCCACCAATCGTTTTTCTTAGAACTATTCATTATTCCTCCCTATGTTCCATCACAAACAAATAAATACACGTGTTTCTGTACTATTTAAAACTTCACGCGTTTCTATTTTTATTTAAATCCACGTGTTTTCATTTCTTCTTTTTTTTCCACACTGTTAGTTTACGGAAATCAACTTCATCGGAGCCTGTGGCGTAGTGCATAGAGCGTTCGCCTTGCAATCTGAGGGTCCACAGTTCGAATCCTGCTGGCAGCACTTTTTAATTTTTTTTTTTTTTTTTTTTTTTTAATTGGCGTTTTTGTTCTTTTTTTCAACCCAAATGACACGGAAACACTTAAAAAGCTGGAAAGACCTCTTATTGTTCTTTGAACAATAATCTCCTAGTTATTTTTTATTATTTTTCCGCCGTGTGATTTTGAGTTTCAAGATTTATCGAAAAGATTTTAAGTTCATAAGAATGTACTCCGTAAAAGATTTTCGCAGTCGACCCTGCGTATATGAACTATGACCCCTTTTGGAGTTATTACCCCTTTCGCAAAAAAGCTTGTTATCGCTACTCCTTCGAAACCGTAAACAGTAGAGAAATGAAACCTTCACTAATGTCTTCGACTACTTTAGTAGACACTTCATTGATTCAAAAAGTATTCATTGACCCCTTCAGTGAGTTGTTGCCCCTGAAACTTTTTGAATTTTACAAATAATTAAAAATTTTCAAAACAAGAAGTCAAGAGACATGGGACCAACTGCCACACCTTTGACCTTAAAATTTATGTAAAGGTCAAAGGTAATCATTCCAAAAATGAGAAAATTAGCTCTTTTTGTATCTCTTTTGTCTTTCAACATATACTTAATGTCTATGCATCAGTGATATGTACTCTTAAAACTGTTTCAAAGATTTCATTCTTGTCCCCTAAGATTAAACCTTTTAAAAGTTATTGCCCCTTGTGCGAAAAACCTTGTTATTCAAATGTAGACCCTACAGACACCAAACCTTCACTAATGTCTTAAGGGTCTTTCTAACTTCATTGTATAAGTGAAAAAGCAATCTGATGACCCCTTATATGAGTTATTGCCCTTTAACTTCTTTGTACTTACTATTAAACCTTATAACTTGGAAACTATAAGTGGTAAAATTTTACATACATTGACCTTGAATATTTTGACAAGGTCAAAGGTCAACCCCATTCTTTTTTTTTTAATTTTCATTTTTTCTATCATGCTTTAGGAGAGTTTTGGTTTCTTTTTCATGGAAAATTTTTAATGATATAAGCATTTATTTATTGTTCTGTGAACAATAAGTCTCCTAGTTGTAAATGCTTTACATTTTTTTCCTGGGTGTGTTCGATTTGCAATCACTAAGCACAAATTGACAAAACTGGTGATCGTTTTTGCTTTCTTATAGTTCTGTCCTGATTTTTCTTGATCAAAGTCTTTGATCAAAACCAATAGAATCTCCAGTTTTTTTTTTTTTAATATTTGATAAATTTTTTTACGTGCAAGTAAAGTTGCCTGCAAATTTTAGTTTTGATAGATAAGAAACAAAATTCTACCAATCCTAACAAGATGTCAGATTATTTTTATGGCTGTGTTTGACAGTTATTATATAGCTGTATATGGTGATAAACTGTATCATGGGAGATAATTCTTTTATATTTTAATAATCCCACGTGACCAAGAGAGTTCAGCAGGTACGGGTATCCTTATGCCACCGGAGACTGCACTTGTTGTAGGTCATTAGATTAACAAAGGACCCGTGCAGTGGTGAAAAGAATTTTAAAAAAATGACCGAGATTTTGCAATAAAATGTAACATGTCAGGTGGAAGGTAGAATCTGGTAAATTGTTATAATTATCTTTATGCCTAATCAAAGTAACCAAAATGGTTACCTATCTTGATCACACGTTCAGAAAACTGGGTCCGTGTTTTCTTCTGATCACAAATTTCCCTGGGTTCGTGTTCTCTGTCTGTTCACAAAATTATTGATTTTCATCACACCTTAGGAATTTATGAGTCCGTGTTTTCTGTCCTGATCACACCTTAGGAATTCCCCGGGTCCGTGTTTTCTGTACTGATCACACCTTAGGAATTCCCCGGGTCCGTGTTTTCTGTCCTGATCACACCCTAGGAATTCCCTGGGTCCGTGTTTTCTGTCCTGATCACACCTTAGGAATCGTGTTTTCTGTACTGATCACACCCAAAAGCTTTTGAAAAAATAAAATTTTGACTTTCCACCAATGTCCGTGTTTTCTGTCCTGATCACACCTTAGGAATTCCCCGGGTCCGTGTTTTCTGTCCTGATCACACCCTAGGAATTCCCCGGGTCCGTGTTTTCTGTCCTGATCACACCTTAGGAATTCCCCGGGTCCGTGTTTTCTGTCCTGATCACACCTTAGGAATTTCCCAGGTCCGTGTTTTCTGTCCTGATCACAATTTTGTATTGCTTATTGATTTCTTTGAGATAGATCACTGTTCGTTTTTCTTCATCCCTTTCATTGTATATTGTGTAGATTGTAACTGAAACATCGACTTGTTTGCCCATCTCTGTTATCGGATGGTAGCATAATCTAGGGGAAAATATAAACGGTAGATATACCAGATAAGAATTAATTAAAAGCACCCAAGAGCATCAACAAAAAATTAAAGAATTGACACCACCCCCCTTTTTCGAGAAAAATGAACAGACGAAATTAAACGAAAAATGTCCCAACAAAAATCTTGCAATAAAAAGTAATTACTTCTTGAATGTCTGTATGTAATTTTGATTGAAGGAACGAAACATGCAGGCAGATTGCAATCATGTCATTTTCATCCAGCATTTATAAATGTGAAAAATTGCTACATGTAATAATTATCTCTTTGAATTGATTAAGGTTGAGTTTAATTTTATGTTTTCCTCAATTGAAGAAATAAATTAAGATACAAATAACGTAAACTTAATTTAATATGTGACTTATACATTTATTTATTTTATTCATTATTATTATTTCTTCTTTTTAATTTATTATTTAATAATTAATTAATTTATTTTATTTTATTTTATTTTACAAAGAATATTTCAGTAACATGCAGCCACCTGTTGAGGATTAGTCAGTTAAACAAAGTTTCAAGGGGCTAAGCATCCTGGAATATCAAAGGTCAACATTGTTAAGATTCTGATCACTTTAACAATTTAAGGTAACCGGACCTTCCTTTTTGCAGTGTTTTCCTCCTATCCTCAGGTACACCGATATCAATATTATTATCTGATAAATAGACTTGTACTGGTTACAGATACATACAGACATGTTACAAAAGAGCCACTGCAAAGTCTGAAGTTCACATCTGAAATGTGGGGGACCCAAGCCTTGTGTCATATGTAGATTGACTGTATATAATAAGACACACAAAAATGGCTACATTGTAATTGGGAATTTATTGTTTTAAAAAAGTGGACAACTATATTTTTCAGTATTATTGGGTTTTTCCCAATAACTGAACAATTTTCGAATCTCATTTTTAATTGATTAGAAATATGTGGCGTGTTTATGTGTTCATTTTAAATGGTAAGTATTTGCAGGGAACTATAATATATAGGTTCCTGGTATTTGCCTATTGAAATCGCTCAATCTATTATGAATCCGGAATTTGTCAGTCTAGCGGTTCAACTTTTTTGCTGCTATATTCCAATACTGACTTCCCGTCATTAGCGAGGTTTCGTCAGCAGGCGGCAAAGTTTAGAATCTTTTTATTTCAGCATGCAGCAGTATTCTTGTAGAAATTTAAACTGAAACAAAGTGTAAAAAATAAGATTGATTTAATGCATCATAAGACGGTTGTATGGTATTATTTAATCTAGCTGTCCTAGCAGAATATAAAAAAAACAACACGAGAAAAAGAGCAACTGAAAAGTAAGCAAAGTTTAGGCCTATTACATTGGGATTTCTCATAATGTTAGTTAATTGCGACTAAATTATTATGCGTACTAAATTTATATTCAAGATTACATAATAAATCATTCATTCTGAATGAGCAGAATTTCAGTAAAAGACCACTTTTTTGTCTGTTTATTGGCATATGGGTGTATAAGACTGTTACCAACTGGTTACTGTTAGAATAATATAGAATTAGAATTATATCGTGGAAAATGTCATTAAATAACTGTGTAAAATTGTAACCAAGTCCAATACAATGAACTGTTTAACCACCTAGCCTAGCTACAGAATTTACATACATGGTTATATTTATAGCTACTCAAGGTACTTTAGACTTATTTAGCTTTTAAATACTCATGAAAGTGATCGGTGATAGTCCAGCCAGGGAAGAGCCTGAGCTGCTGTTGTCAGGAGGAGAAATGTAGTGGTCAGAGAAATGTAGTGGTCAGACAAGTTCGATCACCAGTGGCCAGGGAGCTCAGTTGGTATAACAACTGACAATGATCAGGGGGCATAGGTTCGAATCCTGATCTGCTCTGTTACATATTTCTTCTTAGCGAGTTACAATTGCATATAGAGGGTCTTGGTCAGAATCCAAACCGTGCATGTCATTGTACTATGCATATTATTATACCCCCCGCTTGAAAAGCATAGAAAAGCTTGAAAAGTATAGGATGTCCGTCCGTCTGTATGTCCGTCCTTGCATTAAAGCTACTTCAAATAGATATGTAAAGCTGTATATAAATAGTAATTCAACCTGTCCTGCTAAATATATGATTATGATTATTGATAATAATATGATTTTATTGGATCCATTGACCCTTAAATTTTGTGAGTGGAAAAGAATTAAAATATGAATTCCAGTTTTGATTTTAAAAGCTTTGCTTCCTTTCATCCTTATTAAACTTATAAAAAATCAAAGAGAAAGAAAAATAATTCGGACTCTGTTTAGACACCTCACACATACCGTAAACCATTATAATGAATTAACGTTTATTTTCAGTTTTCTTTGTTGCTGATGTGTGGACTGTGTGCCCAGTGAAGTGGACAGAACATAATGGAAACTGTTATTTTTTTTCAACACAAGCTTACAGATATAATGAAGCTGACATTTTATGTAGTTCTCGGAATTCCACCCTCGCTATCCTTAAAAATAATGATGACTGGGTAAGAAATGTTATCTTACTTGATTTCTGTGTTTGTTATACAAAACTATAGACATACTTTTTCCATGTGGGATTAATTTCCGCTATGTATGCGGACATTATTTTTCCGCGGTAATTTGTAACGGCATACTAAAGATTAAAAAAGGACATAATGACAATCCAAGATATCTGCGTAATTTAATACTGGCGGATTGAATAGAAATTTTGTTTCCGCGGAATTATGACCCCGTGGAATTAAGTACTTTTACAGTAATATATAATCTAGATAGCAGATTTAAATATACAATCACACCTAAAAATGAGAAATGCATACCAAAATATGAAAAGTTTGCATTCATTCCTTTACCATACAGCCAAATAAAAATTTACTTATAATTTCATTAATAATTTTCAGTAAACAAGGCATACAAGTAATTTCGAATCGAAAAAAAAATTATAGCACTGAATTCTAGCTGTTATTAACTATGGGGAGGGTCAGATCGAATTTTAAAATTTCAAAAGTCAGTATTGCCTTTGTCCTTATGCATGTATATTTACTTTGCTATGTTTTTCTACTAAGCCTACTGTGAAATTGATTTGAACACCATTTTTGTGTATAATCGCAAGTAGAAATATATAGGGAGAAAATTCACATTAATTTGACGTCTCAATGAGGTTACATCGACGTTAGTAAAAATGTAATGATATAGGGCAGGGAGAAGTTCAAATATTGAGTATATTTTTGGTGCTTTCAAACATGTAAAATGTAAATATTAATAAGGAATGTTTTTTAAGTTTAATGTGAATTATTGGTGTGTAAATCACACAGACTTGCACATAGGCGTATTTTTCACGAAGCGCTAGCACGCTTTATGAAATATGCCTATGTGACAAGTCTGTGTGATTTACACACCAATAACTCACACAAAACTTAAAATACATTCCTCATTTACAGCAGTTGGTATCATTTTGAGCATAAAATCAATCAGAATGTTGGTTCTTCGAAAAAGGATGAGATTTCACTCTTTCATAAATGCTTCCCTGACTTTATTTGTTGCATTTGAAATCGGGTACGGGCGTCAAATTTATCAATTGATTTTGACCAATTCCTGCTGAGATGATACAGAAAGTATTATGGTAACTATTCCGTATTTGAACATAATGTATCTTGGCATACTTTTAGTCCTTAGCAATTTGCATAATTAGTTTCATGTGGAACATGGTTGTAAATGGTTGGCCTGCATGCTTTGAGACCTGCTTCAAAACTCCAAAGGTTTCTTAAAAGTCTCTTACTGTTATTTTGGTCGTATTTCAGTCAAATTTGGTATGTAAGTTACTGTACAGCAGGAAATTAACTTGCGGAGTTAAATGCTATATTCCAAAAAGAAATTCATTCCTTTAACATATAGTGAATAATTCTTGAAAAGATTTATTAAATGAAATTTTATTATCATCTGTGATTAGATGTAATGTCATTATAATTATGAGAGTGTATACAAACACGTAGTTGTTGGTGTTTTGTAAGGCTTATTAATTGTTAAATTAATTTCTATAGCTAACGATTATGGTAGTTTGCCATCTAGTAGACGTGCAATGTAATTATTTAATTAAAAAAGCTTGTATAATTTCACCCGTGTGTATCACTTAGTCAGTACCTTTAATCAAGGCACTTGCGAAGTAAAGAGGGTAAGGCCATTCCAGGTTTTTTCTATGTTTAGCGTCCACGTGCGCATTGGTTTTTGACACCCCATATGAGAAAAAAAACACAACAACAGGAGTCCTGAAATTGATAAATTAAGTCGAAATTTTTGAATTTTGTAAATTTCTAATAATGTGTACAGTAAGTTATATTGGGTGCATTGTAAGCATTTAATCCGTTGTTTTTGCTTAAGAATATATAGATATTTCTTCTATCAAAGCAGTTTAGTTAGATCAAATCATTTGAAGGACGTCATTTTTATGACTTTTAAGCTTGTGTTTTTTGCGAATAGGTAGGTAGGTTTTTGAAAGATGAGTGGACTCACACAAAAAAAACTTGGAATGGCCTAATTATAAAGACAATTAATTAATTTCAATTATATGATTAAAAGTTCAACAATTTGACTACTATATATTTTTTTATTTGGCATCGGAAATAAAAAATATTCTGAATGCGTAACATTATTTTGACTTCAAATCGGGATCAGTCCGGTGTTTTGTTATTATTTAATCGGCTCAAAATTGACACAATATATAGACTTGCCTCTCCTGTCTGATATGCGCGATATACAAGAACAAACTTTCGTAAGATACAGACTGAAAATAAAGGTTCACACAGTATATACCTAAAGAAAAATGCTTGCAAGTCCTATTTAAAAAATGTATGGTTTTTTTCCTTTGAGACCTGCTTCAAAGTTCAAAAGGATTTCTTGAAAATTGAACAAATCTGTTACAGTTTTGGTCTGATTTCAGTCAAATTTGGTATGTAAGTTAACTAGACTATCCAAGAAAAATACTCATGTTTTTTTCTCTTTTATGAATGGTGATATGAAGTTTACTGAAAGTTGAAAATTATGTTAATTTTTAAAAATGCTACTCCTAAGATTCTGGTTTGAATTCAGCAAACACATTACATAGTACAACTACAAGACATTGTAGTAAGTTAGAAAATGATAATGTTAATGCAGAAACATAAACAAAGTCAAGACAGTGTATGGCTGCAACTTTTGTTTACCCTATTATAGGTACGGACAAGATGAGCTACAGCCAGAGTAGTCAGGCTTTGTTTACTTATTGATAAATTTATAGGACTTAACCTGAATGATTTTCATTACTGAGAGAGTCAACATACTAGGATAAGTTCAAATAGTTTAAGGTTTTCTAGGGTTATCTATATCATTTAAATATGTCATCTTTTAGTACAGTTAATTTTTTACTGGGCAGAAATTTTAGATACAAATATTTGACATTATGGGGATCCAGTTATCGTCCAGGCATTGTGGATCACCTGCTCTTAAGGTATAAATTAGGTTTAAGTCATTCAACAAATATGCATCATGTTGTTTTAAGTCCAGTTGTACCATCCAAAGAATAGCTGAAAAAAGTAGATTAGAAATAGAGCTCTTTTCAAAGGGATTTAGTTGGTATATTTGATCAAGTTGATTGAGATAGACAACAAGATGTGTTTGTAAAACACTGATGCCCCTATATCATGTCTATGGCAGCATATGTCAAAGATTGAAGTTTTTCAAATGCAAGACAAAATCCAAGGTCAAAAGGTCAAAATTGTTGGTATCCAGAGAAAGGTCTTATCACGACCTGTGAAATATTACTTTTGTTACTATTACTGATTTTTATTGTAGGCTTGGCTTAGGAGCCAGCTAAAGACTCTACAGTCAGACATCTACTGGATTGGGTTAAGGGTTTCCAACAGAACCTGGACTTGGTTAGATGGCACTACATATAATGCAACAAATGTGTATGTTTTAAATAGTTTTTTTTTTCATGATCGCTCAATCTATCATACTGTGAAATCAATAATTTTCATGGGGGTTTAATTTTCATTATCTTTCGAGGTATGGAGAGTCCCATGAATTTATGACCACTAGGAAATGTAAACTTGCATATGCATGACTATTAAACATTTCCCAACCACAAAATCAAATTCCCACAAACCTTATTTTTTTCTTTAAACCTCCAAAGTTCGACCCCATGAAAATGATTATCATGTGATTTTACTGTATATCTAGATTAAGTAATGTTTACTGATGATCAGACAAACAAGGTCACTAGTTGCTACCCAGTAAAGCACGCAGATTAAATGAATGAACATCAATTAGACATGCTAGAAACGCCCTCTCATTTATAGTGATACTGTATATGGTGATCAGATACTGATAAATTAGCTAGGTCAAAGTTAAACCGTACTAGCTAATTGAATTAAAAGTAACCTGATTTTCAATCATATATCCATATTGCAATTCATTTTTCTATGTGCAAAAATTTCAAAACAACCAAATTGCTTTTCTTGTAAAACTGAAACTAAGATTGAAATTAATTTATCGAAAAATATTTAAAGATTGAGAAAAGTAGAATTTCTGTAAATGTTAGTTGTAAATTTGTTCATTTATTACTGTTAAAATAGATTATTAGAACCTTATTAAAATACTCAGAATGCAATAATTTTAATTCAAAAATTTGGAAATGATAAAAGTTATTGGATTTTTAACTGACTGTTTTTGCAGACACTGGTTATCAGACAAAGAACCAAGTGTAACAAATGCTAGAGCTAGCTGTGCCGCTATGATGTCGTATTCCGGGAATTATGGGAGAGTGTATGCACGATATTGTTTGGAGTCACGTCGTGTTATTTGTGAAAAGCCAAATGGTAAGGTTAAATTACACATATACTCAGAATAGTAGGACAATGGAATTGTTAAAAAGAGCATTTTTTAGCTTACTTGAGTGAAAGGCTAAGTTAGCTTTCTTGCTTTCAGTTTTACATTAGAATATATAGGAAAAACTGTTTTAAGCTCCTATCAAGAACAGCAGGACCATGATAAGTCATATTAAAATGCCGGCTTCCCAGGTTTGCAGATTTGATTTCATTCAAGCAGTCTTCACGAAAACTCACTGGTCCGAAGACTGAGGCCAGTGAATTTTGATGTCGGGTTAGTGAAAATCAAAATTCAAGAAGTCCGATGGGCTTGTTGATTATAAAAATCATACACAGTCAATATATATCTTAACTGACTTACTTGCCTAAATTTCATTGATATATATATATAATATAAAAAGAACAAGCATGTGTTGTTGAATCATATTATTGTAACCCTTATTATCATAACATGGATGTATTACGTAACAACCGGAACTAGTTAGTAACTATTAACTAGTACGTAAAATGTGCACCAACGAACAACTTACCGAAACGCAACAAAGGACGAAAAATGGTGGCATTCAAAAGTTGAAGTATGTAAACGTATAAATTTACAGTTATGAAAATGTATTTATTTTATTTTTAGCTCACCTGAGCCGAAGGCTCAAGTGAGCTTTTCTGATCACATTTTGTCCGGCGTCCGTCTGTCTGTCTAGCTGTCCGTCCGTCTGTCTAGCTGTCCGTCTGTCTGTCTGTAAACTTTTCACATTTTCGACTTCTTCTCAAGAACCGCTGGGCCAATTTCAACCAAACTTGCCACAAAGCATCCTTAGGTGAAGGGGATTCAAATTTGTTCAAATGAAGGGCCACACCCTCATTCAAGGGGAGATAATTGGGAATTAATGAAAATTTGGTGGTATGTTTTAAAAATCTTCTTCTCAAGAACCACTGTGCCAGGAAAGATGAAACTTATGGGGAAACATCCTCAGGTAGTGAAGAAAAGCCATGAATGGTGGGGCCACAATGGCCGACCAAAGTTTTAAGAAATATATAGGAAAATTACATCTTCTTCTCAAAAATAACAAAGCCATGATTGATCATATTTATATGGAAGTAGGACAATGGAGAAATATATAGGAAAATTCTTCAAAAATCTTCTTCTCAAATATAACAAAGCCATGATTGATCATATTTTTTTCAGGTAGTGTAGATTACATTGAGTGAAAGGCCAAAGTTTTACATAGAAATATATAGGCTTAACAAAGCCATGATCGATCATATTTATATGGAAGCATCCTCAGGTAGTGTAGATTCAAATTTGTTCAAATCATGACCCCCGGGGGTGACAATCACAATGGCCGACCAAAGTTTTACATAGAAATATATAGGAAAATTCTTTAAAAATCTTGTTCAAAAATTATGCATCCTCAGGTAGTGTAGATTCAAGAAAGTTTTACATAGAAATATATAGGAAAATTCTTTAAAAATCATCTTCTCAAGAATAGCAAAACCATAACAGTTCAAAGGTTTACTTTTGGATTTCAACTTTTCAATAACAGACCAATTTCTACTTTTTCCTAGCCACAGTGCTCAGGTGAACGATGTGGCCCATGGGCCTCTTGTTTAATTAAGGGGCCAGTGAAAATTTTGGTGGTCCAGTAAATTTTGAAAGTTCACTGGTCCGACTGGCCAGTTAGTTTGAAAAGTTTTCGTGAAGACTGTTCAAGTCATGGTCCTGTGAGTAATGTGGGGCCCCTTTCTGGCATCAAAGTTAAACATGTGAATGTACAGAAAAATAAGTTTAAAGTCTTCTTGAGTATAGCAGGGCCATTAGAAGTGTTATTGGTATGCATACATACACAGTTAGTGCATTTTCTAGTCTGTTTCGGCCTATGGTGGAAGTTTGAAGCCCCAGTAGAAAATTTATGCTTTTTTTGTAAGAGCAGACATGTTGAATATCAGTCATTTATGTTTTTTATGTATTTACATCTGTATGTTTGTAGCTTTCTGAATGTGTAGAATAGATGTGTCTTTTGTTTGTGGATTTAAGTCTCTATGTAATTATACCTTAAACTTGCAGATTCCTTTGTCTGTACATATATACCTATTAGTTAATTCTTTGTTCGTGTAGATTACTTTTGTCTATAAATATATTTGTGTCTTTTTACTTGTAGTTTCCTTTGTCTACACAGTCAAACCTGGTTATCTTAAACTCAAAGGGACTGAGAAAAAAAATTTGAGATGTATTACAAGGATTTAAGATACCCAGGGTAAAATTCATGAAGAATGTATTATTATTTGGGACTTAATTTCAAATCACTTTGACATATCCATGGTATTTGAGGTATTGGTGTTCAAGATACTGAAGTTTTGTGATTTTGTAGGTTTGTTTTACTGTTGGTCCAGTTGAACTTCAGTATTTCAAAGCTCAGTATCTCAATGCCATGAATTTGTCAAGTGAGTCGGAAGTCCTAATTACTTTTTCTTCATTTAATACAACCTCAAAATCTTAAACCATTGGATATCTCTTCTTATTTCTCAATCCTGTGAAGTTTTAGAAAGCATAATTTGACTGTATGTTATTATATTTGTAAAATCCCTGACTAATTGTTTCCATGACGTGTATGTTGTTGTGTTGTTGTATTGTATGATAATTGTCTAACTGTTGTGTTGTTGTGTTGTATGATAATTGTCTAATTGTTGTGTTGTTGTATTGTATGATAATTGTCTAATTGTTGTTGGGTTGTCATATTGTATGATAATTGTCTAATTGTTGTTGTGTTGTCGTATTGTATGATAATTGTCTAACTATTGTGTTGTTGTCATATTGTATGATAATTGTCTAATTGTTGTTGTGTTGTCATATTGTATGATAATTGTCTAATTGTTGTTGTGTTGTCATATTGTATGATAATTATTGTTTAATTGTTGTTGTGTTGTTGTATTGTATGATAATTGTCTATTGTTCTTGTGGTGATTGATTCCTTTGTCTATAGTTGTATAATGTTAAATTTGTCTCATCCTTTCTTATATTGTTGTTGTTTTTGTTGAAGATTCCTTTGAGCTGTGTGACTCCAGTGACAACTGGGAGTTTATCAATGGATTCTGTTATAAATTGTTTGAAGAGAAGAGTAACTGGTTTGACGCGCGAGCTGTTTGTCAGCAGAACAACGGTGACCTATATATCCCAACATCTCGCAGGATGATACAGTCCCTTAGTGACCTCATTCCCTGTCGCACTCCCGAGGATAAAGCTTGGTTAGGGATTTCAGATACTGTAAGTTTTGGTGTTTCTTTGGGTTATATTGGTAACTACTTAATTACTTGATTTTTAAATGAAGTAAAAATAATACCGTATAATCCCTAACCGCCCCGGGCACTTAGAAAATTGAACAGTTAGTAATATTTAATGTTATATTTTACATGTAACTTTAAAAAAAATTTTGGAAAAAAAATAAATTCAAAGAACCACTAAAAAATAATTTTACAGTCTGAAAATTTATTGAACCTGATGTTAAATGAAGTAAAAATAATAATCAATTGGTATCTCAAATATCAATATCTGGAATACCCTGGTATCCTAAATATTGATAACCGTGGTGTCTTGAAAGTTTATCTCTGGAATACCTTGGTACCTTGAAAGTTTATATTTGGAGTACCACAGATCAATGAAAGTGAGCTAAAACCACAATTACTTTTAACTTCAATATCTCATTTCCTGTGCTATATCCCTCCGTTCCATTTAATTTGAGATAGCAAGGTTTGACTGTATATGGTAATTATTGCCTCATTTCTTTGTTTACTACAGACCTGGCCTGGACGTTTTGTGGATACAAACAACAAAACATTACGATATCAAGCATTTTATTCCTATGGAAGAATTATTGTGTAAGTATCGGACATGTTTCATAATAAAGTTATGTTGACTGAATCTTTTTACTATCATACGTATTTTTGGACAAAAACAATTAATATATATATTGTAACATTTACATTACAGAAATAGAGGTTCCACTTGTGTTTATTCCAATCCCATGTCTAACTTCTACTGGCAAGCTACACTCTGTAGTGATGAAAACAAATTCTTATGTGAGAAAAAAGCAGGTATACATTCATATTATTTACATATCAATATTGCAATGCGTGTCTTTTCAAATTGAGCAAATTTGAATCCTTTTTTTTTTTTTTTTTACAATTACATATTTATGTTTGAAACTTTTAGTGATCTTAAAATTTTTTTGAGTGAAATATCTTTTTGAAAAAAATATGTAAAGTTGCTTTGCTTTATCTTGTTTTCTGAAGGAACTTGTCCAGTGGGCTGGCAGAGTTACTTGGACAGCTGTTACCAGCTGAATGATATACGTAGCTTACAATCCACCTGGTTCATGGCTAAACAGTACTGCGAGAACCAAAACACATCACTTCTGATTATAGGAAAGTAAGTCACAGAACAGATCTGTGTGGTCAAACTTTATTCTGATGGGAACATGTTACATAATTCTGCAGAATTACAAGATGTGTTCAGTCTGCTGGTAGAAAAATATATAGATTTTCTTAGGTTCCCACTGTTTGTCTTAAATGCATTTTCAATACAATGTAACAATTTTTTGCATTTCAAACATTTGTGGCTGTTTACATAGCTTTAATTAACCCAATACAGAAAAAGTCAATTTACAGTACTTGTTTATGTTTTATGTTAATTAGGAAAATAAAGCTTATAATAACAAAATGAAATGGTAAAGGTTATATGAATTTTTTTTATATTCTCAGTTCAGCAGAGGATAGCTTTGTTAAACAGCTAATGAACAACCAGAAAGTTACTACAGCTTGGATTGGTTTTTCCGGTATGTTGATCATTGTGTCTGTAAATACAAGCTACATTGTATTTACTGTTTTTTTTTTAGTGTTTACATGTATGTTGAGGAAAAGCTAAAATTCTTTCCAGCTGTCATATAAAATGTACAATGGTTTTCATCTAACACGGGTACTTTTGTTTTTGTAGGAATCCCAGTCTGATGTGCTGAAGTGGGTGAATGGTAATTCTTAAAGTAAATTTTAAACCCAGTCCTAATCAGCTGTCATATAAAATGTATATATACGATGGCTACTGGAATAAAACAACAAGTAATTATCACACTCAATTAACACTGGTACTGTGCTTACCTGGATAAGCAATATTTTCTAAATCCGATTTATTCATTCAATTTTATTAAAGTAAAATTAAAATTTCAGAAAAATGAATTTTTTATTGTACCTTTATTTTAATTTTTTCAAGCCGGTAATAGGAACTTACAAATTATTATCCCCTTTTTGTGCTACATTTTGTGAATTAACACTGTTTTTTTTTTCCTTAAAATAATATAGATATATGTGTATGTGTGATAAAATAAAGTTTTGTTTAATTTTTTTTTATCTATCTATCATTTTTTAATTATCATTACATGGTGCAAAAATACAGTATATGTTGTACATTAAAATCTATAGTAATCCCCTTTTTGTGCTACATTTTCAAACTCTTTTAGATAAATTGACAGAAATGTTTTTTATTCGTAAAATAATATAGATATTCATGTATGATAAATAAAGTGTTTCTATCAAGTTTTCCTCAATTTATTTATTTATTATTTTTTATATCAAAACATTCTATTAAATAATCATAAAATACACATGGAGTTTATGAACTTCTTCACCTTGCATAGCAATTCTTTAGGTGCGAAGAAATATATGGAGGGCTAAATAAATTGTAAATATGTGTGATATGAGAGTGAAACAGTGTTATCTTGTATATAATGTGAAAATCTGTGGCAAGGTTCAGGCAGGTAAATCACCTGTTATGTATATATCAGGAACCAAAACAATGATCTTGAATTCATATTCTCCAAGATTTAAAACAAATAACACTAGTAGGAAACAAGGAATATAGATTTCCTATTTATAAATTTCCAGGCTCCTCCTCGTCCTCCTGGTCCAATGGATACTGTTTTATATCACTGCCGTTTATATGTAAAGCTAAAATGATAACAAGAATTACAAACATAACCAAACCAGGTAAGCTTACATTACTGGGAAGATTTCATAGGAATATTGTTTTTAAACCTATACTTTAGCTTTACTGAGTCAATTGCTCAAAATAAGCTTTTTTGATAAGATGGTGTCTAGCATTTAAAGTTTATATGTAGACTTAAAAAGTAAACTTTTATGTTTGTTTTACTTTTTGAAGTCCTGTCTTTATGTAGTGATGGCTTGTTATCGTACATACATTTGTTATGCCCTCCTTCGAAGAATGGAAGGCATATTCCTTAACTGCTGTCAGTTGGTCTGTTGGTCCACCATCAGTTTCCATTCATTTTCTTCGCAGTGGTTTCACATATTGGAATGAAATTTTATATACAGATTTATCAAAAAATATCTAGGTCAAGTTCTGTTTTGGGTATGATGTGGCCATTTTGGACAGAGTTATGCCCCTTTGATCTCAGAAAAATTCTAGTAATTTGCAGTTTCTGTTCATTTTTATCGCAGAAGTTGCACATATTGAAATTAAAACAAGTAGAGCTTTAAAAAAAAGCTTACCGTCTTTAGCAACAATCTTAAACAGTTAACTGATCTACACCTATCAGGCCACATAGTTCTTGTGAATTTCTTGATTTTGTATTTTTCTACATTAGCTTTTTACTGGCATTAGCCCTACCACGGTTGTCGCTCGGTCATCTCCGTAAACTGGTTATTTTATGTGTTTCGGCAAACCTGTAACGGCTGATTCCACTCACTTCTTCAAACAAGAAAGGGGAAAAGAATAATAACAAATTGTAAAGCCTGCAAGCAGTTAAAATCAAATTTTATTTATAATGAAATTAAAGAGATCTTTTTATTTATTGCTATACAAAAAATCATGTTAGTAGGAATTCCAATTACTGCTGATTTTGTTGTTACCTTTTATATGTCATTTTTTTATAAGAATTGAAAATCTTGACAAAATTGTAGATGTCGTACGAAAATTAGATCATCAGAAAGTTATCTCCCTTGCCTTGAACAGCATTTCACTGCACAATGAAATAATTGAAAATTTTCATATTCATCATGCATTTTTTCCAGGAATTTCTGCACTTTTAGGCAATGGCCATACCTTTTATATAGAGAGAGAGGCAAGTGCATAGTTGCACAGAAGTCAAACTTTGCAGTTATTTAAAAACTTCAACATATTACAGGAAAATACCGTCTTCCTTTTTAAAGGAAGACGGATAATCAGCAACTCTTCATAAATACAGATTTATCATGACAATGTTTAGGTCAATTTTGTTTTGGGTATTTCGAGCCATTTTGGACAATTATGTGCCTTGGACTTGGAAAAATTGTTAATCATTTGTAGATGTGCATATTACCAGGAAAGGGGGGCATAAAAAAGTGTTTTAAAAACATCTCTTGTTAAATTGAATTAAACATATTTACAGCCACACAATCACTATTACTGTGGGTGTTTACCATAATTAGATCTGATTTTATTTTATGTGTTTACAGGCCATACCTTTTATATGTAACAGTGGCTGGTTACATAAACCACTGCATCTGAACTGTTATTTTATGTGATATTACAGGACACACCCATTGTAACAGTGGCATATTACAGTTTAGATCTGACTGTTATTTTTAAGTGTTTCCACAGCCAACAGACCCATATTTTAATATACTGATGAACAGTTTGTCAGCACCACTTATTTTATGTGTTTACAGCCCAGACCCATTGTAACAGTGGCTGGTTACATTTTATAGAGTTTTGACTGTTATTTTATGTGTTTACAGCCCAGACCCATTGTAACAGTGGCTGGTTTGTATAATGCCAAGAAATTTTATTTTATGTGTTTACAGCCCAGACCACATTTAACAGTGGCTCATATGCAGTATAGATCTGACTGTTATTTTATGTGTTTTCAGCCCAGACCCATTGTAACAGTGGCTGGTTACAGTTTAGATCTGACTGTTATTTTATGTGTTTACAGCCCAGACCCATTGTAACAGTGGCTGGTTACAGTATAAATCTGACTGTTTTTTATGTGTTTACAGCCCAGTTCCATTGTAACAGTGGCTGGTTACAGTTTAGATCTGACTGTTATTTTATGTGTTTACAGCCCAGACCCATTGTAACAGTGGCTGGTTACAGTATAGATCTGACTGTTATTTTATGTGTTTACAGCCCAGACCCATTGTAACAGTGGCTGGTTACAGTATAGATCTGACTGTTATTTTATGTGTTTACAGCCCAGACCCATTGTAACAGTGGCTGGTTACAGTATAGATTTGACCGTTATTTTATGTGTTTACAGCCCAATCCATTGTAACAGTGGCTGATTATAGTATAGATCTGACTGTTATTTTATGTGTTTACAGCCCAGACCCATTGTAACAGTGGCTGGTTACAGTATAGATCTGACTGTTATTTTATGTGTTTACAGCCCAGACCCATTGTAACAGTGGCTGGTTACAGTATAGATCTGACTGTTATTTTATGTGTTTACAGCCCAGACCCATTGTAACAGTGGCTGGTTACAGTTTAGATCTGACTGTTATTTTATGTGTTTACAGCCCAGACCCATTGTAACAGTGGCTGGTTACAGTATAGATCTGACTGTTATTTTATGTGTTTACAGCCCAGACCCATTGTAACAGTGGCTGGTTACATTATAGATCTGACTGTTATTTTATGTGTTTACAGCCCAGTTCCATTGTAACAGTGGCTGGTTACAGTATAGATCTGACTATTATTTTATGTGTTTACAGCCCAGTTCCATTGTAACAGTGGCTGGTTACAGTTTAGATCTGACTGTTATTTTATGTGTTTACAGCCCAGTTCCATTGTAACAGTGGCTGGTTACAGTTTAGATCTGACTGTTATTTTATGTGTTTACAGCCCAGTTCCATTGTAACAGTGGCTGGTTACAGTTTAGATCTGACTGTTATTTTATGTGTTTACAGCCCAGACCCATTGTAACAGTGGCTGGTTACAGTATAAATCTGACTGTTATTTATTTGGGAATGACTCACTCCAGTCCTGGACCAATGCCAGACATGTCTGTTATAGTTATGGTGGTGACTCGGACTTAACTACAATTAGAGATCCTTATGAACAGTCCTTTATCACAGGTATCTACATGTATCTCATCCACAAAAATCTGCTTATGAACAGACTGTTTTTACAAATACTTCACTGAAGCACTCTTTTCTAACAGCATTATTATAGTTTCTAGAGCTGAAACGAATACCATAAATCAATATTCAAATATTTGTGACAGTTATTCGATTTGTATTCGAACATTCGGTAATTAAATAAAAGAGTTATTATGCCTTTTCATTCACTTGCAAATCCTATTGTTTATTAATATATATCTATGTATTTAAGATAAGTGTAAGAAATAAACCTTTGTTCAAAGTCGTTTGACATGTACAATGTACATTAAGACTCGCGTTTATTTTCAAGAAAAATCTAATTTAGAAAAAGAATCTTTATCAACAATCATTAGCCTCTTTACTTCTTTAAATTAGGTCACTGTATTGCATTCCGATTACGTAAAACGTGCAATCACCCAACCAGCAGAAGCTTGCCATGTTTTACTGATATACATGTATTAATAAAACAAACAACGGTCCATTTCCAGAAACATCCTGTAAATTTATTTATTCTATATATAAATTTAAGATATAACATTCTCAAAAAAAGTATAATATATTGTATATTTTTCATATATGATTTCTGCAATTATTTATAAATTATAAATCTGAACCATCGATACTGTTTGTTAATCCAGAATATTTTCTCCACACAATAAAAATCTTTTATTACTTTCGATAATCATGGTGGTCATCGTCATATATCTAAATTAAATTGGAGATACATGAGGAATGAATGTTTGGCTTGAAGATAATTAAATAAATTTGACGTTGTGTCTTTATCAGGCCAGTAGTACCATGTGGACAAAGTTTACAACCTGCCTTATACATGTATTTGCTTTTGTTTGCTTCTTTTTCCACTGTGATCAAAAACTCTGTGGATAGACCTACATAATTTTAGTGCATGAAATATGGGTATTAAACATGTGACTGAATATTTGAATGCAAAAAAAATTTACCATTCGAACATTTGTGAAAAACTATTCATTCGCAAATGTTTGAACATCCGTTTCAGCTCTAATAGTTTCCTAATAATACTTGATGTTGATATCTAACCTTTTAAAGTAAAACATTTCCAGAACATATACCTGACATTGGAACATCTTGGATTGGTCTAAAATATAGTGCTGAGTATCAGAAATTTAGATGGGTGGATTCAAGATTTGTCAATGTAAGTAAGATTATCTATCAGTTGATTGAAAGCAACAGGAAACTTGCTTATGGGAAGTTGAAGATTTTTCAGCTTTGACTAACAGTTTATAATGAAAAAGAATGATGAGTAATTCTTTGATTTTTTAATAAAATTTATTACTTTATGTATTGTAGACCGGGTTTCAGAATTTTTTCCCTGGTGAGCCTGATGATGTAGATGATGGTGCGTACTGCATCAAGATAAAGTCTGGACGCCAGGATTTTACCGGGGCCTGGGATGATGAGAACTGTACTAGTCCACTGAGTTTTATATGTAGAAAAAAAGCAGGTTAGGATTTCCTATACAGTCTCCTTGTCAAAGCAGTCCAGCAATGTTTAACAAATGTTTAGCATACACTGCAATGATATCAACAGGGGAGTATATAACGAACTTTTGTTACGACAGTAATTTTCGGTTCTTTCTAAAAGATTAAACAATTTTCTTCTTTTTCACAGAACCAGGGGCAGTGTCAACTGTACAGCCATCAACTACCCCAGGTTTGTGATTTGTTTCACCCGTAAATTCCTTATAAAACCATGAGTATCCTCAAATTAAAAAAAAATTTATATATTCATCTGTTGCTTCGTTGTGATAGAGAATGATATTTCTAGAGATGAAAAAAATTTAAAGGTCTGACATATTATCTTTGCAGCTCCTTGGAATGCTGCGTGTGGTCAGGGTTGGATATCAAACTCACTCAGTAACACATGTTACAAGGTGGTGCTGGGAAAACCAAAGACATGGAATGAAGCATTGTGGGATTGCAACCAAATGATGGGGACCTTACTCAATATAGAAAGTGTTAGAGAGCAACATTACATACAAGGTGTGTTATCTAATGTAGCCTAGGTCAGTCCAAAATCAGGGAAATGAATATTTACAGAAACTACTGGAAAATTGACCACTAAATGAAAGTGTAATATTATGAGTAAAATATTATTGCATGTGGTATTTACACACACACCTGTTCCTTTTCTATTTCAATATGGTAGAAATTCAAAAGACTGACTTGAATTTAAGAAGGTTGTTTATAGTATGTTAGACTGGAGTTTACTATTTGACAGGAATTCTGAGTACAGGTGTATATGCCAGCATTCAGTCCAACTTTTGGATTGGGGGATCTGATGCCACAAGGGAGGGTGGCTGGGAATGGATCAATGCTACACTACCCTTCGCTTATCTCAACTGGCATCCAGGTAAGATCCAAACAAAGAAAGCAAGCAATAAAGCTAGACCCAGTCTATAATAAAGAGGTATATAGCTTGCTGCAGATTTGTATACTCAGAGATCAAAACCTATTTTAACATACTTTTGAAACTGAAAGTTAAAGAAAATCTTTAAATCTTTAAGACAAAGTGATTTATCTTAGTATATCTAGCAATTAGCTGTCAGTACATGTATATAAAAAGAAATCCTGATATCTCATTATTTAAGTGTTTGAGTTTTGTTTTGTAGGGGAACCCAATGAGGCGTTGACGGGGGAGGATTGTATGGAGATGGTCACGTCCTGGGGGTACCAGTGGAACGACAAGCGATGTGACCACGAACAGCAGTACATCTGTAAAAAACCAGGTACTACCTCACTGTGATAAATCAGTCATGGCAAATCAAAGATCAGATGTGTTTGATTAATCTATTGGTGGTTTGAATTAAATCGCCACAAAAACTTACTACAGTAAAATTTGTTTAGTTCGAACACGGATATTGCAAATTCATGGATATAGCGAAGTTATTTTGGATCCCCAGATACAAAAATTTCATGAATTCCTTGTACGGATATTATTAGTTATCCAGGTTCAATCTAGGGTGTACGGGGATTTACCCTGGGTTTTATTCCATACACCCAAAGGGTGTATGGAATACAACCTGGGGTAAATCCCCGTACACCCTTGATTGGACCTGGATAACAAATTTATTTCCTCTGTACCCATAAAAATGCTTTATAAACATCAGAGTGTAATCAACTGTCACAGTCTATCGATTAATATATAACTACGTACTACAATGCATCGTGACGTCATGTTATTTGGTTTTTATCATAGAGAAAGTATGCATTGTGACGTCACGTTATATTTACACCCAGCTCAAGTCAGGTGCACGGATATTTACACCGGACTTTGTAACCAATCAAAGCTCGTGTTACAAGCTATAAGGAAATAAAAGGAATTACAGATATAGCGAAGTAATTTCAAAGGTCCCAGTGACTTCGTTATAACCGAGTTTTATTCTATAATTATAAAGAGAATGTAGGTCTCTTGTATGGGATCAATTTTGAGAGGGATTTTATTTTACTATAGTTTTTGAATGTTAATTTTTCTTTCTTTGATATTTTTGTCAGCCATAATACCAACAACTACAGCTGGTGCTCCTACTCCACTCACACCAAGTAAGTTCATCTTTACATAACTAGATTGAATCTTACTCTATAATGGTATATTTTCAGATAATCATTTTTTAAAGAATGGTCACTGAACCATTGTTCCGGTATAAAACATTACTTTTTCTGTGTCAGAGAGCTGTGTTGGGCAGCCCCTTATTTCAGGGGACTACAGCGTTCTGGATGACCGGATTATGGCCTCGTCTATCCACGATACAGGACACTCTGCTCAGGCCTCCAGGATATACCCGGGAAGTAAAGGTAACCACAAAGACACATGACTGGCGGAAAATGGTCGAAAAAGTGACTTTTTAAAATTAAGACACCCAACTGTCAAATATTATGCAGTTCCTAACTTCAGCACATTATTTTGAAGTTTATCTGATTAAAAGGATTCTTGATCATAACATTGCTTTAAATTTTACTTTTTCCAGGTGGTTGGAAAGCTCAAACCAGTGCAAATGGCCAGTTAATCCAGGTGTCATTTTATTACATGGCCATCATCAAGGGTGTGGTCACAATGGGTCGCTCGGATGCCCTTGAGTGGGTCACAAGTTACAAGATTCGTTACCAGTACGACTATTACTCAGAGTGGAACTGGTATGAGGAACCGCCAGGAACCGTCAAGGTGAGGGAAGGGGGATTGTTAATAATTTATTGTGCCAACCCCTCTGTAACAAGGTCATGGATTGAAATCAAAACAATCTTCAAGTATATTTAAAATTAATCGTGTACAGTGTATCTGAACACTGAACATGTGAAAACTCAATCTCCTCATTCAGAAGTTTACCAAGCCACACTTTGAGAGTCTCATGTACATGTGTGGAAAAAAAAACCAAAAAACAAAAAGAAAAACAGAAAAAAAATGAAAAAGCGAAAGTTTACTTTGTTTTTGTATTTTATCTAATTTCATTTACTTTTGTTTGCCCTGAAGGTGTTTACAGGAAACACAGACAATGTGAACACAGTGAACAATACAATACAGTTCCCTATAGAAGCCAAGGCTATCAGACTGTACCCAGTCACCTGGCACGGCGCCATCTCCTTACGCTGGGACATCCTGGGCTGTATTGAAGGTCAGAACTAGTACTCACATTCATACGATAACAGCCAAAAAAAGAAAGTTTATATATTTTATGGATAAATCTTTGTTAAGCATTTACTGATTGTGTGCAATCAAATTTATATTAAACGGTTGGGTTTGGTTGGGTTTTCAGATTTCTGTAGGGATGAATATGCTGTAAGTGGGCCACTGATTGTAGATGACAACAAAATAACAGTGTCCTCCATGTCTGACCCAAACCACAGTAACACAGCCGCCCGCCTCCACAGCCTCCAACCCCTAAAGCTGCCCCAGGGCTGGAAGGCAGCGGTAGACGACAGTAATCAGTGGATACAGGTGGATCTGGGAAAATCCATGAAAATCCGCGGAATCACCACCATGGGGAGCGCCATCAGACAAGAGTGGGTCACGTCCTATAACGTCATCTACCGCGTTGACACCCAGGAGAACTTCTATCAGGAACCCTACGGAAACGTGAAGGTAAGTCACGTCCTATAACATCATCTACCGTGTGGACACCCAGGAGAACTTCTATCAGGGACCCTATGGAAACGTGAAGGTAAGTCACATCCTATAACGTCATCTACCGCGTGGATACTCAGGAGAACTTCTATCAGGAACCTCACGGAAACTTGGAGGTAAGTATGTCCTATAATGTCATCTACCGCGTGGACACCCAGGAGAACTTCTATCAGGAACCCTACGGAAATGTGAAGGTAAGTCACATCCTATAACGTCATCTACCACATGGACACCTGGGAGAACTTCTATCAGGAACCCTACGGAAATGTGAAGGTAAGTCATTAGAAGGATATATCAATTTTATCATTTCTAGAGGATTTATATTCTGAGTCCACATCAATGATGTTTTTCAAAGCAATCACCAAGTTTATCTCAGTTACTACAAACAGATAGGTGAAGGATGCTAAGGAGAAGAAACCAATAAAGGGTCAAAGGTCAAAATGATAGAATTGATATGTGGTGTGATAACTTTGATACATTTGACAAATACGTCAAACTTAGAACAAAGGATAGTGGATAGTTAGGGGGATGAAACCTACAGATTTTTGGGTCACTAGTCAAAAGTCAAGGTCAAAAGTTAAACAATTTTTATTGACAAAAACATTCGTATGATGCAATAACCAAATTTTTTCTACTTCGGAATTCACCTTCAAATCATCAAGTAAACAATGTATAGATTTTTCTATAGATTGTAAAGTTATTTGATTAAGGTCACATTTATTTTTGCTGCCTATGCCTACTTTTATTTGACATACAGTATATGGGGAATATTAATGAAAGGTAGATGGACACTTTAAAAACATTGTGAGCTAGGAACAAAATGGTTTACTCCACTCTTAATGATTTATTTCACTCCTAGATTAATGATTATATTGAATAAATATTTAATATCATTTTATTATAGACAATCCCTGGAAATGTAAATAACAATGACACAGCAACCTACTTTTTCAAACTCCAGTTTGAAGCTCGTTACATCAAAATCATTCCTATCACATTCCATGGAGGAATCTCTATGAGATTTGATGTTTTAGTTTGCCAACATGGTGAGTCATTTACATAGTTACACAATGTTGATTCAGTCACAGATTGACCTCAGTATATGTTTTCCTTGTAAGTGAATAAATGTTTGAAACAGATCTTTTTCTTTGAGATGATTAGATAAAGGAGATTCGTACTAATGTCAATGATGCAATAACATTTTATTTGTAAGAACTTTATTCATGCATAGATTCTATAAGATAGAAAATTTAATTAAGGTCTTCCGTTTCCAACGGAAGACCTTCTACTGATTCTGATGATTAAGATTATTCTTACTATTCTTTTTTTTTTCCTTTTCCTAGATGCCAACTTTGAGACCTCATATTTCACTCATTTCTCAACGGATTTTTCTCAAATTTTCAGAGTTTATAGACGTTACTAAACTCTATCAGAATTTTGTCTAGCATTTCAAAAATTCACTTCCGGTTTTGATTTATTTCCCTTTAAACGAAAATTTATAGGCTTTCATTTCCAGACAAAGGCTCGGAGATGGCAAAAGCTGGAGCAGAAATTTTACTGATTTTACACAGTAGAATGATTGAAGTTGTGCATAGGGGTTTTTGTTTTTCGATTTCTCTATTCAAAATGGTGCTATATAGGGGTCAAAAATTAGAACGCCTAAAGGAGCAAAAATTTACACATATTTTGCTTTTTATCTTCTAAACTAAAAATATTCTGTTATAACATATAGAACAAAATTTGTGCAGAATTACAAGATCTTTCAAATGATATCTCGAAAAAAGGGCTGACCCCTAAATTAAGGGATCTAGAGGGGCCAAAAGTTTTTTTCCTGATATCTCAAAAAGTATTGAGAATTTGTAATACGTCCAAGAAGCAAAGTTGTTCAAAATGTCAAGATTAATCTACTGAAGTCGTCAAAATGCGTCCGGCGACGTCACGTCCGGTCAAACTGGAAGTCGTCAGAAAATGCATATTTTGCCGTTCTTGACAAGTTTTTGGGTACCATATGTCACTGGAAGCATAAAACTTAATTTTCCGTCCGTTGACATCACTTCCGGTCAAAAATAGCTTATTTTTTAAGTTTTTGATGCAAAATTTAAATTATAAAGTGACTGGAGACGACTTAGCTCATTGTTTTCTTTTGTTGATGTCACTTCCGGTCAAAAGTCAAAACAGGGCGGAAGACCTACTCGTTGCTTTGCAACGAGCTTTGCTCTAGTTGTTTATAAAGTAATTGGAAGAATTTATAAGAATACAAAAATTATGTATTGTAGAGGAATGCAATGCTGTTGTCTCATGAAAATGAAGTAGCATGCAATGCAGTGCAATAACATAAAGTACAGTGTACTAGTAATGACCACTGTAAACTTATTGTAGAAAAAAGATTCCAACAATTACAGGATTTTAATGATACTCGCATTCAAACCTTGGAGATGCATTTAATTGGCATGTTGTACTTTATAAGTTTAACAGAGATATGTGTAAAAAACACAATTCCTGCAGGTTGTAATGCGGAGCCCCTTATCAATGGCAGAAAGAAGCTCCCTGATGATTTGATAAATGCCTCGTCTTCAGTGGACAATGACCATGGCCCGGCACGGAGCCGCCTAAATCAACCGTCCCAGGGAACATACGCGGGGGCGTGGGTCCCGCTCTACCAGGACACGCATCAGTACATAGAGGTCAATCAAAATCATCCCCTTTCAAAAATAATTCTTGGGTTGAATTTATTTTACATTATAAAAAATTATTTCTACTATGACGCATGGGCAAGCACAGATTTCTAAAAAAAAATGATTTAATTTTTAGAATTAAAAAATCATAATTTGAACCAACCAAACAAACAAAAAGTAGAATTTTTACATGTACTATCCCATATTCAATATATAAAACATGATTTAAGTTTTATATCCGTAATTCGTTATATCCGTATAACGAATTCGTATAACCATCATAGCGAATTCGCACGTATGCATGTTTTCCTTCAAGTACTACTACCAACTATGTTAGTGAAGCAAATATTATAAAACATATCTTCGATAACTAAGGTTTTCTTATGAATTGAATTTTATATACAAATGCTTAAAGGAAGTAAAGTTAGTTCAATTTATCAATTTTTATATAATCTTTGAAAGTTCATTATAAAAGATGTAAATTTCATTATATTTAACCTCAACGGGACTCAAAATCAGTTCGCTATATCCGTAAATTCGTTATATCAAAGTTCGTTATAACCGTAAAATTTTACAAAGATTTGTTAAGAATTTTGCCGGGGACCCAGAAAAACTTCGCTATATCCGTGAATTCGCTATATCCGTGTTCGTACTAAATGAGTTTTACTGTATAAAACATGATTTAAGTTTTGTTATTTGTTATTATTAACCATAAAGACAATTAATTAAAGAAATTGTTAATGGTGTTCTAATTAAAGCTGTTGCACATTCTAGGCAGATTTTGGTGTGGGAATACAGATTGTTGCTATAGCAACTCAAGGTCGACAGGAGAGGTCAGAGTGGGTCACCCAGTACACACTGTCTTACTCTGTGGACGGAGCGCAGTGGCTTATATACGATGCTTTCACCAGAGTTCCCATAGTAAGTCAGGACCCAAATTACATACTTGTTCACACTACCACTTTACAAAGCTTGATTCAAATTCAAGAAACCAAACAATCGAATTTGATTGGACATGAATGATTAAGATCCAATACAATGTGAAAGCCTTACTAAAATGAAGACATTGAATACGCAACTATATTATCAAAAGCATATTTCAAGCATATATATGTACAGTGTATGTTAAATGTTGGAAATTCTTTCAGAAATTTGAAGGAAACTTTGATAGCAACACTGTGAGGAAACACTACTTGAGTATTCCAATGATAGCAAGAAAAATAAGGTTGTGGCCAACAAACTTCCATACCAGGATAGCTCTGCGATGGGAGATTTATGGGTGCCCAGGTAGTTTATATTAGATTTGATGTTTAAGTAATAAGAAATGTAAATTCTGACAAATATACTGTACAAGAATGCAACATATATATCATAAGCTACATATTGTTATTGTAAATAAAAAAAAAAAATTAAAACTTGGACATTCGTGTGCATGAATATCAAGAAAGTAAAGCATGTATAACTTTCACTGAGATTTGTTTTGACTGTTTTGTGATTGCTTAGTTAAGTATAATTTACTCAAAAACTTAAAATAGCTGAATAAAGCATATCTTTACCCAAACAAAGCTGAGTATGAATCCCTATACATGAAATCAATTGACTGAAGGAGAAATTACTTTTAGGTGCTGATTCTGGAACCAGAGTGGGTTGCTATGCTGACAATCCCCATGATCGAGATCTGACCTACGAACCATTTACTGACCCCGCAGTTGGAATGTGGCCACCCATGTGTGTCCACCATTGTTTTAACAAAGGATATTACTATGCTGGTCTGCAAGCCCAGTTCAAGTGTTTTTGTGGTAACTCCTATGGGAGATATGGACCTGCCACGGACTGTAACCTGAGTTGTTTCCCTTTGACGAGATACCAATGTGGAGGGAGACAGTCCAGCATGATCTACACAACAGGACTCAGTAAGTCTTATGTTACACTCTAAAGCATTTAGGCTTTTTTGAATTTTTTTTTACATGAGCTCCAGTAAAATACATTCACCAATTTTTTTGGTACCATTTTCTTTTTGTCTAATTCGGTACGTACTAACTCTTGGCATTTTGTTTAATACTAACTCTTGGCATTTTGTCTAATACTTACTCTTGGCATTTTGTCTAATACTGTAAATGTATTATATTTAGCTCGTACGATATTTGGCGGAAATTGTATTTTGAACAAGTTAGCGTGGATTTGATTTAGTGCATATTTTATTGTTCTTCTTTATAGATATATGTGCGAGACATTTAGCGTTGTAATTAAATTAGCGGATATTTCTTGCCGCTAAAAACGCTAAAAAGAATACACAACCAAATGTAATACGTTTACATACTTACTTTTGGCATTTTGTCTAATACTAACTGTTGGCATTTTGTCTTAAACTGATCTGTCTGTTGTTTTTTCTGTAGCTCCTGCTAACTCTGTCTGCCTTCCGGACTGGAAGGACTACAACAATCACTGTTATCTGATGATCCTGAACAAATACAGCTGGAGTATGGCCCGGTCCAAGTGTCAGTCCATGGGGGCGGACCTGGTCACAGTTAACAGTCAGGCGGAGCAGGACATGGTCTACAGCATCATCAGCAGCAGTAAGTTTACAGGCTAAATACTGGACTCGCTAATCAACAGTTATACAGTTACAGGCTGATAGAATACTAGACTCACTCATCAACTGTCATTTATTTAAAGGCTGATAGAAAACTAGGCTCACTTACCAACTGTCATATATTTATAGGCTGATAGAAAACTTGGCTCACTCACCAACTGTCATATATTTAAAGGCTGACCGAGGAAAAACTCGAGAGATCAAGAGTTCAATCAACTGTCATATATTTACAGGTTTGTTTGACAGGTTTTAAAATTAGTCTTACCGGATGTAATGATTTTCAACAGTCATATGTTTTACACGTGGTTTTTATAAAACAACGATATATTTTCGTATTTTAGATGAATATTTATTAAACTGAGTAAAGCAAATAGTGTACATTTATTAATTTTTTTTATCATACGGACATCATTCTACGCGTTCGTTATATGAAGACGGCATTTTAACAGCGTGGCTTGGTACATAGCATTGTGACTTTTCCAAACATGTGCATTGAACGAAATTCTGTATGTATTTGTTCAATTATAGTCGTCAAATTGACAACGAGGCTGTTTCTGAATTTTCATATTTCGTTAAACTTTAAAACTGATTCAAAGTAAAATATTAAATTCATCAAGTGTTTCGTCTTGTAATCTGCCATTACAATTCCTCAGCGACACTGCATTTCTAAATTACCGTAATACAGACGATGATCATTATTCTAATAGCATATAGGCACCATAAGATTAATTATAAATCAATTATCACCTTGCAGAGAAAGTGTCACCTGAATAAACATCCCGTTTCACGGGACCCACGCCTTCTGCCTGGGGTCATTAAATGTCCAGGTAAAGTTGCTAATACTATGTAACTGGGTTTGTAAACACATAGCCACTTCGAGGTTTCAAGGGTAAATTTCAATAGAATATGCACAGCGGGACTGCATTTTGACTTCGAGGGATCAAGGGTTTCGAGAGATCAAGAGTTCGAGAAATCAAGAGTAAATTTGCTTAGTTATATAGTGGAAAAAATCAGGACCGGAGACTCACTTCCAGCGATCAAGAACTTCGAGATATCAAAGTTCGAGCCATCAAGAGTTACCTGCATTTAAAGGCTGATAGAAAACTAGGCTCACTCATCAACTGTCATACAGTTACAGCCTGATAGAATACTAGGCTCACTCATTAACAGTCATATGTTTACAGGCTGATAGAAAACTAGGCTCACTCATTAACTGTCATAAATTTACAGGCTGATAGAAAACTAGGCTCACTCATTAACTGTCATAAATTTACAGGCTGATAAAAAACTTGGATCACTCATTAACAGTCATATATTTACAGGCTGATAGAAAACTAGGCTCACTCATCAACAGTCATATATTTACAGGCTGATAGAAAACAAGGCTCACTCATTAACAGTTATATGTCTTCAGGCTGGTAGAATACTAGGCTCATTCATTAACAGTCATATGTTTGCTGTAGGGATGGCAATTTGTAACTGGTTAACTGATTCCTCGGTCGGAACGATGGCAATTGGTTAGAAAATCTGTAATCGGTTAGTCGGAAAAAAATAATTTATATAAATTTCAACCTACAGTAATTTTGTTAGAAAATTCATTTTTGAAAAAAAGTAAATCTTTGCATAAACGTTGATAATTTAGTGTTTTCTTATATCCAAGCAGACTTGAAGTAATTATGGTTCTCTGGATCGAGATTGAAGGGTAATTGGTCATTTTGTGTTTGAAGTGTTAATTACTGTTAAAACACTAAGTCATTATGCCGACTGTCCTGTATTTCTTTAATGATGATTAAATTACCGTTAAGAACTGCGAATAATAGTATGTTTGGATTTTTTTTGCAGTTATTCTGTCGAATAAATTACTTAACAAACTTTGTAAATTAAGTGATGTATTTCAGACTTAGTTTTAATTATGGTGACAATTTCAGACTTAGTTTTAATTATGGTGACAATGCATGTGTGTTGCATTGAAAAAATTTCAATGATTTGATACATAATGTGGTTTTTTTTAATTTCTTCACAGTCTATACTAAACCGAATGAAATATATAACCTTGTGTTTTTAACTCACCTGAGCCGAAGGCTCAAGTGAGCTTTTCTGATCAAAATTTGTCCTTTGTCTGTCGTCGTCATTGTTGTCATTAACTTTTCACATTTTCGACTTCTTCTCAAGAACCAATGGGCCAATTTCAACCAAACTTGGCACAAAGTATCCTTAGGTAAAGGGGATTCAAATTTATTCAAATGAAGGGCCATGCCCTTATTCAAGGGGAGATAATTCAGAAATAGTGAAAATGTTATGGTATGACTTAAAAATCTTCTTCTCAAGAACCACTGTGCCAGGATAGATGAAACTTATAGGGAAGCATCCTCAGGTAGTGTAGATTCAAGTTTGTTCAAATCATAACCCCTGGGGGTAGGGCGGGGCCACAATGGCCGATCAAAGTTTTACATAGAAATATATAGGAAAATTCTTTTAAAATCTTCTTCTCAAGAACCACTTTGTCAGGAAAGATGAAACTTATAGGGAAGCATCCTCAGGTATTGTAGATTCAAGTTTGTTCAAATCATGACCCCCAGGGTAGGGCGGGGCCACAATGGCTGATCAAAGTTTTACATAGAAATATATAGGAAAATTCTTTAAAAATCTTCTTCTCAAGAACCACTGTGCCAGGAAAGTTGAAATTTATAGGGAAGCATCCTCAGGTAGTGTAGATTCAAATTTGTTCAAATCATGACCCCCCCGGGGCCACCCCCCATAGAAATATATAGGAAAATTCTTTAAAAATCTTCACTGGAATAGCAAAGGCATGAATGATCATATTTATATGGAAGCATCCTCAGGTAGTGGAGATTCAAGTTTGTTCAAATCATGACCCCCGGGGGTAGGGCGAGGCCACAATGGCCAATCAAAGTTTTACATTGAAATATATAGGAAAATTCTTTAAAAATCTTCTCAAGAATTAGCAAAGGCATGAATGTTCATATTTATATGGAAGCATCCTCAGGTAGTGGAGATTCAGGTTTGTTCAAATCATGACCCCCAGGGTAGGGCGGGGCCACAATGACCGATCAAAGTTTTACATAGAAATATATAGGAAAATTCTTTTAAAATCTTCTTCTCTGGAAAAGCAAAGGCATGAATGATTATGATCATATTTATATGGAAACATCCTCAGGTAGTGGACATTCAAGTTTGTTCAAATCATGACCCCTGTGGGTAGGGCGGGGCACAACATGGAATCCAAGTTTTACATAGAAACGTGTAGAAAAAATCTTTTAAAATCTTCTTTTCAAAAATAGCAAAGCCATGATTAGTCCTATTCATATGGAAGCATTCTCAGGTAGTGTAGATTCAATTTTATTCAAGTCATGACCCCTGGGGTAGGGCGGGGCCACAATGTAAGTTCAAATGTAAAGGGCAATAAAGCCACAGGTAGTCAAAGAAATATGCAAGCATCCTTAGTTAATGTAGACTGAAGTTTGTTCAGGTCATACCCTCTCCCTTTTAAGGATTGTTTGGGACCACTTTTGGGTTTCAACTTATTTATGCTTTTTTCCTAGCCACATTGCTCAGGTGAGTGATGTGGCCCATGGGCCTCTTGTTTTAAAAGCAAGAATCAAGACAAATAACATCTAGACTTTATCAGTCTTCTTGTTTATATGAATAGATCGATAGAAAACTAGGCTCACTCATCAACTGTCATATATTTATAGGCTGATAGAAAACTAGGCTCACTCATCAACTGTCATATATTTATAGGCTAATAGAAAACTAGACTCACTCATCAACTGTCATATATTTAAAGGCTGATAGAAAACTAGGCTCACTCATTAACTGTCATATATTTAAAGGCTGATAAAAAAACTTGGATCACTCATCAACTGTCATACAGTTACAGCCTGAGGGAAAACTAGGCTCACTCATCAACTGTCATATATTTAAAGGCTGATAGAAAACTAGGCTCACTCATCAACTGTCATACAGTTACAGCCTGAGAGAAAATTAGGCTCACTCATCAACTGTCATATATTTAAAGACTGATAGAAAACTAGGCTCACTCATCAACTGTCATACAGTTACAGCCTGAGAGAAAACTAGGCTCACTCATCAACTGTCATATATTTAAAGGCTGATAGAAAACTAGGCTCACTCATCAACTGTCATACAGTTACAGCCTGGGCTCACTCATCAACTGTCATACAGTTACAGCCTGATAGAAAACTAGGCTCACTCATTAACAGTCATATATTTACAGGCTGATAGAAAACTAGGCTCACTCATCAACTGTCATATATTTAAAGGCTGATAGAAAACTAGGCTCACTCATCAACTGTCATATATTTAAAGGCTGATAGAAAACTAGGCTCACTCATCAACTGTCATATATTTATAGGCTGATAGGATACTAGACTCACTCATTAACAGTCATATGTTTACAGGCTTATAATTTGGCAAGATAGCTATTTTGTTTTTATGAAAAAAAAGATACATTTTTTAGCTCACCTGAGCCTTCGGCTCAAGTGAGCTTTTCTGATCACATTTTGTCCGGCGTTCTTCTGTCTGTCTGTCCATCTGTCTGTCTGTCTGTCTGTAAACTTTTCACATTTTCGACTTCTTCTCAAGAACCGCTGGGTCAATTTCAGCCAAACTTGCCACAAAGCATCCTTGGGTGAAGGGGATTCAAGTTTGTTCAAATGAAGGGTCACACCCTCATTCAATGGGAGATAATTGGGAATTAATGAAAATTTGGTGGTATTTTTAAAAATCTTCTTCTCAAGAACCACTGTGCCAGGAAAGATGAAACTTATGGAGAAACGTCCTCAGGCAGTGTAGATTCAAATTTATTCAAATCATGACCCCCGTGGGTAGGGCGGTGCCACAATGGCCGACCAAAGTTTTACATAGAAATATATAGGAAAATTCTTTAAAAATCTTCTTCTCAAGAATAACAAAGCAATAATTGATCATATTTATATGGAAGCATCCTCAGATAGTGTAAATTCAAGTTTGTTCAAATCATGACCCCAGGGGGTAGGGCAGGGGCACAATGGCCCACCAAAGTTTTACATAGAAATATATAGGAAAATTCTTTAAAAATCTTCTTCTCAAGAATAACAAAGCCATAATTGATCATATTTATATGGAAGCATCCTCAGGTAGTGTAGATTCAAGTTTGTTCAAACCATGACCCCGGGGGGTAGGGCGGGGCCACAATGGCCGACCAAAGTTTTACATAGAAATATATAAGAAAATTCTTTAAAAATCTTCTTCTCAAGAATAACAAAGCCATAATTGATGATATTTATATGGAAGCATCCTCAGGTAGTGTAGATTCAAGTTTGTTCAAATCATGACCCCCGGGGGTAGGGCAGGGCCACAATGACCAACCAAAGTTTTACATAGAAATGTATAGGAAAATTCTTTTAAAATCTTCTTCTCAAGAATAACAAAGCCATAATTTATCATATTTATGTGGAAGCATCCTCAGGTAGTGTAGATTCAAATTTGTTCAAATCCTGGCCGACCAAAGTTTTGCATAGAAATATACAGGAAAATTCTTTAAAAATCTTCTGATGAAGAATAGCAAAGCCATGATTGGTCATGGGACTACTTTTGGATTAAACTTTTCAATAATAAACCAATTTCTACTTTTTCCTAGCCACAGCGAGCGATGTGGCCCATGGGCCTCTTGTCATAATTACTCTGGTCATTGATGTAATACTATAGGCAACAATGACATTTTTTAGCAAACTGTCTCATTAATTACATTGCATTTTTTAGCTCACCAGAGCCGAAGGCTCAAGTGAACTTTTCTGATCACCTTTTGTCCGGTGTCCGTCTGTCTAGCTGTCTGTCTGTCCGTCTTTCTGTAAACTTTTCACATTTTCGACTTCTTCTCAAGAACCGCTGGGCCAATTTCAACCAAACTTGCCACAAAGTATCCTTGGGTGAAGGGAATTCAAGCTTGTTCAATTGAAGGGCCACGCCCTCATCCAAGGGGAGATAATTGGGAATTAATGAAAATTTGGTAGCATGTTTTAAAAATCTTCTTCTCAAGAACCACTGTGCCAGGAAAGATGAAACTTATGGGGAAACATCCTCAGGTAGTGTAGATTCAAGTTTGTTCAAATCATGACCTCCAGGGGTAGGGCAGGGCCAAAATTTAATGGCCGACCAAAGTTTTACATGGAAATATATAGGAAATTTCTTTAAAAATCTTCTCCTCAAGAACCACTGGGCCAGGAAAGATGAAACTTATGGGGAAACATCCTCAGGTAGTGTAGATTCAAGTTTGTTCAAATCATGACCCCCAGGGGTAGGGCGGGGCCAAAAAGGCCGACCAAAGTTTTACATAGAAATATATAGGAAAATTCTTTAAAAATCTTCTTCTCAAGAAAAGCAAAGCCATAATTGATCATATTTATATGGAAGCATCCTCAGGTAGTGTAGATTCAAGTTTGTTCAAATCATGACCCCCAGGGGTAGGGCGGGGCCAAAATGGCCAACCAAAGTTTTACATAGAAATATATAGGAAAATTCTTTAAAAATCTTCTCCTCAAGAATAACAAAGCCATAATTGATCATATTTATATGGAAGCATCCTCAGGTAGTGTGGATTCAAGTTTGTTCAAATCATGACCCCCAGGGGTAGGGCGGGGCCAAAATGGCCGACCAAAGTTTTACATAGAAATGTATAGGAAAATTCTTTAAAAATCTTCTTCTCAAGAATAGCAAAGCCATGATTGGTCATGGGACTACTTTTGGATTTAAGCTTCTTGAGTATAAACCAATTCTGCTTCAAAACCTAGCCACAGTGCTCAGGTGAGGGATGTGGCCCATGGGCCTCTTGTTTAACTCACCTGAGCTAAAAGCTCAAGTGAGCTTTTCTGATCACCCGTTGTCCGTCGTCCTCTCTCTAGCTGTCCGTCCATATGTAAACTTTTCACATTTTCAACTTCTTCTCAAGAACCACTGGGCCAATTTTATCCAAACTTGGTACAAAGCATCCATAGAAATATATAGGGAAAAAAATTTAAAATCTTCTTCTCAAGAACCACTGGGCCAGAAAAGCTGAAAGTTATGTGGAAGCAGCCTGGGGTAGTGCAGATTCTAATTTGTTCAAATCATGGCCCCCGGGGGTAGGGCGGAGCCACAATAGGGAATCCAAGTTTTACATAGAAATATATAGGAAAAAACTTTAAAACTCTTCTTCTCAAGAACCACTAGGCCAGAAAAGCTGAAACTTATGTGGAGCCATCCTGGAAGAGTGTAGATTTTATCTTGTTCAAATCATGGCCCCCGGGGGTAGGGCGGGGCCTAAATAGGGAATCCAAGTTTTACATAATAATACCGTAAATCTGGAAATTTTTACGTCGATTTTATTTTGCGAATTCAGGTCAAAATGCTGTTGATTAATTTTTACGTTTTAAAATTTTGCGAATGTCCACTGCTTTGTTTACATTTTCTTATTGGTAATTTATTTTTAAGAAAAATATTTTTGCGAATGCAATGAACTCGCAAATTTGCTAAAAATTTATCTACAGCAAAAATTTCCAGATTTACGGTATATAGGAAAAAAATTTTTAAATCTTCTTCTCAAGAACCACTGGGCCAGAAAAGCTAAAACTTATGTGGAAACATTCTGGAATAATGTAGATTCTAAATTGTCCAAATTATGACCCCTGGGGGTAGGTTGGGGCCATAATGGGGAATCCAAATTTAACATTGAAATTTATATGGAAAAATCTTTGAAAATCCTCTTCTAAAGAATCATTAGGCCAGAAAAGCTGAAACTAATTATGTGAAAGCATTTTTGGGTAGTGAAGATCTGAATTGTCCAAATTACCCCCGTTGGTATGGCGTGGTCACAATTGGTATTACAAAGGGGGGATATCTGTTAAAGAACAGCATGGCCAAACTTCTCAGGTGAGCGATGTGGCCCATGGGCCTCTTGTTCTTGCTTCTATTGAATAGATAAGTTTAAATTTTCTTTTTTTTCTTTTTTTTTTTTTGTTGTACAGACCAGGGATCCGATGTTTGGATAGGCCTGAATGACCATCACGAGTCTAGTCTGTTTGAGTGGGTCAGAGGTGACAGGGTCAGGTTCACCAACTGGAACATCAATCAACCGCGACAGCCGGGAAACACCAACCAGAAATGTGTCATGCTTAATTCTACAGTAAGTATAACAAAAATTGTATCATGCTAAGGTAAGAATGACAGAAAATGCTGAAACAAATGCTTCATGAGAATTAAGGAAATACTGAATGAATTAGGCTACAGAAACCTCTGGCTACAACTTGCCAGTCTAGTTGAGGGTTTTAGAAGGAAAAAAGTTTCTTCGGCACATGTGTTTGATATACCATTATTAGTTTTTTTTTTTTGTTTTTTTTTTACAAAAACTAGCTTGACAATCATCATAATAGAGTGAATCATGTATCAAACTATTACTTTCTTTGAAAACATTTCTTTAATAAAGTCTGATAAATACAGACCATTACTTTCTGAGTGGTGTATTTTTAAGGATGGGGGCTGGCAGACAGACAATTGTGACTCTACGTACCAGTTTGTGTGTCAGGCGGACAAGAGACCCTCGGAGAAACCGACCACTACCCCGCAGGTCCAGGGCTGTCAGCCAGTAAGACAGTCTATCTTCACTGTTATCAGTGACGATTACTCTTAATATGACCAGTCTTCTAAAATGATTGGTCACTCTAAATTTTTAAGTATATTGATGATTTATTTTCTGCGGTTGTTATCGTAGAATATTCTGATCTGTTCAGTTGATGAATTTAAGAGTTGCATGTTTATGAGAGATAGATGATACGATTTTTCTGTTTGAAGGGATGGACGGCCTACCGCTGGTCCTGTTATTTGGTATTAGACATGCCCCGGACTTTTCTGGATGCCCAGAGGGTTTGCAGGGACAATAGAGCCACCCTTGTACAGGTCGATGACAGGTAAAGTACTGAATATCTACTGAATTTTATCAGAAATTATGAACCTATTATATGTACTAACATTTTTTACACGTGGAATAAAAACCATTCTGTTAATGATTACACTTACCCACTAATACACCACTAATGCAAGAATTAGCAATTATTTGTCTTTAAATAGGGTAACTTCATGATTTTGCTTGTTAAATAACTGATACGAGAAAGTTAATGCTTAGTACCAACTTGAACTCAACTTTTTTCTGCTTTGTTGTGCTATATTTACACGTTTTAATAAGCTAATTAGTCTAAAACACTTAAACATAAAATTAATTTAAAGTTGTTTTTTTTGCCTATTTCACATTAAAAGAATTGAGACATGCTGATTTCTACAGTTACAGTATATTATCTTTATCATACATGTTAACTCTACTGATTTAGGCGGGAGTCTACCGCTTTTTCACTCCATCTCCCGCCTACCGATTTAATTCAGAAATCTACCGCTTTTCTACAAAAGTTGCGTCTAAAGTATTTTTGGTTCGCTTGGGTATCCATTTTTGAAGCCACTCTCATGAAATCTCTTTAGATATCGCGTGATTTGACTCGGAAGCATACAAATGCTTTTTTAGTATCGATGTGTACATAAATTTCAAGCACGAATTTGACAACGACAACAGCACAAGATTACCACTGATTACATTGGTTACGATAAATTTAGTCAACATCACTGCCTTGAAAAAGGAGATACAGCTTTTAAGAAATAGATGAAAACGTTTGACATCGTCTATAAAAGCACAGGAGCTCACAATGTTATCAATAAAGTCAATAGAAATCACTCGATTGACCAAGCCATGTGGCACATCTCTACTTTCGTTTTCGATCATCGCGGGAAATCTGATTTATATAACGAAAGATAGGAACTTGTTTTAGATCTAGGTTAAACCATGTCATCATTTGTTTTGTTTAACAACTGAATGAACATTCAGAATTATTGCTTCTAGGCTATATCAGCAAAGATCACTCTTCAAAAGGCTAAATTAAACAGCCAATCCAAGCAAAATGATGAGCATGAACAATATTTGAATTTGTAAAATTTATGTCAAACTTAAGGTGTTTTTGTCTGCTTCTTTAAAGTGCTGTTGATATTTAAGATTAATTATTGTAGGTTTCATTTAAGGCTACATTCATGTATATTACATGAAATATATCGATAATCCAAGCGTAAAACAACGCGCGCGCAATGCTACCGCTTTTGAGGTCTGAATCTCCCTATTTTTCATCGCAATAGGTTAACATGTATGTCTTTATTTTTGACAGGTATGAGCAGTCTTACCTATCCAGTGTCCTGGGACAGAAAACTGGAATGTACTGGACCGATGTGACTGACCTCAGGTCACCCGGCACGTACCGTAACTATGACAACGGATACCCGTACCTGACTTACACAAACTGGGGCAACCAGAGACCAGCAAGTAAGAAGAGAAAGATTTGACTGACTTACTTTTATGTATGGTATACACTAGGGCTGGGTATTGGCCAGAGATTTCGTATTGCAATATATTGCGATATTTTTAATTGTATTGCGATATGTATCGCAATATTTTAAATGAAAATAAAATGGCATTTTCTTCTTATATTAACTTTAATTCATATGCAGAATGTACATAACTATGATAAATAAACAAAAGAAAAAAATCTTGTTGATTTTTTTTAAGTTATGCTCTGAAATATATCCATAAAACAGCTTCTGTCTTACTGCTTCATAACAAACTTTTCTTACATTTATTTTTATATTTAATGGTAAATTTCCTTAGTCAAAGAATTTTGCTGGTATATCGATATTACAAAAACGTATTGCAATACGATATTTTTTGTCATTGTATTGCAATATATTGAAATATCGATATTTTTGCCCAGCCCTAGTATACACTTCACCAATCGCAAGTAAAAAAAATACTTGGTGACTGTTTCCCTAGAATAATGGTCATTTTGGTGTCATTTACTCACAGATGAAAAATTGCATGATTTCTAAATGCCTTATTCTGTTTTATTATTTGGTGGCAATACATGTACTCTGTATCTGCTTTTACTTTTTTATTGTTTGGTGGCAATACTCTGTATCTGCTTTTATTGTTTGGTGGCAATACTCTGTATCTGCTTTTATTGTTTGGTGGCAATACTCTGTATCTGCTTTTATTAGCTCACCTGAGCCTTCGGCTCAAGTGAGCTTTTCTGATCACATTTTGTCCGTCGTCCGTCCGTCTGTCTGTCTGTCTGTCCGTCCGTCCGTCTGTAAACTTTTCACATTTTCGACTTCTTCTCAAGAACCAATGAGCCAATTTTAACCAAACTTGGTACAAAGCAGCCTTGGTTGAAGGGGAGTTTAAATTGTTAAAATGAAGGGCCAAGTCCCTTTACAAGGGGAGATAATCAAGAAAAGACAAAAATAGGGTGGGGTCACTAAAAAATCTTCTTCTCAAGAACCAATGGGCCAGGAAAGCTGAAACTTATATGGAAGCATCCTGGGGTAGTGTAGATATTAAATTGTTAAAATCATGACCCCCTGGGGCAGTGTGGTGCCACAATAGGGAATCCAAGTTTTACATAGAAATATATAGAACAAATCTTTAAAAATCTTCTTCTCAAGAACCACTGGGCCAGGAAAGCTGAAACTTATGTGGAAGCATCCTGGGGTAGTGTAGATATTAAATTCTTAAAATCATGACCCCCGGGGGTAGGGCGGGGCCACAAGAGGGAATCCAAATTTTACATAGAAATATATAGAACAAATCTTTAAAAATCTTCTTCTCAAGAACCACTGGGCCAGGAAAGCTGAAACTTATGTGGAAGCATCCTGGGGTAAAGTAGATATTAAATTGTTAAAATCATGACCCCCGGGGGTAGGGCGGGGCCACAAGAGGGAATCCAAGTTTTACATAGAAATATATAGAACAAATCTTTAAAAATCTTCTTCTCAAGAACCACTGGGCCAGGAAAGCGGAAACTTATGTGGAAGCATCCTGGGGTAAAGTAGATATTAAATTGTTAAAATCATGACCCCCGGGGGTAGGGCGGGGCCACAAGAGGGAATCCAAGTTTTACATAGAAATATATAGAACAAATCTTTAAAAATCTTCTTCTCAAGAACCACTGGGCCAGGAAAGCTGAAACTTATGTGGAAGCATCCTGGGGTAGTGTAGATATTAAATTGTTAAAATCATGACCCCCGGGGGTAGGGTGGGGCCACAATAGGGAATCCAAGTTTTACATAGAAATATATAGAACAAATCTTTAAAAATCTTCTTCTCAAGAACCACTGGGCCAGGAAAGCTGAAACTTATGTGGAAGCATCCTGGGGTAGTGTAGATATTAAATTGTTAAAATCATGACCCCCGGGGATAGGGCGGGGCCACAATAGGGAATCCAAGTTTTACATAGAAATATATAGAACAAATCTTTAAAAATCTTCTTCTCAAGAACCACTGGGCCAGGAAAGCTGAAACTTATGTGGAAGCATCCTGGGGTAGTGTAGATATTAAATTCTTAAAATCATAAAAGGGAAGGGGGTAGTGGGGCATGATAGGTATAGCAAGAGGGGAAATCTGATAAGAACTGCATCACCCAAGTTACTCAGGTGAGTGATGTGGCCCATGGGCCTCTTGTTTTTCATTGTTTGGTGCCAATACTCTGTATCTGCTTTTATTGTATGGTGGCAATACTCTGTATCTGCTTTTATTGTATGGTGGCAATACTCTGTATCTGCTTTTATTTTTATTGTTTGGTGGCAATACTCTGTATCTGCTTTTATTTTTATTGTTTGGTGGCAATACTCTGTATTTGCTTTTTAACCTGTGACTATTTCCTACTTGTGGTTCATTAGGTGGTACCTCCCGTTGCGTGGCCATGAACTCGGGGGCCCGTGCGGGGTTGTGGTATGACATCCTGTGTAACATGACCTCGGGGGCGGTCTGTGAGAAACTGAGACTGGGGTTCACATCTCCCGCCACGCCACCTCCCACAACAGTAGGGGTACCATGTCCTGACGGCTGGATCGAAATCAACAACTACTGCTACCAGGTACTGGGGCAGATCAGTCTGTAATTAAATGGAAATTCTTTTTATTATGTGTCAGTACATGGAAGGTATTCTGATGCAGCTAAAGGTCTCTTTCTTATATGGTAAATCTTCATCATTACATGACTTACACTTACATGTGTCTTGACACGCTAGAAGAAATAACATTAAATGATTCATAAACCTGTAGGTAAACAATATGCCACAAAACAGGAGGGCTTATTATGACGATGCTCAGGCTGACTGTAGAAACCAGGGAGCTAACCTAGCCAGCTTCCATAGTGCTGCAGATGCCAGCTCCCTCTGGCGAGGACAACTGGTGTAAGTTTGATAGAAATTGTAAAGAACTGTAAATATTCTTGAAATCACTATATAACTAGAGGTGCTGTGAGCATGGAGCTCACTAAATGATACCCCCGCCTCCCATATGATTATACTGACCTGTTTTGCTTTTGGAGAGCCGAAATACTGTATAGCGGGTTGTTTTAGCGGGGTGCTAATTTTGGCTTATTTTGGTGTTTTGATGATTGCCTGCGAAAATTTTTATTGCAGAAATATTCAGTACTCTTTAAGTGTTCATCAACAAAGAGCTGAAACACTGTGTCTGCTAAAATAAATTACGCCAAAATTATTGGCATACCTTTGAGCAGGCAAAATGCCAAATTTTTCACCTGCCAAGAAAACCCATTATACAGTAAGTGTCAGATGAAAAGTAAAATAGGAGGTGCACAATGGCATTATGTAATAAAGAATCTATGAAAGTATCATTAAATTTTTAGCTCACCTGAGCTGAAGGCTCAAGTGAGCTTTTCTGATCACATTTTTTCTGGTGTCTGTCTAGCTGTCTGTCCGTCTGTCTGTAAACTTTTCACATTTTCAACTTCTTTTCAAGAAGCACTGGACCAATTTCAACCAAACTTGCCACAAAGTATCCTTGGGTAAAGGGGAATCAAGTTTGTTAAAATGAAAGGCCTCGCTCTCTTTCATGGGGAGATAATTAAGAATTAGTGAAAAAATAATGGCATCTTTTAAAATTCTTCTCCTCAAGAACCACTGGGCCAGGAAAGATGAAACTTATATGGAAACAGAGCTGCCAACCCTTACAATTTTGGCGTAAGTCTTACGAAATTAGCACCTAAAATACGCCTTAGGATTTCTCTCTATATTCTTCCGATTTTGGTTTTTCTCGATCAAAATTAATAATACCAGAATTTTCATAGCTGGCTGTCTACAATTTCTACTATTATAATTAAATATTCATAATCCTTACATTGCTTGCTTCTGTTGTTGTCTCAGTTTTAGAAGGCTGATCGTATTCATGTCAATGTTTTAAAGTAAACAAAATAGAAACATGCCTCAAATTGCTCCGATTACATGTCCATTTAAAACAATATCTTCAGCGGCTTGGGGCCTAGGCGGTCCCCGGAACCTGCCTTACTATTTGTCATTTCAGAATGTTGGCAGCTCTGTGGAAACATCCTCAGATAGTGTAGATTCAAATTTGTTCAAATCATGACCCCTGGGGGTGGGGCAGGGCCACAATTGAGGATCATAGTTTTACATAGGAATATATAGAAAAATCTTTAAAAATCTTCTTCTCAAGAACCATTGGGCCAGGAAAGATGAAACTTATGTGAAAACATCCTCAGGTATAGTAGATTTAAGTTTGTTAAAATCATGAACCATGGGGATGGGACGGGGACACAATTGACGATCAAAGTTTTACATAGGAATATACCCGGTATAGGAAAAATCTTAAAATCTTCTTCTCAAGAACCAATTAGCCAGGAAAGATGAAACATATGTGAAAACATCCTTAGGTATATTAGATTCAAGTTTGTTCAAATCATGGCCCCCTGGGGGTAGGACACAGCCATCATTGTCGATTGACCATACCATCAAAGTTTTGCATATGAATAGTTTATAGGAAAAATCTTGAAACATCTTCTTCTAGAGAATAGCAAAGCCATGATAAGTTATACTTAAAATAAAGTATCCTCAGGTAGAGTAGATTCAAGATTATTTTAGTCATGACCCCTGGGGGAAGGGAGAGGACACAATGGGCAGTCAAAGTTTTTAATATAGGTGTATATAGGGAAAATCTGATGAGAAACAGAAAAGACATGATTGGTCATATTTATACAGAAGCATCCTCAGGTAGTGTAGATTCAAGATTGTAAAAATTATGATCCCCCGGGAGTAAGGTGGGGCCACAATAGGGGATCAAAGTTTTACACAGGAATGAATAGGAAGATATCATTAAAAATCTTCTTGAGAACAACAAATTCATGGTTAGTCATACATGTATTTATATGGATGTATCCTCAAGTAGAGTAGATTCAAATTTGGTCAAATCATAACCTCTGGGGTTAGGGCGGGTCCACAATGGACAATCAAGATTTTAGATAGGAATATATAGGAAAGATCTTCTCAACATGCTCAAGAACAGCAAAGTCATGATTGGTTATGTTTTTATGGAAGCATCTGCAGGTATAGTGTAGATGCATATTTGTTAAAATCATGACTCCAAGGGGGGGGGGGGGGGGGGACCACAATTAAAGTTCAAACTTATAGGGAAAAAAGCAGTGGAAGTAAAAAAAAAAATATGTAATCATCCTTATATAGTTAGTGCAGATTCAAGTTTAGGTAGATTTAAATTTGTTAAAACCATACCCCATTTTAGGGTCAGGAGAGCTTATGCATTTACTTTGATTTTTGCTTGTTCCTAGCCACAGTGCAGAGGTGAGCAATGTGGCCCATGGGCCTCTCGTATTTAGTGGTATAAGAGGAGTTTCGGATAAGAGATGGGTACCCTTCAATATTAAAGAAAAAATGGCAGTGTCAATTATTTGCTCTTGAAAACTCAAAATATGTGTCCGATCAAAAAGTAAAATAGGAGGTGCACAATGGCAATACATGTACATGAATTAACAAAGATTCTGTGAAAGTATCATTAAATTTCATTCAGTGGTAAAAGAGGAGTTGCGGATAAGAGATGGGTACCCCAAAGCGTAACAGACGGACGGAGGGACAAACAGACAGAAGGACCGACGTACAGCTAGATAGACAGGCGGACGGACATCCTGATTAATATATACCCTCCCACGTTTCAAGCAGGGGGGTATAAAAATAAACATTTTCATAAATCATTTATATTATTTTCCAGTGGGGCAACAACTAATTACTGGATAGGGTTGGATGATAATCATATTGATGGAAACCAGAAAGGTAAAGTTCCACTTTGAAAACATCTAAAAGAGATCAATTTTCTATGTTTGAATATGAACAGTCTAGTTCCTACATACCAATGGTGTATAAATTTTCATTCAGTATACAGATGGAAGGATGGATCGAGTCTGGATTATGTGAACTGGGCTGACCATGAGCCAAACAACTTCCACGGATCAGAAGATTGTGTGGAACTAGTTGTCTGGAATGGAAAGTGGAATGATGTGAACTGTTACTCCAAACGAAACTGGATCTGCAAAATCCCAAAAGGTATTTAAATGAGCTTATTACCATTAAGTACCGGTATAACAAATATTTTCAGAAGGATTTTTGCACTTAGGAAAAGCAGATGCAAGATGACTTCTGTACAGTTGAATATGAAGATTTCAATTTCGTTTTTGAGCAAGTGTTAATTTAATGTACTTCTTGTTTGGATCCAGGTTCCAACTCCTATAAAATGAGAACCACTCCATTTGCTCCCTCTGCTGGGCCTCGTAAGTAATATGTGTGATTGAGACTTAATTGTTGTAAATCATTTTGTTCTTAATTATATCTGATGGAATTACAAATAAACAAGGATTTCCTTTCTGTAGCTGGAAGCTGTGGTTCAGATGTTGGCTGGGTGTTCTATAAGAACCACTGTTACCTGATCTTGGACGGGGCGGGGAACCAGGCCAGGACGTGGCGAGAAGCCCGGCGATTCTGTCAGACCAAGGGTGGAGATCTCATCTCTGTCAACAGTGTATTGGAGCAGTTCTTTATTCAGCACCAGGTTAGTCCAATAAAAATTAAGTAATTAAGCCTCAACATAATTGTTCAAAATTCTTAGTATACAGCTTATATTTGGCATCTTAAGTACCCTGAGATTTACCCAGGATTTATATTACCTACACAGTGACGTTTGTTGTTGATTTCTTAACAAGACTGTAAAGCTGACACAAGAATTAGTTGATGCTAGACACATCATGATTCAATCTATGTCCACTGAATTTAAATAAAATGTAAAGAATAAAGATTGCTTTAAGCATTTTGTATTTGCAAAAGATTGATATGAAGTTTGCTATAATTTACAAAATTTAAATTATTTACCATATACTGTAAACCAACTTTTATTCGCAAGGACTATTTCATGATTTACTGGGGTTAAACTAGTCTGTGATGATTAATTTTCGTGATCAAGTCTTTTTTGGATCTGTTGTTAATAGACACAGAGACTTTAAGGACTGGTTTGCGGTGAGAAATATTTGTGATGATGAGGCTCTCAAGAACTTTGCAAAAATTTCTCACAAGCAAATAAAAGTTGGTCTACAGTATGTAGTATAAAGGATGTTAAACCTTGTTCTACAATTTTGCTTGACATTCTAATACCTTGCAGACTTTGGATAGGTCTTGAGTGAGGTGGACTTTGGTATTGGTTATAAGTAAGTTTTCACTGCTATGAAAAAAGATAGATGCATTTTATTATACCCCCCGCAAACGAAGTTTGGGGGGGTATATAGGAATCACCTTGTCCGTCTGTCCAGCTGTCCGTCTGTCTGTGCAATCGTGTCCGGTCCATATCTTTCTTAATCAGGGATTATCTACTACTCCACACTAAGATGCTCATGACCAAGGGTGTGTCATGACCTTGACCCAAGGTCATAGCGGGGAAAACAAGGTCACTGTTGTATAAGAAAAATTTCAAATTCGTGTCCGGTCCATATCTTTCTTATTGATAAACTTGGTAGGTTCTCATTTCACACAAAGATTGCCCATGACCCAAGGGTGTGTCATGACCTTGACCCAAGGTCATTTGGGGAAGTTCAAGGTCACTGGAAGAAAATTTTCATAAATCATGTTTAATACATATCTTTTATAGATAAACTTGGTAGGGCATTTTACACAAAGAGCCCATAACCCAAATGTGTCATCGCAGACCTTGACCCAACAATCATTTGGGAAAGTTCAAGGTCACTGGTTTTTTTTATATTCCTGATAGTACATTTTTTTTTATAGATAAATTAATTTCTCAGATTTTACACAAAGAGCTGACAAGGGTGTGTATGACCTTACCCAAGGTCATTTGGGAAAGTTCAAGGTCACTGGAAGAAAATTATTTATATTCCCTGTCACGGGCCATATTTTTGTTATGCATAAACTTAGCATTCTCATTTCACACAAAGAAAATTTACACATGACCCAAGGGTGTGTCATGACCTTGACTCAAGGTCATATTCAAAAGTTCAAGGTCACTGGAAGAAAAATTTGATAATTTTGTCCGGTTATATGTAATTAAAAGTAGGAAAAGTATTCACACAAAGATTGCCCATGATCAAGGGTGTTGACCTTGACCCAAGGTCATGGAAAACAAGGTCACTGGTAGAAAAATTTCAAATTCGTGGGCCAGGTCCAATGTTTCTTATGCATAAACTTGGTAGGTCGATTTCACACAAAGATGCCCATGCAGGGTGTGTCATGACCTTGACCCAAGGTCATTTGGGGAATCAATCACTGGTAGAAAAATTTCAGAAATTCTTGTCCGGTCCACATTATTTTGCATAAACTTGGTAGGTTCTCATTTACAAAATGCCTGGCATGACCCAAGGGTGTTTCATGAAATTTTCCCAAGGTCATTGAAATGGAGTTAAAGGTGACTGGTAGAAAAATTTCATAACTGGTCCATATCTTATAAAGGGTGTTAAACCTGGTAGGTTCTCATTTGTTGCTGAAAGATTGCAGGAATGACCTCAAGGGTGTGTCAGACCTTGACCCAAGGTTATAGGAGTTGAGTCACTGGAATAAGAATTTCATAATTTGGTTGATACAGTATCTTTTTTGGAAAAACTGACTTATGAAAAAAGTATTTTGTCCCGATGACAGTTTTATTTTTAAATAGTATTATACCTTAATTATCCCAGACCCTAAAACATGCATATATATTTAAAGAAACAAAACGAAATGTTTCCTACAAGAACTATGAATTGGCACAGAACAAATAAAAAAAAAAAATTATAAAATGAAACATACCATTCACAAAACAAACCATTCCCTACTCAAAACCAAATAAACCATACATGAAGCGAAATGAATTGTGCTCAAAACAAAATATTGTTCACTAAGTGAAATGAAGTTTACAAAAATGAAATGTACTATTCACAAAGCGAACTGTACCATTCAAAGAATAAAACAAATCATGCAGGAAAAAAAAAACCATGCAAGAAATGAAACAAACCATGTACAAAGTGAATGTACTGTTCACAAAGAAAACTACTGTTCACAAGACTAATGAACTATGTACAATACAAAACATATTATAGGAACGAAATTAACAGTTTACGAAATGAACTGTGCAAGAAATGAAACAAAATAAAAAATGCAAGTGGTGTAGTAGCACATTTTAGGGTCTGTACATGTATATTATTCTATAAATTCACCAATACTTGATCATTACAAAATATCAATCTAAATGGACCTATGTTACCTGTATATAGATCTAAATGTTTAGAAGATTATTTTGTGATTTTTGTTAAATCCATGTACTTGCTATCCAGTACATGTACCTTTATTTGGGCTGTAAAATGGAATTTTTTGTCTTGGTCCTTATAATTGACAATAATCTACTGAATGCTCCGATTGTCTCCAGATGGTCTGATGGCAGTCCAGTGTCGTTTGTTAACTGGTTTCCAGGAGAACCTAATGACTTCTTTGGTGCTGAGGATTGCGTGGAAATCAGAGTTGCTAATGGTGAGATTCTTAGAAAAACAGCGTAGGTTAATTAACAAAATCATTCTATCAGGAAAGAAGTTTGATCGTTAGATTTTACATTTATTGTAAGTCACATAGTCAAACTCCGGTAATTATGTTATTCAAGGAGGTGATGCGAAATCAAAATAATCTCATTTGATGTGTTAAATAGGTAAGGTTAAAGATGGGTCATTGATTTTCCATATGCAAGTTCAAACTGCTTAGAAATTAATGCTTAATTCTTCAATTCACTGACAGGTAAATGGAATGATGAACATTGTTCCAGCAGACGGGGCTTTGTTTGTGAGAAGAGACTGGGGGCCAACCCTACCAATCCCGCCCCTCCCAAAATCCAGGGGAACTGTCCAGGGGGGTACTCAGCTGCCCAATACAGCAACAAGTGTTACAAGGTGTTCACCAGTCCCATGTCGTGGTCCAATGCCTCCAGATTCTGTATGGGGCAGGGCCGGGAGAAGTATTACTTAGCCAGCATTACCAGTGACCTTGATAATAGTGAGTTACAACATTAAAACACAATCTTGATAATAGTCAGCTTCCAAACTAAGAACTAATTCAGTGTTTTCATTTCAAACCTTACTGGCTTCAGGGATTTGGTTAACAGGCTGGCCAGCAGCAAGATGTATTCCAGATATGTTGTTTATTTCTCAATTAAGGAGACTATACCTTTATGTTACAGCTTTCGTGACAACACAGTTGAGGGGTTTGAATATAAGTCCCTGGATTGGTCTCCGCTTGAGCAATGGAGTTGTACGCTGGGTCGACAACAATGATGTCACGTACACAAACTGGTACAAGGGGGAACCCAATGGGGGACCAGGAAGTGTAAGTCTACTATAATGTACTTTTACTTAAAAAGTATTAAACACCAGTGTTAATCATCTTGATATTCCAAAACCTCATAAAATTCAAATCTCTTCAGTATAAATGTAGATTCATTATAAGTTTCTTTGGTAAAATCATGTTTTACATTACATTGTATGTGTAAATTCATATAATCAAATGAAGATAAGAGCAATTGTTCTTTTTAGGACATTATAGTTTGAGTGATGTAATACACAACTATTCGTATTGTTTACAAATTTTTATGATCTGGGTTTAGACTATGTGTGGAAGGATATATGGATATCAGCACAATGCAGGAAGATGGGATGATTTTGGCTGTGACAATAAGGAACCTTTTATCTGTGAAACCATGAGAAGTAAGAACTTATGTTATCAATATGGACTGTGCAAGACAAGGGGCCTTCTCAGTGTCCAACTCCAGTGAGTTTTAAGGGGTCAGCATTGCTGTCTACTAGATGAATGACTAACAATTGTTTCCTTATGTTCACAGAAACCTACATTACCACACCAGAACCCACACCTAACCCCTGTAATAGCAAACAAGGATACAAGCCTTTTGGTAATGGATGTTTTAAGTTTGTGTCCATTCCTAAGTCCTGGCCAGATGCTCGAGATGACTGTGCGAGACAGGGGGCCTTCCTCGTGACTATCTCCAGTGAGTTTGAACAAGCCTTTGTCAGACTCTTAGTGGATGGTGTTGAAACATGGACAGGACTTAATGATATCAAGGTAATTATATCATTTATATACAGAAGTTTTATTTCTTTTGGTTAAAATGCATTAGGTATTAGACTGATGCTTCATCATTGTACAGTATATGGTCAATAACAGCATAGATGTTTGTTCTCAGACTTTATTTTGTGGTGCAAAATCACCTGTAAATAAGGTTCAGTTTTACAGGAAAGTGGATTACAGCAAAACTCGGTTATAACGAAGTCACAGGGTCCTATGAAATTACTTCGCTATATCCATAATTCATTATAACCGTATAAGAAATTCATTAGATTTATACAGCTGGGGATCCAAGATGACTTCGCTATAGTGGATTATCTATCATTAGCTTATAGTGTTTTTATTGTGATGTGAACTTATCAGTTTTAATGCTGTAGTATTTAAGTGTTGTTGGTCTGTCTGTCTGTAGAGCACTGGTACATTCACCTGGATGAACACTGTGTGGCCTGTCATCTACACGGCCTGGGACGCGGGACAGCCCAGCCAACAAACAGGTGCCTGTGTCAGCATGAACAGCACCTCAGGAAAATGGCAGACCACTAACTGTACTCAGAGTTTATCTTATGTCTGTAAAATTACATCAGGTAATTTCAACACATCACATGAAATCTAGGAAGAAGAACATTTCAAAGCTTCTTTCTTTTCTCCTTTAATTTGTCATATTACAGTATTAATTGCCAAGATTTTTCAGACTTGGAATCATGATGGTGTAATTCTGCATAAAAAAGTTTGAGTGAACCTTTGAATAGTTTTACAAGATTTTCATGTTTTAATTTGATTCCTCTTTGTCTTTCTTTTTTACAGATAATCCCCCAGTAACACCTCCAGCTCCTAACAACCTGTGTTCTGGACATGACTGGCTCCTAAATGGAAGCAAATGTCTGCTGTTCCGCCCCGACGATTACAGGACATATCTTGATGCGACCCTAGAATGTCAGAATCATGGGGCATCATTGGTCTCCATACACAGCATGGCACAGAATCAGTTCCTACTACAAACCATCCAGGCAAAGTACTCGGTATCAGTTGAAGGTTTCTGGGCAGGTCTTCACAAGTCTTCATCAAGTAAGTTATCTATCAGGCAAAGTTATCAATATACTAAGAGAGGGCTTCTGGCCACGTCTTCACAAACTTTCACATGTGGTTAGTTACTGGGACTTGGTAACAAGATACTTCTGGGCAGGTCTTCACAAGTCTTCATCATGTATATGTTAAATACAGAGAGATCTGCAGATATTAGCAATTTTTTTTCTTGTGGAAGTCAAAATTAGGCCTGAATTTCTCTCCAAGTGTTAGAGAATTTATAGGTTTATTCCCCTAAGAAGTGTAGTGTTTAAAAAGGAAAATTTTATGTATTATTTTTAAGTTCATGAATGAAATTTACTGTTTCTGCAGGTGGTTTTACCTGGTCTGACCAGAGTCCCACAAACTTTGTGAACTGGGACGTTAATGAGCCTTCATCAAACGACCAGTGGGGCAATAATGAGAACTGTATGGAGATACATTCCTGGAATGGTAAATGGAATGACCTGGACTGTACACAGAAACGGGGCTATGTCTGTCAGCGAAACCCAGGTAGTGTCACAAATGCATAAATTTTCTCTGTGTACCTTTACAGAACTGGAGTTTTTAACCAACTTTGATAAATATAAATATTAATATAGTTTCTCAATCTTCTTTTACTCACAAATATTTCTCATAGTGAATCAATATTCCAATTGTGTATTGATGTAAATCATTTTCTTAGTTACAAATATAAAGTATTTGCTGAAAGATTTCAATCTGACGAATGCACACTTGAAACTCATGGCTGACTTGCAGTTTTTCTTTCGTGATCTTAGATTTTTTTGTTTACCGGTATTTCTTGTTTTGATGCGCATTTTCTGTTTGTGAATGATGTATTCACTTGTATTTTTCATGATTCTTTTTTCCTGTTTTGCAAAAAATGGGTAAAAGTTTATAATTTATAACCGAGTAGCACGGCAATGTAAGATGTACGTCTACACTTGTGGGACCTCTACAGCGAAATACATTTAACTGTTAAGAGATCTGCTCCCCAATAGGGGTTGTAGGGGATAGCTTCGATGAACGGGAAAAATTGGGGACTATGCCTTTTTCAGCTTTAATATAATAAAAGAGTTACTGTCACAATCTATTTTGTAATGATTTTAAAAATATTAACCATTTTCAATAGTGAATACCTCAATTTTTAAAGTAAATGTTAAAGGAGTGAAACCATTATAATATTAATTTTGAAAAAAAAAAGTGCTTTGCACCTTTTTAGCATCATTTTGACCTAAAACTCTGTTTCATTTTAAACAGTATCAGATGTTAATCCCCATACTCCGCCACAGCCCTCTAACTCAACCTTTCCTTCTCCGAGTGGTACTCTGGCACCACCAACTCCACCACTCACACCCCCGACTCAGGGACCCAAAGGATCTAGTTCAACACCCCAGGGATCCGGAAAACCAACAATAAATGGACAGACAAAGATACCAACTCCCCCACCCTACACGGGACCTAGTGTCACAGGTGAGTGGGAGCTGTAGGTTGTCGAGTACACCCCTAAAAAGATTTTGACTTAAATGTTTTTATAATGTCAGTTGAGATTTCGTATCTCAAACACAAGATGCAATGTTTGAAATAAGTGAAATCACTTAGTAACGAGTGAATTTTTTTACATATTTTTTTTTGATAACAAAAATTTCCCCAAATATCTAGGTGCATCAAAAGGCAGTGGTGGATCCTCCGCTCTGAGTGGTGGGGGTATAGCAGGAATCCTGATTGCAGCAATCATTATAGCTGTCATTGTAATAGCAGTTCTCGTCATCTTCAAACGAAAACAGCAAGAGGGAGGTGGATCTCTCAGCTTTGAGAACACAACATATATATACGAGAAAGGGCAGGAGAACGGGAAGTTACATCTAAATCACCAGGAGACAGATTCAAAAGATGAATGTTAAATCTTAGGGTGAAAACTTTTGTTGAATACTGACATAATGAAAACAGTATTATCTGATGTGAATGTGATTTCTATTTGTTATTTTATTATTTTCTGTTTGTTCATTACCACGCAATTGTACTTGTATATAATCAACATTTCAGGGGTACAATGTACTTCATTCATATTCATGAATCATAATTGTGCAATAAATGATGTGTGATTGTATCATTGATTGAATCATTAATTTTGTAGAACCATTGATAGATTAGAAAGCTTAACTAAGGAAAAGAAGGAGATCATTCCCTGCTTGACAGGTAGCCTTCAAGATATGGTATTGTTTGAATAAGTGGGTAAGGTGGTCCATTCAATGTGTTGTTTCTTAAGTAGAGACTTGAACTATTGACTTGATCCATCATGCTACGGACAGCATCAGTTCAAACTCTACAATACCCTTTGACAGAACAAGAGGCCCATGGGCCACATCGCTCACCTGAGCACTAAGGGTAGAAAAAGTAGAAAATGGCTTTTTATTGTAAAGTTTAAATAGTTTGAGTAGTCCCATGACCAATCATGGATTTGCTATTTTTTAGAAAATGATTTTTAAAGAATTTTCCTATATACTGAGTATATCTTTAAAAACTTTGGTCGGCCATTTTCCGCCCTACCCCTGGGGGTCATGATTTGAACAAATTTGAATGACTACTTGAGCATGCTTCCATATAAATATGATGAATTATGGCTTAATTTGTCATTCTTGAGAAGAAGATTTTTAAAGAATTTTCCTATATATTTCTGTGTAAAAGTTTGGTCGGCCATTTTGGCCCCGTCCTACTCCGGAGGGTCATGATTTGAACAAACTTGAATCTACACTACCTGAGCATGCTCATATAAATATGATGAATTATGGCTTTGTCATTCTTGAGAAGAAGATTTTTAAAGAATTTTTCTATATATTTCTATGTAAAAGTTTGGTCGGCCATTTTTACCCTACCCCATTTGAACAAACTTGAATCTACACTACCTGAACATGCTTCCATATAAAATGATGAATTATGGCTTTGTCATTTTTGGTAAGAAGATTTTTAAAGAATTTTCCTATATATTTCTATGTAAAAGTTTGTCGGCCATTTTGGCCCCGCCCTACCCCGGGGGGTCATGATTTGAACTGTGAATCTACACACCTGAGCATGCTTCCATATAAATATGATGAATTATGGCTTTGTCATTCAGAAGATTTTTAAAGAATTTTTCTATATAATGTAAAAGTTTGTAGCCATTTTGGCCCCTCCCTACCCCGGGGGGTCATGATTTGAACAAACTTGAATACACTACTGAGGATGCTTCCATATAAATATATGAATTATGGCTTTGTCATATAGAAGAAGATTTTTAAAGAATTTTCTATATATTTCTATGTAAAAATGCATTAGCCCTACCCCCGGGGGTCATGATTTGAACAAAATTGAATCTACACTACCTGAGCGTGCTTCCATATAAATATGATGAATTATGGCTTTGTCATTCTTGAGAAGAAGATTTTTAAAGAATTTTTCTATATATTTCTATGTAAAAGTTTGGTCGGCCATTGTGGCCCCGCCCTACCCCCGGGGGTCATTATTTGAACAAACTTGATATGTTTTTATGAGTGATGTGATTATAAGTTTCATCTTTCCTGGCACAGTGGTTCTTAGAAGATTTTTTAAATTTTCATTAATTCCCAATTATCTCCCCTTGAATAAGGGCGTGGCCCTTCATTTGAACAAACTTGAATCCCCTTCACCCAAGGATACTTTGTGGCAAGTTTGGTTGAAATTGGCCCTGCAGTTCTTGAGAAGAAAGCAAAAATGTGAAAAGTTTACAGACAGACAGACAGACGGACGCCGGACAAAATGTGATCAGAAAAGCTCACTTGAGCCTTCGGCTCAGGTGAGCTAACAAGAGGCCCATGGGCCACATTGCTCACCTGAGCACTGTGGCTAGGAAAAAGCAGAATTGGTTTATACTTGAAAAGCTTAAATCAAAGGTAGTCCCATGACCACATCATGGCTTTGCTATTCTTGAGAAGATTTTTAAAGAATTTTCCTATACATTTCTATGTAAAACTTTGGTCGGCCATTTTGGCCCCGCCCTACCCCTAGGGGTCAAGATTTAAACAAACTTGAACCTACGCTACCTGAGGATGCTTCCATATAAATATGATCAATTATGGCTTTATTATTCTTGAGAAGAAGATTTTTTAAAAAATTTCCTATATATTTCTATGTAAAACTTTTCATGTTTTAATTTGCCCTACCCCTGGGGGTCATGATTTAAACAAACTTGAACCTACGCTACCTGAGTATGCTTCCATATAAATATGATCAATTATGGCTTTGTTATTCTTGAGAAGATTTTTTAAAAAAATTTCTAAATATTTCTATGTAAAACTTTGGTCGGCCATTTTGGCCCCGCCCTACACCTGGGGGTCATGATTTGGACAAACTTAAATCTATACTACCTGAGGATGCTTCCATATAAATATGATCAATTATGGCTTTGCTATTCTTGAGAAGAAGATTTTTAAAGAATTTTCCAATATATTTCTAGGTAAACCTTTGGTCGGCCATTTTGGCTCCGCCCTACCCCTGAGGGTCATGATTTGAACAAACTTGAATCTACACTACCTGAGGATGCTTCCATATAAATATGATCAATTATGGCTTTGCTATTCTTGAGAAGAAGATTTCTAAAGAATTTTCCTATATATTTCTATGTAAAACTTTGGGCCATTTTGGCCCCACCCTACCCCTGGGGGTCATGATTTGAACAAATTTGAATCTACACTACCTGAGGATGCTTCCATATAAATAAGATCAATTATGGCTTTGTTATTCTTGAGGAGAAGATTTTTAAAGAAATTTCCTATATATTTCTATGTAAAAATTTGGTCGGCCATTTTGGCCCCACCCTACCCCTTGGGGTTATGATTTGAACAAACTTGAATCTACACTACCTGAGGATGCTTCCATATAAATATGATCAATTATGGCTTTGCTATTTTTGAGAAGAAGATTTTTAAAGAATTTTCCTATATATTTATATGTAAAACTTTGGTCGGCCATTGTGGCCCCACCCTACCCCTGGAGGTCAAGATTTGAACAAACTTAAATCTACACAACCTGAGGATGCTTCCACGCGAGTTTCATCTTTCCTGGCCCAGTGGTTCTTGAGAAGAAGATTTTTAAAACATGCCACCAAATTTTCATTAATTCCCATATCTCCCCTTGAATAAGGGCGTGGCCCTTCATTTGAACAAACTTGAATCCCCTTCACCCAAGGATACTTTGTGGCAAGTTTGGTTGAAATTGGCCAAGCGGTTCTTGAGAAGAAGTCGAAAATGTGAAAAGTTTACAGACAGACGGACAGACAGACAGTGCCTTGAAAATCTTACATTTTCACAGATACTGGTTTATAAGATGATCAGTCCATTTTTGCAGATCAAGCAAAACTCTTGTCTTTATGACGAAAATCTCCAATCAATTTGAATTTACTGCATGTTTTGCAGTAAACAATGAATCTTGAGGTATGATATACAAAAGAAGTACAAAGTCAAACCATTTTTATTTCATATATAAGAAATTAACTTGGAATAAATACATGTAAATATATATTCTATCAAAACGTAAATATGATAAGTATAAAATGAAAATTTTATATAAATAAGCACTTTGGAAATGACATGCTTTAGCATTTAGCACCAGTTCTAAATCTAAATTTCAACAGATCATATAACAGTCAATTGGAGGAGGGTGTTTACATAATTCTGTCATTTTAGGAGCAGGGGGAATGTCAAGGTCTACTTGATCTATGAGGGAATCGATTATAGCATTAAACATTGTTTTGACCAGTATTTGAGATCATGTAAGCTTCTTCAAAACCTGAGATTAAATTTGTGTAAACCTTAACAAATAATCCACTTAAGATTGGCAAGCACTATAGTTCGAACTAAGCAGGACAACATGGTCTTGAATCTGAACATAACTGTGTGGTCTTCAGAGAGTTCTTGGGATTTGGAGAGTTGGAGGGATCAGTGAACTGTAAGATATGACATGTTGGATCCAGGAAAGGGTGGCAGACACTTTGGTAAAGCGCAAGGCCTGAGAGGATGGCACGCCGCACTGTGCCGCCCCACTGGACATGATGCCCTCCACACTCCACTGATTGTAACGGTTCACACACATCAGTCCACTCCCACTGTCTCCCTGTAAAAATATGGACACTGTAAATGTTACCAGTAATCAATATTTCACATTTATCTTCATGAAATCTAGAACATGTAATCTCTGTAATTTAGATGCAGACAATGAAGAGCTATGAACTTAAAAACACATCCATAATACATGTACTCTCAAGAAAAAACTGCAGCCCTACCCTACATCCAGATAGGGTCCCTGTTGTGTACCCCGCACAGAGCGTGAAGTTTGTGTCCACATTGGACTCTGACACAATGGTGTTTCTTCTGCAGTCTTCCTCATCCCAGACACCAAGCTTGGCTTCTCTTAAATACTCCACTGTCATCTCTGAAATACACATATGTAATTACAGTGTAACTGTTGACAATGTAATAAAATCATTTAATAATACATATAAATCTATGAATCTGTACAATACAATCAGCAACTATAAAATATACACGCCTATAAATTTTTCAGATAAACATGGAATTGCTGAATGCAATAAACATTTTCTCAGACTAAGTATATCTCATGAAATGGTGCTCGTTTCTACAGGGATAGAAGACATCATTTGGACATACAATGTGAGAAGTACAGGGAAGCTGTTAAGGAGGGGCCTTGGTTAAGCTGTCAACATCTAATATTTACATTTGCAAATGTTTTCCTTTATACAACACTACTGAAAGCAAGCATTTTTATAACTGTATAAATACAGGTATGGGGTCAAGAGGTCATAGATGTTCGTATGGATAAAAGTTCGACGTAATTTCTCAGTGACTTCATAAAGGGTCGACACATGTTCAGTGGATTACATACATGCCGTTGGGTTTGAAAAATAATGCAATTTACACGTTAAAAGTCACAATCAGGCAAATTTAAGGTACCGTATATACTCGCCTATAAGTTGGTATTTTTGGAGTTAAATTTTAGTCCAAAAGTCTATGTCCAACTTATAGGCGAGTCATAAAAAACTGGTATTTTTCTGGATGGCGAATCATAGTATTCTATAAACATTTGTATTTGTATTAAATGATTATACATAAATTACTTGCATTTTATAAACATATATTCAATATTTTTAGCTCTACTGGTCAGAGACCAGAAGAGCTTATGCGATAGTAATGCGTCCGGCGTCCGTCCGTCTGTCTGTCCGTCTGTCTGTAAACAATTTTTCAAAATGCTACTCCTCCTACAGTTTTGATCTAATTTCAATATAACTTGGCACACAAGTAGACTACACTAAGATACATAATTCTGTGTATCGGTTTTTGATTTCGATGAACGGTGTTGCCGTGGTTACTAAAAATAGAAATTTCTGTGAAATTCTTTCAAAATGCTACTCCTCCTACAGTTTTGGTCTGATTTCAGTATAACTTGGCACACAAGTAGACTACACTAAGATACATAATTCTGTGTATCGGTTTTTGATTTCGATGAACGGTGTTGTCGTGGTTACTAAAAATAGAAATTTCTGTAAAATTGTTTCAAAATGCTACTCCTCCTACAGTTTTGGTCTAATTTCAATATAACTTGGCACACAAGTAGACTACACGAAGATACATAATTCTGTGTATCGGTTTTTGATTTCGATGAACGGTGTTGCCGTGGTTACTAAAAATAGAAATTTCTGTGAAATTCTTACAAAATGCTACTCCTCCTACAGTTTTGATCTAATTTCAATATAACTTGGCACACAAGTAGACTACACTAAGATACATAATTCTGTGTATCGGTTTTTGATTTCGATGAACGGTGTTGCCGTGGTTACTAAAAATAGAAATTTCTGTGAAATTCTTTCAAAATGCTACTCCTCCTACAGTTTTGGTCTGATTTCAGTATAACTTGGCACACAAGTAGACTACACTAAGATACATAATTCTGTTTATCGGTTTTTGATTTCGATGAACGGTGTTGTCGTGGTTACTAAAAATAGAAATTTCTGTAAAATTGTTTCAAAATGCTACTCCTCCTACAGTTTTGGTCTAATTTCAATATAACTTGGCACACAAGTAGACTACACGAAGATACATAATTCTGTGTATCGGTTTTTGATTTCGATGAACGGTGTTGCCGTGGTTACTAAAAATAGAAATTTCTGTGAAATTCTTACAAAATGCTACTCCTCCTACAGTTTTGGTCTGATTTCGGTATAACTTGGCACACAAGTAGACTACACTAAGATACATAATTCTGTGTATCGGTTTTTGATTTCGATGAACGGTGTTGCCGTGGTTACTAAAAATAGAAATATCTGTAAAATTGTTTCAAAATGCTACTCCTCCTACAGTTTTGGTCTGATTTCAGTATAACTTGGCACACAAGTAGAATACACTAAGATACATAATTCTGTGTATCGAATTTTAATTTTGATGAACGGTGTTGCCGTGGTTACTAAAAATAACAGCTGCTTCAGTACTTTCTCTTCCTTTGCTATAAGTTCAAACCAGTAGAGCTTCAGTCTCGACAGAGACTTCTGGTTATTAATTATAAGAGGGCATCATCTATATTTTTATGATTTAAAGTTAAATATTGACTTCATTTCTAATGAAAATACTAATTGAAATCAGGGTAACACATCAGAGCATTCATTAGAAATTGTCATGTGATTCTGGCAAAAAGTTGTACCAACTTATAAGCGGGTCAATGGCAAATCCAGGCCAAATAACCTCAAAAAATACAACCGACTTATAGGCGAGTATATACGGTATGAATAAGTCACAAATGTAAATATAAGTAATAAGGTATCATTTTTTGAGTTTTATTGGGATGTAAAACGGGTTGGCACATGATCAAATCTTCCATTAGGGCTTTATGGGATTTGATCACGTGACCAACCCGTTTTACATCCCAATAAAACTTAAACATAGGTAATCAGAGATTACAGAGCTCACCTCAACGAATGTTGTCTTTAAGTAAGGCAAAGTCACACAATTAACCAACAAAAAGTGTACATTCCAAAAATGAAAATATTTAAGCAATTTTGATCTGATACTTTGAACAGACCTACATAAAAAATTTAAACTAGTTCTTCTTCATGAAAATGTAATTAAAATCCAGAATCTGAAGCAAATTTGAGAGTTTTCATCTCTTGATGCAACGTTTGTGCAAGTTTGGTTTATACAATGTTATGTAAGCCTTATAGTTTTTTGGTATTAGACTTGCACTCATAACTTTTACCTGGTCTATTATCTGAAAAATGCATGTCGAATTCAGCATCCGAAGCAAGTCCATTAGTTTGCATCCTAAGATTTATCGTCCATGCAAGTTTGCTCATTATAGGGCTCATAGTTAATTGAAAATGAAACATGCATCAAAAACTAACATTTTTACTCATCCACAAAAAGTAGGTCAGATTCAGCATCTGAAGCCAGCCTGGTAGTATACATCCTTATATGTATTATCCATGCAAGTTTGGTCATTAAAGAACACACATACTTGGAAATGAATCATGCATTAACTTTAACCTATTCACTCAACCGGAAAATGTAGGTCAGATTCAGCATCCGAAGCAAGCCTGGTAGTATGCATCCTTAGATGTATCATCCATGCAAGTTTGGTCAACATAGGGCTTATAGTTACTTGGAAATGAAACCTGCACCAAAAACTTTAACCTGTTCACTCAACCGGAAAATGTAGGTCAGATTCAGCATCTGAAGCAAGCCCGATAGTATGCATCCTTAGATGTATCATCCATGCAAGTTTGGTCAACATAGGGCTTATAGTTACTTGGAAATGAAACCTGCACCAAAAACTTTAACCTGTTCACTCAACCGGAAAAGTAGGTCAGATTCAGCATCCGAAGCAAGCCCGATAGTATGCATCCTTAGATGTATCATCCATGCAAGTTTGGTCAACATAGGTCTTATAGTTACTTGGAAATGAAACCTGCACCAAAAACTTTAACCTGTTCACTCAACCGGAAAAGTAGGTCAGATTCAGCATCCGAAGCAAGACCAATAGTATGCATCCTTAGAGGTATCATCCATGCAAGTTTGGTCAACATAGGTCTTATAGTTACTTGGAAATGAAACCTGCACCAAAAACTTTAACCTGTTCACTCAACCGGAAAATATAGGTCAAATTCAGCATCCGAAGCAATCATTTAATAATGCATCCTTAGATGTATCATCCATGCAAGTTTGGTAAACATAGGGCTTATAGTTACTTGGAAATGAAACCTACACCAAAAACTGCACCAAAAATGTTAACCTGCTCCAAAAACATTAACCTGGTCATTCCTTTGCTGAAATTGCAGCATCTGAAACTTTGAATGGTGCAATGAAACACTAAGAACCATCCTCCATGCATGTCTAATCCATATAGGACATAGAAGTAGTTAAAAAGAAAACTGCTCCAAAAAAAACTTAACCTGGGACGCCAACGCCGACACCGACGCCGACGCCGAGGGTATTACATAAGCTCCCCCAACTTCGTTGAGGTGAGCTAAAAAATGATACCTTATTTCTTAAATAAATCTTTCAATGCTCTTCCCATTATTGAGAACCATGTATAAAAATTATTTACATGTTTATAATCATAATATATATTTCTAAAATAAATATTATTTGCATTCAACAATATTTTTTTACCCTGATTTGGTTCAATGCTTCCCCATCCAGTCAAAAAGCAGGTGCTTGTGACAGGGTCATTGTGATTGGCTGGGAGACAGATGGGCTGGATTACAGAGGTGAAGGTCACTGGATGCTCCACTCGGATCAGAGCAATGTCCCAGTAGATTGTCCCGTCTCCTGTCCACTTCATGTCTGGGTGGTGCCGAATCTCTACAGCCCGCAGTAACAAAGCCCCCCTCATTAAGTCACGAGCACGTTTTACAGATCCCAGCAAAACCTGCACATTGTTTGGAGTATTCGTATAATTATAAACTCCAGACCTAAAAAAAAAAAATCAGGATATGACTTGTAAAACTGTATTAAAGTATTATAACTTGCATGTACTGGTATTTTGTCAAACTTTGTGTGCAAATAAGTACTGTAAAGAATATTGTTGTGAACAAGGTTATGTACTGTTACAGGTGTTTAATGGAGTAGTTTATTAAATGTATAATCAAATCCAAAGTTTACACCAAAATCAGATATTTTAAATTTGGACAGCAGTCATTGACTTACACGGCTATACAGTGACCTGCTGTGAGGACCCAGAGAGGGTTTATCAACACGCCACCACAGATTGGTTTCCCTAGATACGACAACGACACCACCCAGGGCCAACGCCCCCTAGTGGACAACTCTCCTCCAGAGATGAAGGGCACCAGCAGTCCAGAGCTCCTCTTACCACAAACTTAAAATGTGTTGACAGAGAATGAAATGTTATAATATTTAAACTGACAAGAGTAATATTAAAGGTATGATTTTTTTTAATATTAACAAGATTATGGAAAATATTTAATGTGTTTGGTTATCAGGAGGTATATATTATTCCACTAAAGAGGAAGTTCAAAGGATTTACAGATTTTATTTAAAATTAAACATAATTTTGGAAATCTTGTTACATATTTGTGTTCTGCTTCTGATAAATAGTATGAGGTGCATTAGAACCATTTCCAGTTAAAAGACTTTCAGTAAAGGCACTTGTGGAATCATTGAACTTTTGGAGTTTGTTTCTAGCTGCTAATTATTGGCTGTTAATCACAAAGACACACGAATACAGCCTATTTGTCAATAAATAAAGACAGGTATTTAGGTTAACTTCATTGTTGCTGAGATTTTATTTTACTAAAACAACCTGCAATAAGAACTAGTGTTGGCAACCAGTAACCGGTTATCCGGTTAACCGTTGAACGAAGCGAGTATCGGTTAGTAAAACTGCTATTCGGTTGCTTGGATAAAAATGCTTTTTATATAGTAAATAACAAAAAATAAATAAATAAATAAAATGTTAAATTTGTTTATAAGCTACACATCAATTATTTTCAACAGTTACACTTAATGATCAGTGTTTGCCTACGATCGAAAGGTTAAAAAGCTTTAAGCTAGCAATTATACAAGTTTTGAAGATCTGAGTTATAATTACCTCATTAAATAATTTAACAAGATGCCGCCAAAGCCATTTAAAGCTCGAAAGTATTTTAAAAGAATAGCTGATTCAATACCTGTAAAATGTTATTTATGTGAATTGGAGTTATCGTCTACGGTTGTGACTTCAAATTTCTAAATAATTATTCTCTTTGATCATGACATATATCAGGGGTCGAAAAGTAAAATGTTATAAACTCCAAACTACACTTGAATATTTATTTTTCTTCATCAGATTTAATTAATTTTTTGATTATAATCTCAAAATTCTTTCAAGATAGTGCGTGCAAGTGTATCTTTAAGTTTATAAATAAAGTTCATTCACAATATATTTGTGTATAAGTATCGATGAGTAAAGGATGAGATAAATGATATATATGAATAAATCATCCGAGTAACCGGGTACTTGATCGAAAGATTGAGTGAGTAACCGGTTACTTATAATCGTCCGATTTGCCAACACTAATAAGAACTACAGTCAAACCTCATTATCTCAAATGCATTGGGGCCAAGAAAAAACTTATATAAAATACTGAAAGAATAAGAAGAGGGGCTTGCAAATTACTGACATATCCATGATATTTGAGATACTGGGGTTCAACTGTACATTATGGTTCTGTATAAAAAGAGATAGTAACCAGCAGTATGAGTGGGCATGCAGTGTACCTTTTGTCAAGCAGGTGATCTCAACTGTCCTGTTTGTTCTGCAGGTAAAGCTGGCCAAACAAAAACAGAGTGATGTCTACAGTACATAATTACAGGTTAGTACCATTAGTCATTGTAAAATAGCTACATATATGCCATCTCATGTTGTGTTATAATATTATCTAATGGGTTACGCATGTATACAAATAATTTCGTCTTTTTTTAATGTTTCAAGACATTACATTTATAACATAGCTAAATCAAAGTGCAAATTATGGTAATTTCTTGTAAGTTTTTCAAGTTTTTCATGCAAGCAATACTATGGAATCACTAATTTTTATGGGAGCTTTTCATTGTTTTCATGGTATGAAGATATGTCTTTCTCAAAATGTTAAAAACACATACCTGGTATATTCTTACTCCTAACTACAAAACTTTGATGCAAAAATAAGTGAGTTAACGATATATTACCTGGTTTGTAGGTGTTTGAAGAATGTCTGTGTGTCTGTGATGTTGTCAGACAGCTCCAGATACTGAACTGCAGGAGGTAGTGGGGAGGTCAAGGTCATCGCTGCTTCTCTGTCAATCAGATCAAGTTTAAAGGATTCTGATTACCAGTAATTAATAGTCTAAAAGGTGTGTTTATTGAAACACATTATATCTAATAGAAAATTAACTATACTCGTGACCCATATTTCTGCACACTGTGTCACTGTAATGGAGTCTCCAGTTTGTGCTACACACAGGATAGACAGAATTATCTCCCCTGAAGAGTCCAACAAGTAGGCCACTGGAATCCGAGATGTTACTCAGGAACTTAACTACAAAGTAAGTAGACTGTCATTAATTTTGTAAATTCTGCAGGATTCTGGATCATTTTTCTTTTTATTTGGAAATGAATGTGCACAGAAAGATTACTGGATATATCTATAAATGTATAATAATAACACATTTATTTTCACAAATTTCTTTAGAGAACTGGAGGTTTTCTCACAGCACTGTGTCTCCTCCTCCCCCTGGGAACAGTCCGGGTCACCGTCACACACTTTGATCTTGTCTACACAGCTATAATCCTGACACGTGTACTGAGAACTGCTACATTTATCTGAGAAAAAGAAACACTTATCTTGTATTAGCTTAAACTGTCGGAGGTGGATCATTTTGAATGAATCTCACAGAAATTTGCATTTTCCAAAAATATGGCAACACCTATTTCAAAATCAGAATCATATACACATAATTATATTTCTAGCTCATATTATTTGAAAGCTGAATGGGCTTTCCTGATAAAAGTTTATCTGATATAACTCCCTTAGTCTTTCCATTCACTTTCTCATTTTTGAAATTATTTTGATTTCCTATTGAATTAAGAAGTTTCATCTTGAGATGTATTTGGGGGTGGGGGGGGGGGGGTGTTGTTGTTGTTGAAAGGTGACATACCACACCCCATCTCGTCTGTGCTACAGTCCTGGTAGGCATCACAGACCCAGTCTCTACGTATACACTGTCCATCCCCACACTCTACCTCCAGCCCTGCCAGACAGCCTGCACAACAAATAACAACCTTAGCTGACTTGTATGAATATCCTACATGTAAGCATTTATACTGATTATTGGATATAGGATAAAGAAGATTTTAAATTTTACATAAATATTATAAACCTTAACAAACAAATCTGAATCTTCTAAAGTTATAAACAGATAATGAGGAATGAAGAATACATGCAGCACTCAACTGCAGAAGAGAAATTACTTACTACATTTTTTCTCATCACTATTATCATAACAGTTATCTATCCCATCACACCACTGATATTTGTAGATCCACACCCCATTGTCACATTTTTTCTTGTTACTATCTGCATCTGTAAATATTAACACTAATATGAAAAGCCATCGATTAAGACTGAAGCATTTGAGAAAATTAAAAAATAATAATAAAGTATGAAAATACAGATTTGAAGAAATTTCCTTACCACAATTGATTTCATCACTGAGATCAGGGCAGTCTACTGTACCATCACAACGGCTCCAGCTCCACAGGCAGAGACCCGAGGCACACTGGACACCGATACAGTCTGTAAGTCAATAAATGTATCTATACAATATTTCACTAGGGACTTATTTCTAATAAAACACTGCAACTGGTTCTAGCATTCACCTTTGAGACAAGAATTTAGAACAGACCTGTGCAGTTCTCTTCATCCGATTTGTCCTGGCAGTCAAAATATCGATTACATTTAGCATTCTCATGGTTCACACATTCTCCACTGCGGCAAGTAAAGTCTGAATTTGCACAGGCTGTGAAATTAAAATTGATTTACCATTTCAATGATTATATACCTGTAAATTTTTCTTATGCAAGAAACAGGCTGCCAATATTTGGAGATGTAGTTTTTTTAACATAAAATGACTGGCCATAATAAATTTGTGGCATGTTTAATCTCAAAATATGACCTTGACTTGAGAAAATATTACCTTGACCTGAGAAGAGACAACAGCCTTTATCAAGTCTGATTTTGTTATATGTTTAATAGCCAATTAATTGAATAATACCTGCCAGTGTGATTGGAGGGTCTGTCGTTGTAACGGGGTGACTGCTGGTCAGAGCTGAGGGGGACACAGATGATAAATCACTGGATGTAAAATCTACTGTTGATGGCTGGAGAACAGAGGAAGATTTACTATGTAACTCCACCGATGACAGGGATAAATTTTGTACTAGTGAGGTAGCAGTTGATAATACTGAATTTGATTTATACGTTGTCAGCAGTGAAAAAGACTGTACAAGACTTGTACTATCTATTGTGGTCCTCAGAGCTGAACTTGAGTATTCTTTACGTATAGTGGATGTTGCTTGAATTTCTGTGGGAGACATTTCTAAATTTGATGTTTTCATTGATGATGTCAGACTAGGAGTAGAAGGTTGAATAAGGGAAAACGAACTGGTTATATTGATAGTTTGATACTTCAATTCAGCACTTGGACCATATTGATACTGCTTTTTATTTTCTGAAAAAAAGTAAAGAATTAAATCCCAAATAAAACTGTATGACAAGTATTGTAAATATATATTGAGAAAATAATGTAAAATTTCTAAAATATCACTACAAGTGTATAGATTACATGTATTCAAAATTAATTTTTGAACTGAAGTGTTGTTTGATTTTTTTTTACATTACACGTGTACTTTCTCTTTTTATTATAAGAAAGAGGAAGAGTAAAAAAACAATAGCTGATACAAACCAATATTTGTAAGGACAACTACAACAACGGTGCAAATGAAGATGAATGCAAAAACGAAACACAAAATGGCCATAATAAGAAAATTTCTCCTGGCTGATTGACTTTTGATATTGTCCGATGGATCCATAACCGAAAACTGTTGCATCGTCATTTTGGTTGCCCATAACGGAAAGTAGAAAGCTGTAAAGGAAACCATCATGTAAAGACTTTAAACAAAATTATTTATAAAGCAATAAAAGGTATATTGTGCAGACGAACAGGAAAACATTTATCTTTGCCTCATTTTTTGATGTTTGTATTTTTTCACCTCATAAAGTCAAAATTTCTGCTGTATGCAGTGTACTTACAACTGTATAGCTTTTCAAAGTTAATGTTATAACACAGACAATACTGTATCAATTCCGAGAATTCCTCATAACATGAAAAGTCACAAGCGGAAACTCATCTTTGCTCAACATGCTAATTTAATGTCAGCTTTTTTCTGGTTTACATATCAGAGAGATAAACTAAAAAGTGTCAGGCAATGTACTTCAACAAAATTGAGATCATTTAAAAGTCGAAAACAAGTAAAGAAACAAAAGAGCTTATTGTTTTTTTTAACATTTACTCAAATCGGAAACACTTCAAAGATGGTAAAATTAAAATCGAGAAGGTGACAGAGACGTATCCGGATACACTCGGGGTCTGGGCATAGCCAGAACCCGACTTCGAAAATAAATGAAAATGCTTCAAGGCTTAATCATTCTTTTGAGTTATAAAAATAATAAAAACAAACAATCAATTGCAAAGCAGAGAGAGAGAGAGATAGAGGGGGAGCAAATTAAACTCATGCAGTCGCAAAACGGACGCCGGTGGGGCAAACAAGACCATTTTTGACACAGTAACTTTATCGTTTTGTGAAATTTCTTCATTTTCCCCTCATTTATTTACTTTGAGAATTTTTAAAAAATTTTAAACGAGGTGTTATTTTTCCAATTCTTGATAAAACAAAATGCAATATATTATCTGAAAATTACCAAAAAACAAACAAACAAACAAAAACGAAACAAAAAAATCATTACTATGATTACAGAAATCATGACTTGAAATAAACTATATATGACTTGTATGGCACGCCAAATTCACAAAAATGAGATAAACCTAGTTTCACAATTGATAAACTAGGTTTATCGACTGTAAACTATAGTTTAAAACCGTAAACTATAGTTAACGATTCGTTAAGTATAGTTAACGATTCGTTAAGTATAGTTTTCATCTCTTAAACTATATTTAACGGTCGTTAACTATAGTTTACGAATGCTAAACTAAGTTTATCCGTCTGAATAAAGCGTTAACAATAGATTCACGTTTGTAAACTATAGTTTACAATCGTAAACTATGGCACGCCAAATTCACAAAAATGAGATAAACCTAGTTTCACATTTGATAAACTAGGTTTATCGACTGTAAACTATAGTTTACAAACCGTAAACTATAGTTAACGATTCGTTAAGTATAGTTTTCATCTGTAAAACTATATTTAACGGTCGTTAACTATAGTTTACGAATGCTAATCTAAGTTTATCTGTCTGTAATAAGCGTTAACAATAGATTTTGTTGATAAACATAGATTCACGTTTGTAAACTATAGTTTACAATCGTAAACTATAGTTAAGAGTTGTTAATCATAGTTTCACAAATCGTGAAACTATATCTATCAGATCGTTAACTATAGTTAACGGTTTGTAAACTATAGTTTACAAATCGTGAAACTGTATTTATCAGATAATCTATGTTTTGCAATCGCAAATGATTGTTTTCAGTGTTAAGTATAGTTTACGGTTGTGAAACATAGATTATCGCGTTAACTATGGTTTACGGATGTAAAATATAGATTAACGTTGTTAACTATAGTTTACAGTCCGTAAACTATAGTTTACAACCGATAAACCTAGTTTATCGACTGTGAAACTATGTTTATCTCATTTTTGTGAATTTGGCGTGCCATAGTAAACTATAGAACTTAAGAGTTGTTAATCATAGTTTCACAAATCGTGAAACTATATTTAACATATGGCACGCCAAATTCACAAAAATGAGATAAATCTAGTTTCACAATTGATAAACTAGGTTTATCGACTGTAAACTATAGTTTACAAACCGTAAACTATAGTTAACGATTCGTTAAGTATAGTTAACGATTCGTTAAGTATACTTTTCATCTGTAAAACTATATTTAACGGTCGTTAACTATAGTTTACGAATGCTAATCTAAGTTTATCTGTCTGAATAAAGCGTTAACAATAGATTTTGTTGATAAACATAGATTCACGTTTGTAAACTATAGTTTACAATCGTAAACTATAGTTAAGAGTTGTTAATCATAGTTTCACAAATCGTGAAACTAATGTATATTTATCAGATCGTTAACTATAGTTAACGGTTTGTAAACTATCGTTTACAAATCGTGAAACTGTATTTATCAGATAATCAATGTTTTGCAATCGCAAATGATTGTTTTCGATGTTAAAGTATAGTTTACGGTTGTGAAACATAGATTTTCGCGTTAACTATGGTTTACAGATGTAAAATATAGATTAACGTTGTTAACTATATAGTTTACAGTCCGTAAACTATAGTTTACAACCGATAAACCTAGTTTATCGACTGTGAAACTATGTTTTGCTCATTTTTGTGGATTTGGCGTGCCATAGACTTGGATTCAAACAAGATGATTTAGAAGAAGAAAAATTGCATAGAATATATTGAACAATTACAGTACTGTTTAACCGTATATTTATGAATTAGTAGAAAAGAATTTATTTTCTTGACCCTGTGTAACGGTACGTAATGTTCTTATTTTCTTGTCCACTAAAAATGCTCAAATTATAGAGTTAATTTAGCAGCCCTCTTTTGAATTTACATGAAGTTTACAAGTTAACCAATATAACCTTGTTGAACTCTGCTTTCTCGGTCACTAACAGTAAGTGTTTTGTGATGGCGTCCTTTATTTTTCTTCTAGTACTTTTGCAGATAAATTATGTCAGTAGCGAGCTGGAGGAAAATGGGCAGGGTAAGTTTTCGAGGTTTAAGGAGGCTGGGGGGGGGGTCAACAAATTAACCACCAGATTTAACTTATTTTTTCTGATACGGTATCTTATGCTGTCAGCTATCATTTGGCAAAGAAAAAAATTCACACATTTTAGTTTTAAAATTTGATCATTTTTGTATAGTATCTTTATATGGAGCTCTTCTTTTAAAGGAGATCGAAATAGTCTGAAAATGCCCCCCCCCCCCCCGCCTCTTTAAATCAGTGAACGAGGAAAAAAAGGAAATAAAAATTAAAGAAAGAAAGAGCTCTTAAATATTCATCTCGATTTTCATATATAATATGTTGCATTTAAATTTACCTTAAAGTTAACATCAAGGAAATTTCATTGTTTGAACAAAAATGGAGATTGATTGATTGATTGTATACTGTTTAACGTCCCTCTCCAGAATATTTCACTGATATGGAGACGTCACCATTGCCGGTGAAGGGCTGCAAATTTAGGCCTGTGCTCTGCACTTACGGCCTTTGAGCAGGGAGGGAAAAAATCGTGCCACACCTGCTGTGACACGGGAGCCTCGGTTTATATATATCCGAAGGACCGCCCCATTTAGTGGCCTTTTACGACAAGCAAGGGGGTACTGAGGACCTAGTCTAACCGGGATCCCCACGGGGCCAAAAATGGAGAGAGTGAGACGAAAAAAATGTCTACGTACTGATATATAGAGTTGTAAAACTGTAAAATTGAGGATGAATGGGGGAAAATATCAATGAAAGGAAAGGGGAAAAGGTAGAGAGGGGCGAAGGAAACAAATTAAGTATATTTAATTACATCTAGTTCCATGTAAAATTAACAGTTCCCTACGCGTGTGCTACCCCAGGGCCTATAAATCACGGGACCGTCCTGACTTGGGGCGGTAATCTCTTGGTGGAGTACATTTGTGACGACGGCTTCTTCCCGATCGGGGATGTGTTTGGGGCCTGCATTGAGGAGGAGGGGAAGTGGACCATTAATTCCCCCATATGTGTAGGTATGTATTTTGAATAAATATAATTTTAGGGAAACAAATATATGCATTAAATATCTGTGTCCTTGCTCTGTTTTTAAGTGCGAAATATCGGAATCATTCACCACATTGAATAATGATCTCCTCTCTTATATCATGTATATTGATAATTAATTAAGACAATCGGTGATAATCTCAACATTTCTTGTTCTCATGTTTTACACACACTATTTCCTACATAGCTAAGGGTTGCGCGATTCCCCCCGCTCCGGTGTATGGTTACGTTAGCATGGATGACGAAGGACAAATCGCTAAATTCACCTGTGGACGGAGTCACTATTTGCTGGGGGCCGCCGAAGTTTTCTGTGAAGGGGGCGGACTATGGAGCAGTCCCTCACCAAAATGCATCGGTAAGGTTTCATCATGCTACAGTGAAACCTAGCTGCAGAATGTAGCAGCGAGCTATAGATCTGCATCCAAGTGAAACCTGTTATTTTTAAAATATATGTCAGCGTAGATGGGGTGTCAGATTGCACAACGTAAAAAACTTTTAAAAATTATATAAACAAAAAGGCATTAGAATTCATAGGAAACCAGATAAAACAGGATCGGATTAAACAGTTTTTACTGTATTAATTTATTATTGTAAGTTATAAAGCATATCAGTAATACATTCTCCTCATAAAATTTTACTTAGGTTTTTTTCAAATTGCAAGGTCCAGGCAGCCGGAACCCGAGCACTGAAAAGCTGAGGGTAAAGAACGAGACAAAAGAAGTATCTGTTGAGCAGCCTCCATCTATAAACTTTACCGCGGAAATCAGGGAGGCAGACGGCACATGCATCCACCAGCGTTATAGGACCCCTCCGCCCATTCCCCACGCCACGGCTGTCACCCCTTACCACTACAACAAATACAAAAGAGTGTGGGTCATTTACGCTAACTACACCTGCGATGAGGGTTACCACTTCCAGAGCAATCACTCCAGATACATGTTCTGTCAGAGCTACAAGTGGACCTCTCCAGACCAACCCGTGTGTCTCAAAGGTATAAATGCATCTGGGTTTAACATGTTTAATAGAATGGCCCGTATGTCATGAACGTGTGCTTCGTATCTATAGCCGATGGACTTAGACTAAAATTTCACCTATAAACTTGTGATATCAATGATATCACTGCATTTTGTTCTGAAATTTTTTAAAGCATGCATGTCATCCTGTTGTACACATGATGTATCACCCCATGCATATGCCAATTATCATGAAGTGATAAAGTATGTTAATAATTCAATGTTTGAGCGCCAATTTCAGGTTAAACTAATGGTGTTTAAATCTTTCATCAGATGTAATCCATCCGTGCGTGAGGGATAACGGAAACTGTACCCAGCTGTGTATCCCGGGGGAGGGGTTGGACTACTTCTGTGACTGTTACCGTGGATACGGGCTAGTGAAGGACGGCAAAACGTGTGCTGGTAAGGTTACAGGATACCATATCCACGTGGGGGTGTGTTATGGTGCCAGTAAGCATCCAAGATTAGTGTGTTAATTTATACTTTCACTCTGAGATATAACTAGAACATTAAAGAAAAAAAAGAAATAACACGCCTAGATAATCAGCGACAAATTTTAATCTCTTAAACAATCTTAAACAATTTCAGATAGGGACGAATGCGTCATTGACAACGGTGGCTGTGAACAAGAGTGCCGGAACACCGTAGGCTCGCGATACTGCCTATGTAGACAAGGCTATGTAGCCGTAGGCAACGTCTGTTTTGGTATGTTATAGGTTTACTGATTTTGCCTATAAATTTCAAATTATGTGTAAAATATTCGTATTTTTTTTTTCAAAATCTATAGGCTGCAGATCTGTAGCGGTTCTCCGGAAAAAAAATTTAAAAAAATATATTGACAGACCGGCAGCCACGTGGCATCGTTTTTGAAAGGGGAGGGGGGCAGCCAGAGAATTTTTTTTTACTTACCTGAAAAAGTTGACAAGCAAAAAAAAAAAATAAATAAATAAAGATAAAAAAAAAATTGCCCAAAGTCGAAAATCATGGGGCAGGACCAACTTTTTCCAACACCAACTACTTTCAGTACCAATCATTATACTACATTTCCCGTACATCACTAACAGTGGGGGGGGGGGCTACCAGCCTTTCATTGAATATTTCCTACAGTATAAGTAAAGTTTGGGGAAAAAAAATGTTGCTAGGTGCCTGGGGAGGAATATATATTTTTTTTCTTCTTCTTCTTAATTTGCCCCCCCCCATGTATGACTTTGATCTTTGTTGCTTATATAGGTGCCTGACCGGAGAGTACAGAATGAACTGCAGCTAGGTTTTTATATTTTACCAGTGATAGCAACCTGCACACTGGGGCACATAGACATTTATTAGGGCAGTGAAAGTATGCAGCATATTATGCAATAAAAATAAGTAAAGAATTGGCCAGGGAGGACCCTTTGGTTTTATTAATTCATTGTCATTTTCAATGCAAGCAATGGAATGAAAACTTTCCCCAGGATTTGTCCATGTAATGTTTATCATTAATCTTTGAATTAATCTGTCTCAGTAAATATAAAGTTATTTTGTTTTTTGAAATACGAATGCTATTGGTGTTTAATTCATGTTTAATGGTCTTTTATTCAGATTAAGCTTTTTGAACTTCAGGCCCGCAAGGGAGAGGAGTTAAATTATGGTTTATTTTTAATGTGTCTTTTGCAATAGTATATTTTAGAGATATACCGACCCCCCTTTCCACACTTATAGTTTTCGTTGCTGTAAGGTCGGTTACAGACAAATTAAATTTCAGGATAAAAGTTAAAATTTAAGAAAATGGTCCAATTGGGAAATTAACATCCAACCCCATCTCCCTCGACAATTTAGGAGTTTCTTTTTTTAATTGCCCGACATATTTTTTGAAAGTTGCCCCTTTTAAAACCGTTGCTGTGCCTCATTAAGACACATCTTACAAAGCATAAATTGTGAATAGGACTTACGCATCCATTATTATAGTGAACTACATGTATACACAACTGCACACAGTACTGTAATAATATATAAACGAACAATAATTAATATTAATAGAATTGTCAATTAATTATTTTTGTCAGAATTAAATAAACTTTAATTATTATTAGTATTTAACTTAGTATTCATAGTTATTTAGATAAACTTTTATTATTAGTAGTATTTTACTTAGTATTTATTTATAATTTTATATATCTATTTATTTATTCATTCGTTCATTCCATTTTAAAAAATACGGGAAGATAATCGGATGTGACGCATTATCAATTTGTAAGCGCTATGTATATATATAAGTTAAAAGCCAGAAACAGTATCCCGTGATAGCTCAGTTGGTAGAGCGGAGGACTGTAGTGAGTTGTTCTAGACATCCTTAGGTCGGTGGTTCAAATCCGCCTCGCGGGATTGCACTTTTTTTTCTTCAAGCCCACCCATTGTATGCCTTCATGGCCTTGATACAATGAATGTATGTTGCTTTTCAAGATAAAATTCTATATTTTCTTGTGGTATTCCACACAGACATAGGATGCATCTTTGCAATCACCTTACTTCAGTGAAGATATGTATTTATAACTATAATGTTAAATGTATATTTACAATCATTGTTCATTTGTCAATAATACCCCCCCCCCCCGGGTGGACCCATAATTGGTAAATAAATATATTAAATAATGAGGGGGATAAAAAATTTGCACGCTTAAAATATTCACTGGCTCGCCAAAAAAAAAAAGTATATTATAATTAGCGGTTTAGCTTATTTCGTACAATTTCAATTCACACTTTTTTGTTCGCATTAAACGTTTTAATTAAATATTAGCTTTCATAACTCAAAGCCCTTTATTTATATGTTTTCTATTCGAATTTTATTTAAGAGAACTTAGTATAACTTTACATTTTGGTACATCATAATTTATTATAAAGCATGGAAACATAAAAGGAATTTAATTCTGTAAAGTGCTTTACGGGAGGGAGTTTACGTGTACCGGTATTATAAGCTGTTGTAGTTAAAGTATGATATAGTCCCGTCCAGTTCTCTGATCAGTATCCTTAAAGTAAATTGAATCCTTGTTGATTTAATTTCTATGGAAAAGAAATCGTTATTTTTCTTTAAATGCAATTTTGCTTTTACTTGTATCATATTTCTTCGAATTATATATTTAATTATCAATTTTTAAAATTGTATAATATAAATGTAAAAGAGTGGAGAATATAAATATATTAATAATCATGTTTTTTTTCAATAAATAAGTCCATCATTGATATCTGTCAGCTATATTACTTCTAGTTTCTATATTATGATACTATAGTATATCTAACAGCCGGGTCGGTGAATTTACAGGACTAAAGTTTCAGATTATGATATATGTTTATCACACTTAATAAACATTTCTGATCAATCAATTATGGAGTATTATTTAGAGGACCTCAACTTCCACAACTCCCTTTACACGCCTCTTCCCCAGGGAATACAAGTCACGTCTAAATTTTATTTCATTTGATAAAAAAAAGTCATTATAAATTGTATGGAATCCCTTAAACTTTTATATTATATTCCAGTTATTTTGCCTACGTGTACTAGGATGCTCTGAGAAATTTCCGTGTCATGATTAATACTAACAAATCGGGAACATAAGCGCGTGTCGGTCGAGCACATGTTCTCCTGTTGCACGGATAAATTAGATTATATTTCGTATTCTCTCGGCACTCTCCGCTTCCAAATGGCTTTATCCAGAAGAAAGGAAATACCACGCTGTCAGTCATCCAAGGTTACTCGGGAATCACCGTGTTCAACAGCGTGTCAAACCCAGTTTAAAAGTTTCCAAAGTTTCCCACAGCGCTTGACGTGGATCCAGAGTGTAGGAATAACGGAGAGAGGACATCTATTGATATTAATCACCTCGGAAGGTAGGTGCCGAGACATTTTACACTTGGAGGGATATAAATAGGTACATATGTGTTTGTAGCATTCCAGTCGGATCAGATAACCTCGCCGAACGAGCTTATCCGATGTGGGGCCCAGCAAAGGGGCACTTGTTGGAACTGGTCTGCCGTGAAAGTCAAGTCCGTGTAAAATATTATCACGGATAAACCGTAATCCTGGTCACAACGAGAGGAAGCCAACGAGCAGAACTCAGATAGCGATCTAAAATATCAGTGGGATTTTGGAGGGAAATTGTCCGCCGTGAATTGGCTCGGGACAGGGGAAGCGGTGTTACTCTCCCGTGGGACAACCCGCATGTGGTTTTTGTCCCAATTATACAGACAGCACGTCAAGTCAGATTTATAATAGACTGCCGGATATCAAGGTGCTACAGACGATCCTGTTACCTTTCACTCGTGGCCAGCTATTCTCTGTCGACGGGATTTCTATTTTATTGTGACAAAACTTTTGGATACTTTATGGACCTTGCAGTTAAAGGGTAAAGTTTAGCTATATTTGATCCAGAGTCCAGATTTAACAGCTGTTTAATTCAGCTGGCGATGTGTTCGCCTCAGTGTTAAGACATTCCAGTAGGAATATATTACCTTTGTTGAAGGTCTCCGTGTCGCTTAGGCGTAGAAAACTGGAGGCGGATCTATAAGTGTGAAATGCGTGGTACGGTTTCCATTGTCGAATGATTTGCGAGGTATAAACGTTAGGGAACTCCGAGATACGATATCTTAAGAATAATATTACAGCGTAGGTCTATAAAAGATTTACCAAGAAAGTCAATTACGGGACTTTGACATTTGAGGTAAAAAAAAAAAGAAGAAAAGTGTGTCAAACGATTTCCCTGTTAATTATGTAAATTAAAAATTGTATGACAATAGATAATTTTGGGCTGATAAATAATCCCTTTGCTTTTAACACCACATTGTAGATCTATGGTGTCTTGTTATTGAAAGCTAGCCTTGTAGATTTACCCTTTGGGCGTAGTTTACATGATGTATGCATATATAATGCTCTAGGAAGTTTAGCGGATGAACATGGAAAATCCAGATTCTATCCGTATATTTCTTAAAATATCCTGTTCATCGAGTTCATTTAGCGTGACAGATAGTCATTCTTTTACTTAGGAGAGCTATGAATTCATGGAAAACCTGCACTATTATGTAACAAATAAAAATATCAAAATAAAAATATCAAAGATACGTTTCCTTCTCCATGTTGACGGGGGAAGATTAAATTTTACTCAGCAGTTAAAAGTTTAATTCAAATCTATAAATAACAATCAATGTTACGGAAATAAAAAAATATTCCGAACTATTGAATGATAAAAAAGTCTCTTTTATTCACCAGACATTGGCAGACAAAATATCAAAGTTGTGTGTAATCAGTCAACAGTTAATTGGATCCTTTATACCTTTTTTTTTAAAATTCTAGGCAATGTGCCTCTAAGACCATCTTTCAAACCATAAAGGGTAATTTATGATTTTTTTTATGACCAACTTATTTGTACAACTTTTTATTTTAAATTTAGAAAATAAAATACTACTTGAAAATGTATTAATTAATTCTTACATTCAGAGACTTATCCTATGCATTTTTTACTATTTGTCTGATGGAAAAGAGAATGATGAGGTAAAAAATAAAGTGACACAATTTTTCTGAGCAGAATTTCAAAGTAACTAAGGAAACAGGGCTCATGTTCGGCTCCCCCTACTGCTACTTCTGAGGGTAATTAATAATGATTAAGGATGGAGATCATGGATTTAATGGAGACTTTACAGGATGAACACTTCAACTTAAGGAAGTATGTTTTTGGAATTCACACACGAGCGAGATGGGAAGCGGCCATTTCTAATAGGTCTGAGAGGGGAGGATTGGAAATGGCACTTTGACACAGGAAATTTTTAATCAGCTCCTGTACTTGACAAAAACATTCAAACCAAGTCTTATTTTTCCAAATGAGGTTCTTTTTTTGATTGCATGGCTTCCTTTAGACTTTTGATATTTTAATTGTTGAGTCATAGCTGTTTTGGAGTGCGGAGTCCAGTGGATGGTATAAGAGTCGATACAGGATTTTCTATTTCAGTTGATGATTTTTTTTTTAATGTTTTAGGTTTTTCCCCATTGTGATTTTGAAATGGATAGACTTGAGAATCTAAATTCTGCTTGGTGTTTTTTATAAAGTAGGAGTAAAATACAGGATATTCAAATGAGAATGGTAACTTTTAACCAATGATGAAGGCTTATCAGTATTAAATTATTAGGAACATTTTATTTATTTTTTTTTTTAATTAATGCATTTACTTTTGAGTTCAGACTTTTAAAACCAAGTCTTGAATAATTGATGATTTTTCTTGCAGTTTTAAAAATACCATGTTATTTTTTCAATATTTCTAGGGAAAATTTATCTAAAATTTCAAAGATGTCTAAATTGTATTATGTTTCCTTTTTCAGAAGTTGTATGTAGAAGATGTGACAATGCCGTCTGCTGAGCAATCACTTGTGGAACGTCTGCTGAAGCAGTCGATTCTGACCGTCTGCAAAGAGGCAGTGGCCTACAGCCAACAGCTAGAGATTGATGGAATCATCTGCATCTCCCCAGAAAACCAGGACAAGCAAATCGTTGTCAAAGTTCATGAACTTTTCAAAAAGGCCTTTGATGGTGAAGAAAAAATTCGGATTGACGATCAAGATGATAGCCAGATTGTGGGGAATTCAGAATCATCCCTGTACAGAAAATCCTGCAATGGAGATCAATTTAAAAAAGAGTTTGCAGAAAATTCAAATGACATTTTAGGTGAGGATTCCAACAAGACATTCAGCAAATTCAGTGATGTGATAAGTGAGAGGAACAGTACGTATGAGGAGAATGAAGACTCGGAGAGTTGCCATAGCGATGACACCAGCATGGAGACGGAGGGAATTGGAGCCGAGAATGACGAGGAATCTTCAATGTCTGCCTCAGTCATCAAAAAGCCAATGATGAGTAGAATCATAGCTCCAAAGCTCTCCAATCAGAGAGGTAAAACATCACGCCAAAAAACACAAACAAATTCCAAGAAAAATAATTCAGTAAAGAATGAAGAAGATGATGTGCCTGGGTATATTTACAACAGTGAAGCTCCAAAAGCCGACATAAAGCCAGTTAAAGATGTAGAGTGCAAGCGCTGCTACCAGGTGCTTCCAGACGGACCATCATTTGAGAATCACAACCTGAATCAACACAATGTCTACACTTGCCTGGTCTGTTACAACACTTTCACTTGTCGCAATAACATGAAACGCCACATGAGGCTACACACTGGATATAAACCATACCAGTGTACTCTGTGTTCTGAGAGCTTCACCCGAAAAGACGACATTAAAAGACACCTCATCAAACACAACTACAACAAGCCATTCAGGTGCAACCTGTGTAACAAAGGCTACATGGATCGAAAAACAATCAAAAACCACATGAAGAAAGAGCATGCCACAAAACTGCTACACTGCTGCCCCACTTGTGGTGAGAGCTTCAATGATGTCATCAAATTTCAGAAACATAAGAAGAGTCACCCAGAACTAATGATATACCAGTGCTCAATCTGTAACTTCTCAGGATCAAATCCCCTCATGTATAACAAGCACATGCTGGTACACGGGCAAGAGAAGACTTTCAATTGTGTTCCCTGTGGGTCTGAGTTTTCTGACCCCTTCAAGTACACTAGTCATCTGAAAAAGCATCGCTCAGATGAAGATTTCGATTCTTATCAGTGCTGCTTTTGTTCTCATATGCTTTCAACATACGACCAACTCATTAAGCATGAGCACACTCACGTTCAGAGCAAGAGACACACATGCACTGTGTGTATGAAGCAATTCCGTTATCCTTCCAATCTGCGTGAACACATGCTAATCCATTCTGACATGAGTCATAAGATCCGAATCCACATTAAAAAGGAGGTCATTCCCTCCACACTTAACAACGAAGAAGAGGATCTGTCCAACTCTGAAGGAAAAACTGTACCTGTCACAATAAAACCTGAACCTGAGATAAATGACAATGAAAAGGAACAAATCTCGAGTCAGTACTGGTGTACCGAGTGTCAGACAGGCTTCGAGTCTGAGAATGATCTCACTGACCACATCTCAGTTGCACACGATGAATCGGTCAGCAAATCAGAGACCAGTGGACTGGATAACTCGACTGGTGAAGAAGCTGTGAAATACGACGACTCATTAAATCACCTAGAGGACATGGAAAATTCAAGTAGTGACAATGAAGAAGAAAACTTTAAGAGGCCAAGAAAAACTGGAAAAAAGACTTTTAACAAGGACCCTAATGCTACCTTTAGTCTTTTACCTGCACATCTTAAAAACCTTTCTGAGACAAAGAGCAACAAAGCATGCTCAGACGAAGAAGAAATAGAGTCTGAGTGCTCTAATCAGTCTGAGCTCACAAGTGGTGGTAATCCTAAGAGCATATCCCCAAGTTTTTCGGATACCGCGAGTCCAGCGTCCAGCATGCCAGTGTTTCCTCAGAATGAGCAGGACAATCACGTCATAATGCCGGCCTCCTCTCCGTCACCCATTCCTGTCTCCGTGGCCTCCAACAACTTCAGCACCGTCACCCGCTCACCGGGATTCGAGCGCGTCATAACTCCCGAAATCCTCTTCAAAATGAAGGAGCCATTCAAGTGTGACATTTGTCGTGGAACGTTTGATAACTTTGAGGCCTTTGATAAACACTGCAATTCTATCCATCGGAGATACATTTGTGACTTTTGTGGCAAGCAATTCACGTCAAAGCCAAATCGAGATCGCCATGTGCGCTACCATACTGGAGAAAAACCTTACAAGTGCGAGCTCTGTGGTCAATCATTTTTCCGTGGGGATGACTTGAAGTATCATAGAACAACTCGCCATTCTGATTTCTTTACCTTCAACTGCAGCAAATGCAGAATGACATTTGCATGGGCAAAAGATTTAGAAAAACACTTGTTGAAGTGTCATCGTTGAATTTTAACATTTGTATTAATTTTTTTTAATTTTTAAATCAGAATACATTAACTTTTTATTCTATTGTGCTGAACAGACCAGTTTGAAATGAAATTTGGCATGTTATGACTACCCTTTCCTTTTATCCTCCTTTGGAGAAGCTTAATATATTAAACATTCTAAAATAATGCCTATGCATGAATGCAAAATTTAGGACAGGTGATAATTTCTGAAAGTTATTCTATTTAATTTAGATTTCAAAAATTGTTTTTGGTTTTTATATAGGAACTATAAATAACAAATTGAAATATGAGGCTGTGGAAGTAAGATTAATCCAAAAATCTATGCAACCAGGTAATTCATTGTCAGACAGGTAAATAATTCCACTTTTAGAGGTAAACTGGAAGTACAGGTATCTGTGAATGAATACTGAAGGTTGCTTGTGTTTTATACTTTGTGTTTCTATGCAGTTCTGTCCTTGAATATTGTATGCACTGAAGATCCTTAGCAGGAAGAAGTAGACATGCCTGTCGAGAAAATAAAATGCAAAACAGAAATTTATAGGTGAATTCCAGTAGAAAAATCCCTGGGAAATAAAGCTAGTTTCAGATCCTTTTTACCTGACCAAGCACAATTTTTTATTGTGAAGTCACACTACAATAAACTGCACCTTTGCATGGGATTTAAATCCTGACCCAACATTGACATTCGGAATTTCCAGTGTTTTTTTTATGAGATAAAATGATCGGTCCTCCTGGTATTTAGAACGTGGGTTTGAATATTCTGCGAATTTAAATCATGTTTGTTGAAAAAGAGGGCATATATGCACTAGAAAAATATGAATGTAATAAACAGTTCAGTGAATGAATTCTTTTTTGCATTTATCCCATTTTGTTTTATGTATAACCAGAATTTTAATTTTTTTTTATTTCTGAACATGTTGCATAATCTTGATTGTAACAGAATGTATTCCAGGTTCATTATGAAAGTGCCTTACAAATGGATATTCTTATTTCATGTATACAAATAAAGGAATAAAATGTTATTTTGATTATTCTTTTTTCAATATTCAAATACTTTCATTTGTTGATGGTCTTTATTGAGATAATTAATTTTTAAGTTGTTGGTAAATATCGTTCAAGAGTCAAAGTTTCCATAGGATCTTTCACAAGAACACTGAGCTATTGGGATACGAATCAAGTTTAATTTCCCTTGATTAGTGAATAATATTAAAACAGATTACTATAAATATTACATTAGGAGGTGTATTCGTGTAAGAACCCTTAAGCAAAAAAAGCGTCCATTGAATCAATTGCACTGCTTTATGTCTTACATAAATAATATATATATATATATTCTTATATCTTGCAAGCTATAGTGACAGAAAGCATTATAGGCTACAAATTGACAGGGTGTAAGAATGCATAGACTGCGATATGCCAGAGTGAAAAAAGCATAGGCTTCAGTGCCAGCTAGGGCATAGGGTGGCATAGGCTACAATACCAGAGTGTAAAAATATGTAGGCTACAATTCCAGGGTGTAAACTACAATGCCAGGGTGTAAGGATATACAGGTTACAATGCCAAGGTGTAAGAGGAATATATATAGGCTACAATGCAAGGATGTAAGAATATATAGGCTAAAATGCTAAGAGTAAGAATATACAGGCTACAATGCCAGGGTGTAAGAAGAATAAAATTAGGCTACAATCCAAGGATGTAAGAATATATATAAGGCTACAATGCTAACAGTAAGAATATACAGGCTACAATGCCAGGGTGTAAGAAGAATATACATAGGCTACAATGCAGGGATGTAAGAATATTATATTAGGCTACAGTGCTAACAGTAAGAATATACAGGCTACAATGCCAGGGTGTAAGAACAATTAAAAGTCTTCAATGCCAAAGTGTTAATTAAATTAGAATATATAGGCTACAATGCCAGGGGGATAGACAGTATTTGCTGGAGATAAATGTGTGACAAAGCAAGAAGCTAATCTCACATTTGATTTTTGCCCTTGTTTTTCACTTTCTCTCATTTTTTCTTTTATTCCCTTGACTTCCCCTTGCATTCACCCTTTTGCAGTGTTGCTATCAGATTTTTGCTCAATGGTTTGGGATAGAGAGTAGCCTATGCATATACAACGTACACATGCATATGTCATTTGTCATTTTTCCATTTTGTTTTAATCATAGAAAATTTATATTAAAAGACCATTACACCTCAGTCTAAAAAAATATCCCATACTTTGATGAGAGTGCCATATGACAAAGATATGTTAAAACTTGAGATATGCATGACTTTTTTTCATTTAACACAGACCCCCCAAAAGTATGAAAATGTTTGTTTTGTAACAGATATTGATGAGTGCCAGGAATACAGAAAAAATCTCTGTCCTGGTGAATGCATCAATACACCTGGATCATTCACCTGTAACTGTAGTATCCCAGGCTACTTACACAGTCCCACAGACAAATTCTGTGAAGGTGAGTTATATCTGCTAGTACATGTAGTTTCAGAGTCACTTTTTTGATGTGTTAAAAAGATTTTAGTTTATCATTTTCAGATTTTGTACAGCAATACTTTATAGTAATTAAAACATCTATTTATTTTGGATGTAGTTTTGCTTTGTTTGTCTGTATGTTTCTCTGAAATTAATATTTCAAAGCCTTCTGAAGACGTTTGTTAGGACAATGATCAATTCTTTTTACTAGGAGATATTAAAAAGGAGTGGAAATTTTACAATGTGTAGTTTTCAGATTCTTTTTGTGGTTATTTAACATTCATGACGGACTCTTGTACATTGTGCTGCTATTCATTTCAAAATTTTAGACTTGACTAGATTTTCATTTAAAAATATAAAAGAGAATTAGATATTGTCATTCGATCCATTGTAGATGTAGATGAATGTAAAATATTGTCATGCCATTGTAGATGTAAATGAGTGTAAGGAAAACAATGGAGATTGTCAGGAAATCTGTGTCAACACTGTAGGGTCATATCACTGTGAGTGTGGGGAGGGGCTGAAGCTAGAGGTGGACGATCACAACTGTACAGGTAACTCAGTCTTACAGATAACCCATGCAACTATAGTGATAAATACAGCAGTACAGGTAACATAACTGTACAGGTAAGATAATCCTACAGGTAAAATAACAGGTAAGACAATCTTACAGGTAACACAGTCTTACAACTGTACAGGCAACACAATCTAACAGTTAGCACAATCTTACAGGTAAGTCAATCTAGCTTACAGATAACACATTCTTACAACTGTACAGGTAACACAATCTAACAGGGGACATAATCTTACAATTAACACAATCTTACAGGTAATACAATCTTACAGGTAACATAACAGGACAGGTAAAACAACAATCTTACAGGTTTCACAATCTTACAGGTAACACAACCTTACAGGTAGCACAATCTTACAGGTAACATAACTAGACAGGTAAGAAAATCTTACAGATAGCACATTCTTACAACTGTACAGGTAACACAATCTTACAGGTGACATAATCTTACAGGTGACACAATCTTACAGGTGACACAATCTTACAGGTAACATAACTGGACAGGTAAGACAACAATCTTACAGGTGACACAGTCTTACAGGTAACACAATCTTACAGGTAACACAATCTAACAGGTGATGCAATCTTGCTGGTAAAACAATCTTACAGGTGACACAATCTCACAGGTGACATAATTTCACAGGTAACACAATCTTACAGGTGACACAATCTTACAGGTGACACAATCTTACAGGTAACACAATCTAACAACTGTACAGGTTAAACCCTCTTACAGGTTACACCTTCTTATAGGTAACACAACTGTACAGGTAACGCAAAAGTTCAGGTAACAACATCTTAAAGGGTCCTACAAATAACACAATTTTACATGTAATATCATCAAATAATAATATAACTGCATTTGACACTTACAGGGTCTTGCATATTACATTGTCTGCTCTTGCTGGTAACGTACACCTTAAATTAGAATCTTATTTGTAACATTACCCAAGCATAAACAATGTCTAAAGGGTCCTACAAGTGAAACTAGGGTCTCTTTTTATTTGGCATACTAGAGGTCACCCACTAGGGTGAGATACTTTTACAATCACATAGGGAGGAGGTCTTGGGGAGTCCTATTCACCACTTTTACCTCCTCTGGGCCTGAAGGTAGAGGTTATGACCCCATGTATATATCTTTTGCTAATGGTGTTTTGTATGCTCACTTGTTAAACAAAGAGTGACGTGTTCAAGCTGTGATATTGTTGTAAAAAAGTTTAATCAAAATTGCTCCATTAGAAGAAATATAAAATTATTTTTAAAGTAGTGAAAAAAGATGGCTTATTAATTAGTCATATATTTTAGGAACAAAAATAAAATTTTTCCAGTTACCACAAACTTATACATTGTAATTGTTCCTTCTTCTTGACTTAAGTTCCTATCTTTAGAGGGAAATACTGATAATTTAAGGTCCGTGAAACCAGGGATTGAATGTGTCACAGATTACATTTTACTGAGAGACTTAAGTAATTACATTGTATTTGCTTTGATGATCAGTGAACTTCCTACAAAATCTCAGGACTTGCTGGAACTGTCCATAATTGTAAACGTGCTTTCCTGGTCTGGGAAAGATAATCAGGAAAATGGAACAGTAATTTGTCTGGAATTTAGCATAGAGTTTCCTGGATATACATGTCTGATTTCTGGGTTACAGACTTAGTTATTCCTGATATTACAAATTAATTGACCAAATATGTCATCTATTGATTGTGATATAAGTACAGACTTTTATACAAGAATACATATATGTGTAATTTTGGTTTTTCCCAAATTCAGTCTTAATTAAAATTAAGCAAAGTTAATGGGATCCACTTCATGATGGCAACTTAATTTACAGTCAATGTGGTCATCAGAAATTTACTGGTCTTGATCTATTGAAAAGATCAATCCATTTCTAAAGTAAAAATGCCAGAATGTAAGAGGGAATTTAATTTGGTAATTATTTTGCATTTGCCTATAGTTTAAAAAAAATCCACATATATATAATGCAATTTGTCAGCATTTGCATGTCTTCCAATCTACAATTTTTTACGTTATTTGTAGATGTGAACGAATGTGAGGAATATGGCCCCCAGATCTGTAAGAATGGAGACTGTATAAACTGGAGTGGGGTGTATCAGTGTCTCTGTCACCATGGATACCAGCAACACAAGGATGGCATACACTGCACAGGTGGCCATGATGTTAAGACATTGTAATTACAGGCCTCAGTCAACATTGGAAGACCATGCTACATTCTCTTTCTTCTCAACCATTTTTTTCTTCCAACTAGAAAGTTGTAAAAATCCTACTTTTCTTTATAACTTTGAGAACATATCTTATGTACTCCAATACAGTTATTTACTTTTATTTGTCACTTGTGATCAGACTATAATCATATTTAAATAATATTTATCTGAATTCGAAGCATCATCCTTCTCATCCATTCCATTCATATTTCTGGATTCATGTTATCTAAAAAGCATTAGAACATAACCTACTTTTTCAGCCAATCAAATGCTTCCATTTCTCGCGAAGAATTGATTCTTCATGGTGAAGAATTCTTCTATCTCTGAAAAATTCAACGGTGCCTGATTGGTTCACTTGACAGTTATATGGGTGTGTCTTCATTGGTCTTTGTTCAACAAACAAAAAGAAACTATTCAAAACCCACGTGCTGTTTACAATGATATTTAAACTTTCTAGGCCTTGCTACACTTTTTTTCCCAACTGTAATCTTTTGTCGCCTTTTTGAATATTATTTTTTTCACAATTTGGTACATACAGAAAATACAACCATCGTCATGTATATTAGCTGCAGCTCTGTAGCTCTCCGAAAAAATTATCCGGTCTATCAATAATTTTTTTGGAGAGCTACAGAACTGCAGCTACATGTATATCAGAGACGAACCTTGTCTTTGAAGACAGATTTAATCACAATTTTTATGTAATTTTTATTTGATATTAGACAGCGATACCCACTCCTGCTGACTAGGGCTTTGTCATCTTAACACAATCATTTTTTTTAAATAGAGATATTTCGATTCTTGTTACATGGGTATTCATTAGTTCAGTAACTTAAATATTTTCACCATACCATTTCCCCAGAAAATCAAGCTATTTCATATAATCCCGTGCTAACCTGAATGGGTTGGAGTCAATTCTGAAACCGTGTGTGTTCGATATTGATTGCGTGTTCGATATGTACAACGAGCGGTCAGGTTGAGCTTTATATATGACACAGCCGTGGGAGGAGTTTATTTTTAATCCATTCATTTGATTGGCTGAGGTTCTGTTCTAAGTCAGTAAGATCATATGAAGAGAAATCTTCGTCACGAAGAATGGGCTCCGCTTCGCTCCGCCCATTCTTCATGACGAAGATTTCTCTTCATATGATCTTACTATTACAAAGAGTTACTGTGACTTGGTTTTAAATTATTAATACATGTATCTATATATCTTATGATGATTTTTCTTCAGATTTAAATGAATGTTTGGATGGAAACAATGGAGGTTGTCAGGATCTGTGTGTTAACACTGTGGGTTCCTACCACTGTGCCTGTTCCTGGGAAGGGTACCAGCTAGACCGAAATAAAACAGAATGTATAGGTATGTAATGGCCAGAATAGGGCTATCACAGGTTGGTATCAGATAGATACCAACAAACAACAAATATATAGAGCTAGAACAGGTTAATTGGTATCAGTTACAACAGAACTGAGTGCATGTAATTTCGTTCCAGCTACCAATTAAATCAAAAGTGTGCTCAACAATGTAAGTGCTTCCAATTGCTCACCAAAACTCCATAAATTGGATCTTGAGTAGGAATACATGCATGTTCACGAGTGCTTGCAAGCACTATGCCTGCATGAGTGCAGAATTTTTAGGTTGGCAACTACCAAAAAAGTGTGTAGCTAATGGTACCTGCTGGAAGTAATTACCTATAAACAAAATTACATCTTCATGCCCACTGGCCACCCATTTTCTTTTCCTTAACAGTTAGACATCTAAATAATGAGTATCACTGAATATTACTATATTTCTCATATTTTGATTTTTTTGGTCAGATGTTGATGAGTGTGCCGCAGACAATGGTGGATGTGAGAACTTGTGTATCAATACATATGGTGCTTTTTATTGTTTCTGTGAGGATGAAGGGTTTGTGGTTCATGAGAATGGGAAAAACTGTACAGGTGAGCTTAAAAACGTGTAATGTATGGGTAAGGTGTAACTGTACAGATAAGCTTAAATAGTACAGAAAAAATAAAAAAAACTGTACCGTCAGGTAAGGTAAAATCTGTACATGTAAGCTAAAAACTACATGTATGCTACAATCGATTTTACAGGTAAAAGAAACTGTTCAGGTATTAAAAAAGTAAAAACTGTACTTGTAAGCCAAAAACTGTATAGGTAAAAATGAAACCAAATGTACAGGTTAGCTAAAAACTGTACAGGCAAGCCAAAACTATACAGGTAAGCTAATACAGGTAAGCTTTAAACTGCATGTACAGGTAAGCTAAAATTATACAGATAAGCTAAAAACAGTCAGTTGAAATTAGCTTCAAAGCTAAAACTATACAGTCAGGTAAGCTACATAAAGTGCAGATAAACTAACATTTATAGAGGTAAGCTTAAATCTGTCTAGATAATCTATAACCTGCTTTAGGAGAGCAAAAGTTTTTAATAGTTAGCAAAAAACTTAAATATGAACAGGTAAATTAAAACTGTAGAGGTAGGAAATTAATGTAAAGGAAAGCCAAAAACTTTGAATTGCAAGCAAAAACATTTACATTTATAGGTAAGCAAAAACTACGTTATTGTTTTAATCATGACCTTGACTTCCTTTTTAAAAACTTTGCTCTTAACATTTGAATTGTTACAAGACCTTATTAATTGCTTTCCTATTGTAGCATCATTTCTGACCTCATTACCTAGGCCCTTGAGTTTGACCACCTTTTGAAAAATATATATTGCCTTATTGAGCTGTCATTTAGGGGGTCAGTGTTTCAGAAACATAGCTTGTTTTAGCTTGCAGAAACCACCAATTCATTGATGACAGGAAAAAACTGTGTATAGACTGCCCAGAGAACTCCATAGCAACACAGACCCATATAGCCTATTCCTTGAAGGATTGTTATTGTGACAGTGGTTACCAAGGAGACCCAGGAAGTGGCCTGGATTGTCTGGGTAATGTGACTCCCCTCCCCCTAAAACAATTTTATAACAAATCATACGACATACATGCAATTATAACTGAAATATGCTTTTATTATGCAGCAAATTTGCGGTCTTTGCAATCTTAATCCTTGCAGAGTTGTTCATTCCTCTTTCAGACACCTCTGCTGAATGGGCTCTTGTCAAGATATTTGACAAAAAGTTGAAACTATAATATCCAACCCAAATCCAAAATATTCATTAGTAAAAATATACCTTAAAAGACAAAAATAATTGCAAGTCATATAATGAAATACAATGTATATGGAGATATCAAACAGTATTCAAGGTCAAAAGTTCATTAAACAATACAAATCAGGAGAAGAGCAAACCTCTAAAACACCATAGGTGGGATCAGGTGCCATGGAGGGGTGAGCATCCCCTGCCATCTGGTAACACCTGCTGTATTCACTATTTTACATACATATCCAAGTGAGTGTTCTATACATGAGCAAATGACAGAGTTGATCCCATGAGTTAAAAGTAGAGAGTAGTATTTGTGTTTTTTTTTAGATATAAATGAATGTATAGACAATACATTGAACTGCTCTGGAGGATGCTTGAACCTGCCAGGAAATGCCATCTGCACGTGCCCAATGGGCTTCTTCCTGGAAAAGGACAACATGACTTGTAGTGGTCTGTGTTAATTTATAACCTTTGCTTATTTTTACCAAAAATAAATTATTTATGTAATATCTAATATGAATATACAGTCAAGTATTGCCTTAAATTTTTCCCTAAAGAGTGTAAAATAAATTTTCTTGGTAAAAATTTAGTTTGTACAAGTTATTTCAACTCTTACAGTACAAAGCTGTACACATTTTGTGGAACCCAGAATATAATGCACAATTTTAAACAATGACAATTAGCTAAGATAAAATGAAAAACTTAATAGCTGTTTAGAAATTGCCTTTTGCATATAAGAATTTCTTTGTTTTATTGACAGATGTGGATGAATGCCTTAGCCATGATGGAGGGTGTGAGGGGACGTGTGTGAATACCCAGGGGTCCTATCACTGTCTCTGTCCAGTGGGGTACGAACTTAACTTTGACAACCACACATGTCTCGACATAAATGAATGCTGGCTAAACAACTTCAACTGTCTCCATGAATGCATAAATCTTGCTGGCAGTGCTGAATGTGCATGTTACCAGGGTTACGACTTGCAGGATGATGGGAAATCTTGTGTCGGTAGGAAGTTGTCAATAAATGGACTTTAAACTGTCAATTTAATATCAAGCAGTATAGATGTTTATTAGAGTAGATTAATTTTTTTTATCTTGGACAGATGTAGATGAATGTGCTGAGTCAGGAGTATGTGAGGACACTTGTACTAACACGGACGGATCCTTCCGGTGCATGTGTACAGACTCTGGCTACAAACTGTCCTGGGATGACTCCTCATGTTCTGGTCTCTCACAACTTGTAAAAATAATATTTACATTAGATTTGTGATTTCCTTATAAAGTGTGGTGAAAGCTTAGTCAAAGGGTTAAGTAATGGTTTGATTTGATGTCACAAATGTTAAATGCATGCTTTGGAAGCCAATTAAGGACTAATATCATAAAAAATATATTTTTGCATTTGATAATGTGTAGGACTCCAAAGTGCGATGTGACTCCAAAGTCTGATGGTCATGCCAAAGTCCAATGGTCTATGCAAAACCCTGATGGTTTGACACACCAAAGTCTGATGGTGCTAAAAACAGTTAACGTGTATGACAAGCTACAATGCCGCACCATGCCAAGATTTTAAAGAAGTATTGATAATTATCATTATGTGAAAACTAACCCTCATCTCTCGGATAAGTGCAAATCTAACCCTATTCGCTCAGGCCTAGCAACTATATTGATATCTAGATATCTTTGGTGGGTGCAATAATAACTAATCTTAATAACTCAACTAATGTGCGAGGACTAACCATAAATCAAAATTAATCAGTTGAATGGTGTGCAAGTGAAACGGATATGGTTGTTTAGTATCGTATAAATGTTAGACCTACGTTTTTGTTTAAAGTCTTAAACACTAAAAAATATTAATTTTACGATCATACAAGTAGTATGAATCTGCCATTGTACTGGGACTGCACTGAGATAATACAAGGTGTATTATAGTAATTTTGAGACCTCTCTGGTGACGGAGTTGATAAACGTTAGTTCGTTTCGTCTCCTATATGCCATTATAAGACCTGAATAAGGCAGACGGTTGCGGGGAATAGACGGCTAAGTGTTTAACAGTGAACCAAAGCGTAAGACCTGAATAAGGCAGCCACTTGGTCATATATTTAGAGAGGTGGCATACCTCAAATAAAGGTGGGGAAGTGCCAGGATACAGTACTTGTGGAGTGGCAGGACAAGAAGAAATTTTTGTACAGGAGACACACGTTGACCACAGCTAGTGGTCGTCCAATCAAGAAGAAACCCATTGTATTTGTATATATTGTAATTTTATTTGGTCAACAAAAACCTGAGTTAACAGGTTAACGAACCTGAGTGTAACGCCAGGTGATACAAGCCATATCACCACACACCAAGCTCAGCCGCGTTGCACGTTACACAAGGACTAATCCTAATATCTCTGAAACATGTAAGCAATATGCAAAATAAATAAAAGTGTATGCAAGGATAAATTTGGAAATGATGGCATTTGAATGCATGAAAACGGCGTCAAGAATTGACGTCAAATTATTGTGACGTCATAAACATTGATTGTTTCTCCACACCTTTGGATTTTGGCTTGTCAGACCATTGCAATTAAGCACAGCGTGTCTCATAGGAAATGAGCCATTGGACTTTAGTGTGACCATCCGACTTTAGCGTCTGTATTGACAACAAATCATCGGAGTTTAGCAAGACCATCGGACCTTGGAGTCTAACACATGTATACATAAGGAATTGTTAATTTCAATAAATTTAATTTGTTAAAAGTTAATTTGTTTAAATGAATTTTATCTGTTATAACAACTTAAGATTGAATTCTGTATATAAGAATTATTCCAATTGATCAGCACAGCTGCTGAAATTATGACACAATGATTGTCAAAATTTATAAATTTAAGACATATTGACAAAAATAATATCAACCCTAACACTACTTATGCTGGTTCAGCTGTCTTTGATAGAGATTATAATGTCTGATTAAAAAAAATGAGTATTATGCAAGGGACACAACTGTATGATACAATTTGAAAAAATTAAGAAGCTTTTCAAAAAGATGAAGCCTAAAAATTAAGCTTCTTATACTAAATAATAATTTTGTAGCTAATAAAAATAATTGGAGCATTAATGTATGTATAGAACAGATTTTGAAGTTTTTGAAAGATGGGAGTTTATACTTTTATACTGTTGAGACATTACTGATTTACTAGATATCTATTATAACCATGCACAAACAACTCTGAAAAGAGTAAGAGAAGGCTTTTTACACAATTCACTTAACACAATTATGAATTTAAACTTCCCCCCCCCCCTTTTTTAATGCTGAACAAAACATTTCTTATGAATAAGTCTGTTTAAAGGGAGGTAACTTTAACTTCTTTATTACAATAACGTGTATTTTTTCAAACTTTTGTGTTATTGAGAAGAGCACACTTTAATTTCCCACAGATATTTATATTTTTAGCCTTTGCTTTATTGATGTTTTAGTGAGAAATCTGATTTTTTGGTATAGATATCAATGAGTGTATGGAGGGCGAGAACGACTGTGAAGATCACTGCATCAATGTCCTTGGCTCGTATCGCTGTGAGTGCACTCAGCCCGGGTACACTGTAAGCTCGGATGGACACACCTGTGAAGGTAACTCATTTAATTCTTAATTCTGTTATACATCGGCAGATTTACAGTTGTACAGTATACAGAAATTCACTTTCTGATCAGAATGTGGAGCTGAGAAACCAAGACTAAACTCAAGGTGATCTAACTCAACAAAGGCAGAAAATACTAAAAATAGAGATCTCGATTAGTTCAATTATCCAAAAAATGCAATTTAAATTCCCTTGAAAATTGATGGTTCAGGAACATTTACAAATGGTACCTTCTTCTTTATTTCATAGATGTAGATGAATGTCAAATGCCAAATCTGAACAAGTGTAAACATCGCTGTCTGAACCTGAATGGAGGATTCACGTGTCGATGTCACCCGGGGTACACCAATATTGGCTACTATGACTGTATACGTAAGTTATCAGCTCATACCAGAATCGTTTATCATTTGCTGAAAATTCTACCCACTCTATTTCTCATTGTAAGACATAAAAGATGCAACAGGTGCCACATTTTGTTTAAAAGGTCAAGAACTTTCTTAAACTTTTAAAAAAAACCTTTGATTTTTCCAAATATTTTAGTTCTGAAGGCTGTTATTTTTGATACTGAGTTGTTGCCTATGTTCAGGTCAGTAACCAGTTTTGTAGATATATTGTTAGATCTTCATGTGAATCTCACCCTTCTTTCAGCATGTGCTGTTGGTTACTATAGCAACATAACTGACTTTGATTGTGTGAAATGCCCTGTACTCTCTACAACCAAGGCCATAGCGAGCATCTCCATCGATGACTGTGTTTGTGTGGAGGGTTACCATGGTAAACTGGCTCGGGGAGAGGCTTGCACAGGTATGGCAGGAGTGGTCATTATTTTTAGCCTAATGCTGAATTTTCTTTTGGGTAAAAAAATGAATTATCGGTACTAAAAAATAAAGAATTTAGATTCATAGCAGATAGATTCTTTCACGCGACCTAATTGAATCTTTTTAGGAACAAAAGTCCAAATTTTTTTTGCACCTGAGTTAGATGCTATTTATATCTTTGTAGATGTCAATGAATGTGAGATAGATAACTTTGGATGCGAACACAATTGTTATAACACCGAAGGTTCCGCGAAGTGTGGTTGTAGGGAAGGGTACCAGCTTAGTGAAGACGGCAGGAACTGCACAGGTATTATCCACTGTAGCATGAAATATAGGTTGGGTAGTGAACTAGTTTACTTCCTAGGAACATACTGTGTAAATTACATAATGTAAAATCACTTATTTACACTTATGGGGCATATCTTCAGATGTATTAAAAAAATTTAACATTTAATTTGTGGGGGATATGAATTCATGGATCTTGGCATACTACAAAATTAACCCCCACAAAAATTAATGATTTCACAGTGATTATAGGATATGTAAAATAGAATATGTAAGATAGAATACTGCTGCCCAATCCCATTCACTTATGTGAATAAAAATTTGTATAAATAATAAATAAAGAACATAGAATACTTCATTAGACAAAGTTGCTCCCGCATGACGCAGTGGTAAGAGCATCTGCTCTAGAGTTGTGAAGTAAGGAGTTGATACTAATGTAGCAGGTTCAAATCCCACTGTGGGACATGGAGACCAGTTCTTCGAATGAGACGATATAAATCAAGGTCTCGTGTCGCAGTAGGTGTTGGCACAAAAAAGATCCCTCATTGCTCAATGCCTTAAGTGCCAAGTATAGGACAAAAAATTTGCAGCTCTCCATTGACAAGTGGTGGTGTCTCCACATGAGTGAAAAATTCTTGAGAGGGGCATTAAATAGCAAACAAACTTCATTATACTTGTGGACTGACTTTAATAGTATATCTTGTTCAGAATAAAGTCCATCACCTTTCTCCTTTGTAAATTGATGTCAGACTTTTCCTTTCAGATGTGGACGAGTGTATATTTAACAGTCACTACTGTATTGACCAGTGTATCAACTTACCAGGGACATTCAAGTGTGGATGTAGGCAGGGCTTTGTTATTGGATATGATGGACGCTACTGCAATGGTAAGAAATGGAACATCAGCCTTATAGTGAATCATGTCAATAACTTCCAAATCAAACAGATGGTGATAAATGCACAGCAAATTGTTCAGTTCTTGATTACAGACCTGTAATTTAGCCCAATTAAGACAAATACTTGAAGAATTCTTCCTATCTATAGTTAGGAAATTTTAGTGAAAAATAGTCAAGCTACTATTAAGTATATTTGTGACATTTTTCATTTGCAGATGTAGATGAGTGTGCCACAGAACACTTGTGTGAGGACAGATGTGAGAATACCTGGGGATCGTATGTCTGTCTGTGTGGCAGACCAGGCACAGTGCTGGCAGCTGATGGCATCTCCTGTATCCGTAAGTATGTCTATCCACAAGTATGTCTGTATCCTAAGTATAGCTGTATCCGTAAGAATGAGTGTATCCATAAGTATAGCGGTATCCACAAGTATGTCTGTACCCATTAGTATGTCTATCCACAAGTATGTCTGTATCTGTAAGTATAGCTGTATCCACAAGTATGTCTGTATCCATAAGTATGTCTGTATCTGTAAGTATGTCTATATCCATAAGTATGTCTATCCACAAATATGTCTGTATCCCTAAGTGTGTCTATCCACAAGTATGTCTGTATCCATAAGTATGTCTATCCACAAGTATGTCTGTATCACTAAGTATGTCTATCCACAAGTATGTCTGTATCCATAAGTATGTCTATCTACAAGTATGTCTGTATCCCTAAGTATGTCTGTATCCCTAAGTATGTCTGTATCCATAAGTATGTCTGTATCCATAAGTATGTCTATCTACAAGTATGTCTGTATCCCTAAGTATGTCTATCCACAAGTATGTCTGTATCCGTAAGTATGTCTATCTACAAGTACATCTGTATCCATAAGTATGTCTGTATCTGTAAGTATGTCTGTATGTCTGTATCCATAAGTATGTCTATCTACAAATATGTTTGTATCCATAAGTATGTCTGTATCTGTAAGTATGTCTGTATCCATAAGTATGTCTGTATCCATAAGTATGTCTATCTACAAGTATGTCTGTATCCATAAGTATGTCTGTATGTCTGTATCCATAAGTATGTCTGTATCCATAAGTATGTCTATCTAAAAGTATGTCTATATCTGTAAGTATGTCTGTATCCCTAAGTATGTCTGTATCCATAAGTATGTCTAGCCAGAAGTATGTCTGTATGTAAGTACTGTAAATCACGTTTTATTCGCGAGAACTTTATTTTCGCGTAATTACGCGAGACAGTATGCTCGCGAAAATTAAATTCTCATGCATAATAGTATTCCTTAAAATTATATAAAGCAATAACCAGAATTCGTGAAAATTTTGTCTCGCTAATCAAGAGTCAATGACTATCTCGCGAAAATAAGGTGTCGCGATAATTTAGTGATTTACAGTATGTCTGTATTTGTAAGTATGTCTGTATCAACAAGCATGTCTGACTGTGTCAACAAGCATGTCTGTATATCCATAAACATGTCTGTATTCATAAGTTTCATAAGTATGCCGGTATCCATGAGAGTGAGTGTATCCATAAATATATCTGTATCTATAATTTTTTTAAATATGCTTTTTATACAAAGAAAATTATGAAACACAATATCATGAGTGAATTAAATACATATTTTAACTCACTGTTGTTTGATACTAGTAATTCAAAGTCTTTCGATAATTTTTTTATTAGCATCCTTTGAAAAGCTCCAGTGTCCTGAGGACATCTTTATTGACGTATTCCAACACTATCCCTTTGCTGAAATTGATGTCCCTGACCTTGTGAACCTGGATCATGTGACTGTGACCCCAGAGTGGATTCGGAACAAGAAGGAGTATCCTGTGGGGTCAGTGACTGTGACAATACAGACACACCCTAACGCCCTCCTCAATGACTCCTGTACCTTCACTATCAATGTCCTGGGTAAGGAAAAGTTTTCTGTCAACAAATCCCAGTTTCTTAGTTTCAGTTTTACCAATTTGAGTATTTTTAGCTTACATAAGCCAAAGATCTGATTATAGATAATTCAGTATTGTCTCTCTAGCTGTCTGTCTGTCTGTCATCTACCATGTGTCTTGTATAGTTTACAAACTCTCTACATTTTTCACTTCTTCTCAATAGCCACTTAGTCACTTATTCAACACTAAACACCTTAATTTCACTTTGAATATCTCCTAGCTATTAACTTTTTGAGGGAACATATTTGTACATAGTTAATCAAATTTTTAACAATATGATATTCATTATCTTGTAGAAATCTGTGATGTAGGGAAATACAAAGCTTCAAACAGCACCAAGTTTGCGGCAGTCTGTTTGAATTGTGAAATCGGAACCTACCAGAATGAGCGTGATAAAACCTCCTGTAAACACTGCTTCCAGGGAATGTATCAGGATGAGACTGGCCAATCAGATTGCAAGTATTGTGCACCTGGAACTTTCCAAAATAGAACTGGTCAATCAAAATGTTTGTTATGTCCTGCTGGGGCCTATCAAGATGAATATGGACAACACAAGTGTAAGATGTGTCATGCTGGAACATTCCAGTGGGAGGAAGGTCAGGACATTTGTTTCTACTGTCCTGTGGGTACGTCCCAGGATTTAACAGGTCAGGCCAAATGTAAGCCATGTAAAGCAGACTATTACCAGGACGAGATTGGTGCCAGTCGGTGTAAAGTATGTCCCCCTGACATCCGGCTATACCCGGACAATGTGGCCATCCAGCAGCAGTGTCCTGAACTCAACTGAAATGTTAAATTCTGTAATTACAGTAACAAACTCTAAATTCTGTGTGCATAATTTTGTACATTCTACATTTGAAATCTGTGAAAATATTTCACAAATCTGATGCATAACAATTTTGAGTGGAATGCTGTAATCATTTCCAGCAATTGATTCCTTGAATACAATTGATACTTTTGTGGGACTGACAGTCATTGTCTTGATTTTCTTTTGTCAAATAAATTTATTCTCTGATGGGAAAAAAGAACAAATGTATATCAGTATCTCAATATACATGCATCTAGTCCTAGTCAATTTCTTTTCCTCTATTTATTAAACCTAAATATCTCTTGTCATTTGGCCAGGATTTCCTTTCAGGCAAATAAATTCCTACATAATAAAAAAAAAAAACAAGATGTTCTTGTGAAACCTGATTCCCCTGTATTGCAGTTTTTGGCCAAGGTTTATGTTTTTAAATGCAAGTTTAACTCCAAGATCATGAGATGAAAAAGGTATTGCTACCCAAAGAAAGGACTTGTGTCAATGGATATAGGCCTACCAAGTAAATATGAAAGCCCAAGCACAAACCATTCAGTCTTTTTTAAGTAGGTCAAAATCTAAGGTTAAAGTTTTTCAAAAGTGGGTCAACTCTAAGGTCAAGGTTAAAAGGTCAAAGATTTGGTACCCAAAGTTATGGCTAAGGTTAGAGAGATAGAGATAGGATAAAAAAAATATACCTCGAATCTTCGATTACGGCAGCAAAAAAAAAAAAAAAAAAAAAAACAAACGGCAAGATGTCAATGACAAATCCTTTGCCACCAGGAATACATACATGTATGTGAAATATGAAGCCTTAGTTCCGATCAAACAACAGTTATGAGCAAGGTTAAATTAAGTTAATTTTGTAGACAAAGAGATAGACGAACAGAAGGCCGAACAGGACAAAAGATATACCTCGAATCATAGGCATATGTTTTGGAAATAAAGGTTTGAACCATGAGTTAAAAATTGATTTCTGAAACAAGTGCCTGTGATTCGAATTTTCGATTACGGGAGCACAAAAATGTTCTGCCTAACCTCGAGCTAAAACGTACATTTCTTCCCTCGCGTTTACCTCCACTCCCTCATTACCCCCCCCCTTTTATTATAAATCATTTGTCTACATTTTTATGGGTAGCAATTAATCCTCTAGATATCAAACACGTATCTATAAATGTTGTGTAGCATTTCATTGAGTTGTAAATTCAGATTTAAATCTTGGCAACTTTAAAGCTGGTAATTCATACTTTAAAGTCGGTCTTTTCATCTTCAAGGAATCCAGCAATTTTAAGGTGGTCCATGGTGGTGTTCCTCTACCCCCACGCTCGTACACTCGATCTCTCACAACCATAGATTCAAAGAGGGGGGGGGGGTAGATCTTACATCCTCGTTTTACGTCCCTTTAAATACCTGTATCTTATTGAAAAGCTACCCCCCTCCCCCGTCCGAATAAAACAATTTCAAAATTTACTGAAGCTCTAAAATTGAATGGATTTGCAGCATTCCCAAAGGATACACTGGTTTTAATTTAGATTTTGAAGGAAAAAAATTGGTAGGGTTATGAACCTGTTTACTGTAAATTCCCTTTAATGACGAGTTTCCTTCAAAAGATTTTTTGTAATTAGTGTATTAATCTAGCCAAACATCTCCGGAATCTGATATCAAATACTAGTAAAACCTTGCATATTTTACTTATCATATATATATATATATATATATATATATATATATATATATATATATATATATATATATATATATATATATATATATATATAGTATAATTTACCAATCACTCATAAATAAAAGCGCTGAGTGCAGAGAGGAAAATATCAATTTTGAAATTGTCGTTGTTTATTTACAAGTACGTCATATACATATTATAAATATGATTAAATGATGAAATCAATCAATATTTTGGAGTCTAGAAATTATAAAATAGTCTCACATGACTTACTGTATTTTCTTATTTGTTCACGAAGTTTGAAAGTCGAGTGAAATGTTACCTCAATCAAAATCTACATGCACGCATAATATAGGCCATTATTTAACCGGGTTTCGCTTGTCAAAGAGCTCATTCAATGTATAAACAGTAATACACAATTATTTACGATGTGCTACAAATGTAATTATTGGATCGAACTTTTAATTTTTATGTAAAAAATTACGTCTTCCCCCACAGTGTTATGGCGCCATTTTGAAATGCGTTGGATTTTCGATCCCGATTTATATTTTGATTCGTAAATCGCGTACATATATTTTTTGTGTTTATGTTATAATGTAGTAAAAGGAGTTAAAACAAAGTTAATTTTTTAAAATTGTAATTTAATCATATAATATTTTTTTTCAAGTGGGCTGTGTCACCTCCGCATTTCACTGAGCTCGTCTCATGGCACTAATCATGCTAATGTAAACACGGATTATCACATCCACCACGAAAGGTGTTAATTGCTTTGAAGTAACTCAGGTGTGGCCGGATTAGAGGGAATGATTACCGTTAATTATTAGCAGTTGGGACCAATATGGCCGTTCGGAATACAGAATAGACAGTATCCGGACTACACAGAATTTTTTCTAAAGCATTTGTTAAAGAAGTGCATGGGACTAAAACTTATAGACGGAATGTATTCAGAGTCCGGATTAGACAAATTTTACTGTATATATATATATATATATATATATATATATATATATATATATATATATATATATATATATATATATATATATATATATATATATATATATATATTGAAATGAAAATAAAATTTACCAATCACTCATAAATAAAAGCGCTGAAAGAGAGGAATATATTGAAGGTAAGTGCATGTAGGACTGAATATATATTAGGCCTCTCTATATATATACAGTTCTGATATAGGAAGTGAACTTACTATGAGTTATAGACCGGGCTGTTCATTTTAAGTTGCGCTTAGAACTAATAAAAAGGTTTAATTACTATTAGACGTACAAATATCTGCTAGTATTTCACTTTCAGAAAACATTTACCGTAATTCGTTCTCTTAATCTTGGCCTTTTCCAAGTTTAATTTGAGCTTTTAATTTTCTTACCCTTTTCTTGAATTTTTCCTTTCTTTGATATTATCAGGGACCTACACCATTTATATTAGTATATAGGTCCCTACGTGATATTATTTATAAATTTTAATATACTGAAATGTATTTGAGAGCAATATTAAATGTGAAGAAGAAATATCCCAATTTTTAAGACAGGATAAAAAAACCCTTTGACTAGTTGGATAACACAAAATAATTAATGAACTTGCAAACAAAAATAAAATATCGATATAAAAAGAAATCGGGATAAAACGCTACTTAAAAATTGCGCTCAAAAGTTATCCTCAAAATCTTGGAAGAAGTATGAACAACAATTGGACAATATTTTATACCAAAGATTGGGTTTGACCAATCAAATGTTGTATTTCTTCCAAGAATTAAAAAAATACAATATAGATCATTTATTGCCAAACATCTTAATAGCCATTGAGCGGTATCAATAGAGACATATAAAACCATATGTTTTATATGTCTCTGGACTCTGGTATCAATGAGTTCTTAGTTTGTTCAATTTTTCCTGACGAATTGATTTAGTCAAGGCAAATTGTACATTATTGATAAATTTTAAACTTTGTATTTCACTTAAAAGTCCTAGCTCATATGGGGTATGTTAGTACAATAAGAGTATAACAGAAAAAAATATATAATGGTTTTTGATAAGGACAGTACTGACAGTTGTCAAAAAATTGCAAGAAGTTCAGGTTTGAAAAAAAAATGTATAGGTCATTTGTAAAATGGACTTGGAGAGTAGCTTCCCATGTCGCACCTTGCACTTCCGGTAAATATAGGTGGCGCGTTTTCGTTGACAAATATAGAAACTTTTTACACGTTACAAGGAGGAGATTCCCAAAGCATGTATTATTATACCCTAAGCAGAATGGTATCATAAACGACGATGAAGTATTTCAGTCGTACAATGTAGAGACTCTGCGAGAGACCGGAACTGTTCCAAACATGACAGTCGGGGGGTCGTCATCGGGCGCGGGGTCGAGGAACCCCGTCAAAATATTCGCTAACATCTTTATATCGTTTATTGGTGCTGGTGTTCTAGGACTTCCGTTTGCATTTAAAGAGGTAAATAAAACTGTAAGAAATCCAGTGCAAATTTTCTATCGGCGATATTAGTTTCCATTTAGTAGTTAAAATATGATTAGGCCTAATAACAATTTTCATGTGCATGCACCATAGGCTGATAGGTACTTGGGTCTTGCATGGGTATGTACCTTATTGATATTTTTTAAAAAAGTACTTTTTAACATATTACTAAGTACTTACATATTTTAAAAACCAAGATCCATTTACCTGTGGCATGAATCTAGGTCATTTTCCAAAAATTGGATAAAATATGAATTAGGATCTTCCTTGTTTTGTGGATGGGTGTGACTTTGATATGACTTTTTATCCAATGAGTTGTTTTTTTAATCCTTGGCCCTTGGTGATATAAAACACAGGAGTTGGAAAAAAACATATCTAATAAACCACAGATCATGGGTACACATAACTTTTTCATGTTTTACACCATTTTGTATTATAGGATTAAACGTTCTTTTTGAAAAATTTAGATGTGTCCAATTTTTACCTAAATAAAAGTGCGAAGCACTTTTATGTTAAGTTTGTGAGTAAAATGTCATTTTCCATAAATTTTTCAAAAAGAACGTTTAATATAATTCCAATATCGAATTTTTAAAAATATTTAAATTATTTCTCTTTGAGGCCTCCATACAATCCGTTATTTCTGCACGGCGTATGAATACATTTTACCGTAAAGGAACGTAATTGAGATGAATTTCGATAGAGTTCAAATTAAATTGTCAAAACAATCGATAAATAAACTTATAACAACTAATCGAATGTTGTTTAAGTCAACAAATATCGTAATTACGAGTTTACTTCAGAATAGTTCGTCTTTGACCATGGGCATGTTGACATAAACAGCAACTCTCATAGCGAAAGTTGGAGACCGACGACGCCTTCAATTTGCACTTGTTTATTCAAATATTGAGGAACAATATAGAAAGTAAATATGAATTTGATGCTAATAGGGCAAGAGTTTGAGGTACGTTTCTTGACTCCTGTGGTTTCTTTTCCATGTCAAAACGATACAGACTGAGCTTATTTTCTACGTATGAACGTTGAGACAGCGATTTTTAAAATTCACACTCATGATCGGACAGTGACATAAACATTTTCACGGCGTCCATCAGTTAGGCAGTCTAGTATGTTACCAATTTTGTTTAAGCCCTAATTAAATTTAAAGTTTCTTGTATTCATTATTTCAGAAACAACTGCTTTCATTGTTTATGATAGCCTAGTAGTGTCATCAAGAAAGTAGTTCTGAGAAAGAATGTGTAAAAATTTTCTGGAACGTGTTCTCGTCCAATCAAAACACAGGAAATCAATAGATAAAATGAAGATTGGAATTATATATGATTAATTAACTAGAGAGAAGAAAATGCAGCAGACCAGACCAGGATTCGAACCCGGGCCCCCCGAAACTCTGGTCAGGTGCTCTACCGACTGAGCTATCTGGCCACTGGCGATCGAACCCGGCTGACCACCACATTCCTCCCTCCTTAAAGGTCTTTGGCCCCCAAAGACCCCAACCCAGGCTCATCCCTGGCAGGCCTCTCACCTGTCAGTTCCAGATTCTGGTCACAGCACCAAATGCAACAGGATAGAAGAAAATGCAGTGGACCAGACCGGGATTCGAACCCGAGCCCCCTGAAACTCTGGTCAGGTGCTCTACCAACTGAACTATCTGGCCACCGGCGATCAAACCCGGCTGACCGCCACATATGTAAATCCACAAAACCTTATACAAAAACCATTGTGACACAACCGTGAAATGAAATACAACACCACTAATGGACTACAGTGAACCTTCAGATATCCGGACGCCAGATATCCGGATGCTTCAGTATCCGGACGATTTTTCATCGGAACGAAATTTTTAAATGCTGTGTTGTCTTGTTTAATTGGTGATTCAGATATCCGGATGCTTCACATATCCGGACAAATGGACTGGGAACCAAAGCGTCCAGATAAATGAGGGTCCACTGTATTCAATCCCTTTAAGGTGGTTGGTCCCAACCTATTTGTTTTTTACTCTAAGAAAATGCACAGCTGGACTGGGAATTGAACCCAGGATTCCTGAATCAAAAAGGTGCTCTATGAACTAAGCTACCCAGACCCTATGTCAACTGCTCACTGGCACCAAATTTGTTACAGGAAAGGAGAAAAAAATAATACTGAAAAAGGAATTGAACTCATCTAGATCAGTGGGTAGAGCACCTGACAATAAATACAGGGATCATGGGTTCAATCCCCAAGCAAGTCGTACACTGTGTCCTTTCCTCTTATAGTTGTCAGAATTTTTATTAAGGAGTGTAGCCACTTTTAAAGGCATTTCTGTAGTGGGCAGGAATATTAGTTATAAGTATTATGTCAACTAATAATGACATTTCTATTACAGGTAGGAATATTAGTAAATGAGTGTGTCAACTTACACTATCACATTTCTATAATTGCAGGCATGCAGATGTATGATATAAGAGTATTGGAGTGTCAATTCATAATAACATTTCTTAATGTTCCTTTTTGTAGGCAGGAATATTAGAAGGAGTGGTGGTCATGACACTGGTGGGAATTATCAGGTAATACCACTGATAATGAGTATATACAAATTGCATGAATGAATATCTGGACCCTGGTAGCTCAGTTTTATATTGCACTCCAATTTATCTAAAAGCAATCCATGTAATGATGATCCAGGCAAACATTCAAAGGATATTTGTGATTGTCAAATCATGGGATTAAGGCATCTGAAAATTACAGAAGGAGTGTAATTTCTCATAGCCAAATTGGTTAAGATTTGTTTATCAATTACATTAAATTTAACAATTTCACTCTTAAGTGAAATGATTTTTACAGTGATGAATAATTTTCTTCAGTGTGAAAGCCATGCTTCTCATAGTGGACTGTAAATATCAGCTGATCAAGGAAAACAGAATCCAGCCCACAACATTTACTAATGATACAGAAGCTGTAGAAGATGGCCTTCAAATCAAAGTCAAGGACAGAGAAGAGGTCATGACCCTATTAGCAGAGGATGAGCCAGAGGCTGACAAGGGGCACAAGGCATATAAGTTTATCATAATCTAATACATTTACATGTTCATGTATTTATACAGAAGAAGTTTTGATAGATGTGAAAATTGATTCAAAATATTCAATTATTGTTGTTTAGAGGTTATTACATTATTTTAGCATTTGGAAGAGTACAGTTTCACTGAGTCTTCAGTGCAAGATAGATACTGTACTATTAGGTTTGCTAAAGGATAGCACTGACAATGAAAATCACGAAAATATGGTTTTATAATACTATTCAATGAGTAAAAATTAATTTCAATTTCTTGATTTGTAAAATACGACTGCTTAAATTCTAGCTGAACTAGGTCATGTAGATGTAATTATGGGATTTTAATTGATTACCTGGTATTTTTTTTGTCAGAATTCTCGCCTCTCTGTGGACTTTTCCTATGGAGATATAGGTAAGTAACAACATTGTTGAAGTGTATATACATGTATTTATATTTTTCATGCTATAGTTCTGATACCTGTATTTCTTTATTCTTCATGTTTACTGTAAATCAACTGATATTTTCAACAACTTTTATTTGGTCTTGTCCGTAAGAAATCTGCAACTATAAATTTTTGCAACTGAGGAAACATTTTGCATAAATATACAAAAAAAAATAGTGTATGTCGAGAGAAAAATTCATGAGTAAAGTAAATCTTTGAATTTTACAATTTATCTCGCGTGATATAAAAGAATTTATATTAACAGTTCCAAAATGGCATGCATGCAAATATTTAAGCTAAGTTAAAAAATATTCTTGGCAGATGGAATTAGAATTGTTACTGTGTAAAAAAATATTTTCATCTACTTTATACTATATTTCTTAAAAGCCAAGGGTCAAAGCATAATTTCTGGGACTCTGTTTAGATGTTTATTTTTTTAAGTTTATGATTTTTGTTTATTTATTTACTGAAAGTTTCATGTAAGCACATTGGGCTTTTAAATCACACCTAGTTAAAACCACTTTTGGTTTTAAGTATATGTAAAGAATGGACTGTTACATTCAAATGAACCCCCTGTGATATGTAAAGAAGGGGCTGTTACATTCATATGAACCCCTGTGATATGTAAAGAAGGGGCTGTTACATTCATATGAACCCCCTGTGATATGTAAAGAAGGGGCTGTTACATTCACATGAACCCCCTGTGATATGTAAAGAAGGGGCTGTTACATTCACATGAACCCCCTGTGATATGTAAAGAAGGGGCTGTTACATTCATATGAACCCCCTGTGATATGTAAAGAAGGGGCTGTTACATTCACATGAACCCCCTGTGATATGTAAAGAAGGAGCTGTTACATTCACATGAACCCCCTGTGATATGTAAAGAAGAAGCTGTATATTCATATGAACCCCCTGTCCAATCCTGTGATTGGAATAAAATATTTATTCTGACAGTGAAATCTTTTGACTTTCAGGTCACCATGCTCTGGGACACATTGGACGAGTTTTTGTTGACTTAGCCATCTTAATTTCTCAGGCTGGTAAGTAAGGTTACAAATCTGCAAACTGAAACAGTGAAGCTTTGTTAATCTATGAGTTGTAACATGAATCCAAGAATTGACATTTTGTCGAAAAAAACCTTTTCTAAGATTTATTTAAGGAATAAGTGTTTAATTTTTTGGTTTCATGATATGATCAATCGATTGGCTTGCATGATAATTTGCATAAATGCCTTGCGCTTGATTTTTTTAACCAGGCCTATTGATGAACCAGTAGATTTTTGTAGAAATAAAGTACCACAGTTTTAATTTTTAGTTTCATGTAGGGTTTTGATCATAGTTTCTATTTTTACTTTCATTCTCAGTTTTGATTGCAGTTTCTATTTATACTTTTATTCAGGGTTTTGATCACAGTTTCTATTTCTATTTTATTCAGGGTTTTGCTGTGCTTACCTAATTTTTATATCAGAAAACCTATCCAGTTACATCCCTAAGCTAAAACTGTAAGTATATATATCAGATTTTTTTTTCTCAAAATTTTGATGAAGCTGTGTTTTCTTTCCTGACATATTATTAGCTCACCTGAGCCGAAGGCTCAAGTGAGCTTTTCTGATCAAAATTTGTCTGTTGTCTGTCGTTGTCGTCGTAAACTTTTCACATTTTCATCTTCTTCTCAAGAACCACAGGGCCAATTTCAACCAAACTTGCCACAAAGTACCCTTTGGTGAAGGGGATATAAGTTTGTTCAAATGAATGGCCAAGCCCTCTTCCAAGGGTAGATAATTATGAATTATGAAAAATTAATGGCATCTTTTAAAAATCTTCTTCTCCAGAACCATTGGACCAGGAAAGATGAAACTCACATGGAAGCATCCTCAGGTAGTGAAATTTCAAGTTTGTTCAAATCATGACCCCCGGGGGTAGGGCTGGGCCACAATGGCTGATCAAAGTTTAACATAGGAATATATTGGAAAAAATCTTTAAAATCTTCTTCTCAAGATCAGCAAAGCTATGATTGGTGATTTTAATATGGGAACATCCTTAGTTGGAGTTAATTCAAGTTTGTTCATATCATGACCCCTTGGGGTAAGGTGGGGCCATGATGGGCAATCAAATCTTTAAACAGAAATATACAGGGAAAATCTTTAAAACTCTTCTTCTCAAGTATGGCAAAATTATACATGTATGCTTTATTGATATAGTGACATTATCAAGTAATAAAAAATTCAGATCCCCCCTTCCCCCAACAAGTAAACTTTTCAATACTGAGCTGATTTGTTTTTTTAACTAGCCCATGTGCTCAGGTGAGCAATGTGACCCATGGACCTCTTGTTTAAACTTTTGAATTATTATCACATTTCAGAATTCACTGGTTGATTTTACTCCTACCTCCACTGTGTTTACTTACTTTACTACGACAACTTAAAAGTCTGGCATTTACAAGGTATTGTCAAACAGGGTATTAAGTATTCACTGATTTTTATAATCATAAGTTTTTCTGATTAATAAAGTAATGATTGAATGCTTTGTCTTGTATGGCAAAGGTACAGTACATGTATAACATATTGCCATAAATTTAAGTATTTAAGCTCTTCATTTCTAAAGTAATGGATGTCAGAATGACTGAAACTGGGAAAAAACTGGTCAGTTTGAATTTAGATAGCCATGTAACAGAAGACAGAAGTCATGGTTTAATAATTCCTGGGCTGCCTTGTACATGTAATGTTTGGTTAATTTCTCTGATATTTATGTGCCCAGTCGATAGATCCAAGACATATATTGTTTTTGTCCTGTCTGTTTGTCTGTTTATCTGTTTGTCTGTCTGTCTGTTGTCAACTTTAACCTTTGCCATAACTTTTGAACCATGAGAGGTAGAGACTTCATATTTGGTATGCATACTGCACCAATGAAACTCTTTCAAATGACATCAAGGTCAATGACCTTGTGACCTTGACTGTGACCTATATGCTAAAAATAGCTTTTTCGAACTTTCGCCATAACTTTTGAACCATTAGATGAAGAAACTTTATATTTGGTATACATACTTCTCTAATAAAGCTCGTTCAAATGACATCAAGGTCTATGACCTTGTGACCTTGACTATGACCTTTGTGCTAAAAATAGCTTTTTAGAACTTGCACCATAACTTTTGAACCAGGAAAGATAGAGACTTCATAGTTGGTATGCTTATTTCACTAATTAAGTTCTTTCAAATGACACCAAGGTCAGTGACCTTCACTGTGACTTATCTGCTAAAAATAGTTTTTTGAACTTTGTTGCCATAGGGCGCATAGTGTTTCACAAACACATCTTGTTTTTAGATTTAAGATACACATACACGGTCTCTTGGCCTTTTTTTTCAGTTTACTGGCTCAGTGTTCAAATCTCCTGGCCTTTGGAGTGGTGTTTTGGTTCGATTTTGAACATTTTCATCACATTGAGTAAGTATGAACTCCCAATTATTTTGAAATGCATTACTGAGTGGTTTACAAGTTTCTTCTTTTTCCAAATTAAATCGTATAAAATTGATATCACATTGTTTCAAAGCATTGTTCACATACATGTAACTGCTTTATGTTCTAACTCTTAAACATTTTTTTGTTTCGTCTGTTTGCTGGTTTGTCCAAAACTCATCTTTTGTTCATATTTTGATCGCTTTGTGTGTCTCATATTTTGTTCAGATCATGATATCTATTGAACATGCTTCTTAGGAATCAAAAACAAATCACAGAATGACTGAAACTGTCCAGTTTCAGGGGAACCGTGCTTCATCTACTTGTTATTAATAAGACCAATATCAGATCACATGCTTTTAACACATATACTCTGTTGTTTTTCAGAAGGTAGTTACTTAGAAAAAAAATCTCAAGGTTTCGTAACAACTGTAGTTATATGCAAGGGTGTCCTGGTTTCCTTTTTGAGCAGTATTATAATGAATTAACATTTTCTGTTTCTGCACTATTGGATAGACCTAATAGACCTATTTTACACAATTGTTCTGACTTTTCTTTTCAAAATTATTAAATGACATATTTATTCTTTTTCATTTTATAAGATTAATTCTGATGCTAGCTTTAATTAACACAAGAATTTGTTATATTACTAATTAGCACTAGCAGGTATCAGAGAAAATTTTTGTTTGCTCTAACCCTGGCTTTGGCTCCCTCACATTTACCCAGTAAGGTCATTCCAAGTTTTTTCTATGTTTAGCGTCCGCGTGCACCTTGGTTTTTGACACCCCATGTAAGAAAAAAACACACAACATCAGGAGTCCTGAAGTTGATTGATTTAGTCGAAGTTTTTGAATTTTGTCAATTTTTCCAAATAATTCTGTACAGTAAGTTATTTTGGGTGTATTTTATGCATTTTATCCCTTGTTTTTGCTTAAGGATAGATATTTCTTCTATTAATGCAGTTTAAAGATCAAATCATAAAGAAATTTAATGCATTTTAAGCCTGTGTTTTATGTTTTGGTGTGTGTGTTTTTTGCAAATAGGTAGGTAGGTTTTAGAAAGATGGGTGAACGCTAAACAGAGGAAAAACTTGGAATGGCCTAATATACAGTATAGTTGTTTATTATCAACTGGCACTACTTCATTTTCCTCTGAATTTGTGCTAAATCTGAAACAAAATTCGTTCATATTATGCAATACTGATGGTCAGAATGTGATTAAAATGTAGAAAAATAAACAACCATACTAGTACAAAACAAGACTCCTTTATTTGTAGGCTAGACCAATGGGGATAGGACTTTAAAGCAAAAAATTAAAAGAGATGGATTTTACAAAGTATATGTACCATATTTAATGTGGCTAAAAATTCTTTCAGTTAATGCACATAATCAATACAATCAACTCTATCATCACTTTATATAACTGCACATGCATACTTGAATACTTGACACTTTGTCATACAGCAGATATCTGTGTTACATTTGTAGTCAGAAATTTATGTAAAATTCTAATCGAACAAGAAATATTTAATATTTGAAATTGAAAGAACTTTGTTCATGTGGAAATGACTTCATGAAACCTTATCTATCAACATGAATTATTGGTTTGTGATATACAGTACTGTACATGTTTTAAAGAAGATTTTATTCAATATTTTCAGAATTCATCCAAAGAATATGTCCATAAAGGGACTACCATTTTTCCTAGCCATTTCCATATACTGTTATGAGGTATTTGTAACATTTATTACAGACTTGGCATAGTAATCTTAGAAGATGGGAAAAATTTAAGCACACACATTGCTCATTAAAATACACACAGATTTAAGGAAATGTTTATCATTGTTCAACTGTTCTATTGTACCCAAAGTTAAACTTGAGCTTACTATAGAGTTTTTCCTTTTACTTTGACCAGGGTGCTGGTATGATTTTGTCTCTAGAAGGATCACTAGCAGCTGACATCAGATACAAGTTCAGAAGGTCAGTATGGAAAATGGAACAGAGTTTTAGGGTCAATTTTAGACAATGCCAGTTTATAGTGCAATATACATGTATTGTTGTTTTTATTTATCACTTAGGTTTATATGAGATACATATGAAAATAAAAACACATTCCTCACATAAAACTATCTTTTCTTTTGTTTGAGTCATTATCTGTTTAGTTGGAAAAGTCAAAGATTACACTGCACAATTTTATTTATTATTGTCCAGTTATTTTGTAAAATATTTCAAAGCAATGGATTGATAGAAACCAATTTTCAATAGAAATGTCATAATTATGGCAATTTTTAGAAGAATGTATGTTTTTTTTCAATGTGTATCTTTTTTATTTTGGTTTACAGATATTTTATTGGTACCATGGTTATAGTCACAAGTTTATATATCTCATTTGGATCAGCTGGATATTTGGTAAGTTTAAGAGCTAAGCAGCATCAAATGGGCAGAATATTTCTAATTGCTACAAAATAGCAAATTATTTTGAATTTTTTTTCTTTTTTAGTCATTTGGACCAGAAACTAATGCCATAATTACATTAAATTTGCCAAAAGGTAAGCTATTTTTTTGATTTGAACATATTTTATTGTTTAACACAAAGGATCAGAAAAAAGTTCTTACAACTTACAATTCTTCTCCTGGTGTTAGTTAAGTTGATACAGTTAGTACAATTGTTATTACTTTTTATGTCACATCTATAATTCCTTGGGTTTTCATACAACAAACATATTGTAAGGTTAATTGTTTTTAATGTTGCATATGTAATTAATACTTATCTGCCCTTGCCAATCTATTTTTTTTCCAGGTGAATCAGGGATGGATTTTGCTATGATTGTCAAGTCCTTCCTTTGTCTTGCCTTATTTTTTACCTACCCAGGTAAGCTGACCTGTCAGAACTTAAATGTTCTTATAAACCAAGTACCGGATATTTGCTACAAATTAAAGTGTTTTTTTTTTTCAAGACTGAATAAAGAATCCTAATATGATTCATCAAATATTGAATAGGACATTTGGAGTTAAAATCACTTTGACATGTGAGATGTTGGTGTTGAAGATACATCATAATTAAGTAATTGCTGTTGATGATACCAACGTTCAGCTGTGTATGTTTTTTTCAGTAATGATGTTTCCTGTGATGAAGCTTCTAGAGAATTATCTGATTGTTGATGCTCACAAGAAAATATTAAAAGGGGTGAGTGATAATGATACAGGAAACTTGTCTAATGGGGAATATTGTCAAATCCAATCTGTATGACTATGTCTTCTGAAGGTACATGTATTTTTGTTTAAATCAGAACTTTCTTTTTTCAGAACCTCCTGAGAGTATTTACAGTGTTTATGACGGGTTGTATCGTGTTAATCATCCCTAACTTTGCCAATCTGATGGCCTTAGTTGGTGCTACATGCTGTACAATGTTAGCCTTCACTCTGCCGGGACTATTTCACATGTGTATATTTAAAGGGTAACGGATCCAATAGAACTTCTATCTACACTACATTTTGTCATCAAATTCATGAATTATAAGTGCCCTTAATATGTATCTTTTTGGAACATAAAAATGTAGAACAATGAGAGTGAAAAATTAACAACAGTAGTGTACAATTTGATAATACTTGTCAGTACACATTGAAAATATATTTCTTTTTACATTATTTGTATGTCTTATTTCAGAAATCTCAGTATTTACCAAGTGATCGTAGACTGGACATTGGTGTTCTTAGGAGTTGTAGGGTATGTATTGATAAGCAAATTCTATAACATACTAGTGTTCAAAACAGTCAGATTTTTTTCAAGATATTACTTGTGTGGAAGATATTACTGCCTTGTGTGGTAATATGTATGTGTTAAAATGAAAGACATTTGTATATATAAGATGAAGATCTCAAAAACATTTATTTGATATGAGACTTGCTTATAGCAGAAGTAAACAACACACATGCTGCAAGTAATATGTATGTGTATTAAAATGAAAGACAAACTTGCCACAAAGTATCCTTGGGTCTAAAACATACATGTATATATACATGTGGGAATTATTGAAAATTTAGTGGTATATTTTAAAAATACCACTGTGCCAGGAAAGATGAATGTTACGAATCTCAAAAACATTTATTTGATATGAGACATTGCATTACTTATAGCGGAGAATTTGTACATAGAAATATATAGGTAATCTAAAAAAACACACATGCTTTTGGATTTTTTTTTTTAAACTACCCTTTTTTTTTTTTTTTAAACATTTTTTGATTGATGAACTGTAATCGGTGTATGAGCTGATAAAGTCTGTCTGAATCAACAGTTTTGTTTTCCTCAGTTTGTCTTGTTATACTTTTTATCTTTTAATTTCTCATACATGAAGAAGTAATTCAGTTCAGATGATTGCAATAACAGAATTAACCAGCAGCGATGACCCTGACCTTCTTTTAATGGCTTCTTGTTGATCTTAATGTTTTGGAAGGAAAATTTTCTATTTTCACTTTCGTTTTTGCATCTTGCAGATTGCAAGTGGATTCTTTCTTCATTGTTAAAAGTGAACTTCAACCTTCTTTTATCATAGACATAGAAATGCTTCTGTTTTATGTTGATTCTTTGAAAAAATTATGTACATTTATTTCTAAAATTAATAGTATTGTCTGTTCTCCTTAATTATCACCTTCTGCTAGACCCACTGTATTATATGTATATATGTTTTATATGTATTTTGTACCTCATGTACCATTTACATGGTTTTGAGTGAATAAATTGAATTGAATTGTCCAGATCCACTGTTTCCAATTGGAAACAGAATATTTTGAAGTGATGTCACAACAGTTGTATTGTTTGTCATCAGTTTATTTAGCATATTTTGCATTCCAGCCATTGTGCTTTGAAAATTCAGCTAGGTGGCTTAAAATGTTTAATTTTAAGAAAGTTTATTATATAAATTTATCACCTGTAACCTTTTTCTTTTAGTGCAGTGATAGGAACCATTGATGCCTTACAGAGACTACACAGTGCAGGTAGTGAACCACTTGACATTGTCTCATCCAATCAGAATCTGACCAATGCTTTGTCATCAGTCATCAACTCAACTGAACATTCTGTATAGAAGTGACCTTCAGGTCAAGGTCACTAGTTATATATATGCTATGCATACTTTATTCTGTTTGTATATTTTTGGGAATATTTAATGATGCTTTGAAGTTTTATGTATACAAGGTTTCGTTTTGTAGCATTGTGATAAAATATTACTTGTTTGACTTGTCTAGTCTTGCTACTCCATTATTTGTGTCGGCGTTTGATTTTCAAAACAACATATCTAATTTGGTTGGGCCAGATATGTAAATGTTTGTCTGTTTATAGATGCTAGTATTATAAGACGTTTCAATACAATATACCTCTGTTTCTTCACAAAGAATTATGACTGAATGCTTAAAATATTATATCTATAAAAGACAATCAGATGGGTGTTTCTTTATTCAGTGTTGCTTGTCTGGTACAAGTTGCTGACTGGTTTATTTTTGTAGCTGATGACCAGAGGTTTATTTTTCTATTAGTTTTCATCTTTAAATTGATGTTTGTAGAACACCTTTTTAACATCTTTGCATTAAGTTAGTGCCATGAATTTAAAATTTGATTGTTCAGTGAAAGGGGCCAAACCTTTCTAATTTTTTTTAAAAAAGTGCATAAATTAAATATTTTTTTTGTTTTAATCATGGAAGAATTTTATTATAGGATCATCATCTGGAAAAAAATAATTTTAGAATGCCATTTAATTTTTAAAGGTCAAACAAAAGAAATATGTGAACATTCATTTGTTATTAAGCTAAACTTTAAATGTACATCAAAAACTCATTGATGGTCATTAAGTTTACAGAAATACATTTAAAAATAAAATATTTTTCCATTCTTAAATTCACTTGAACAGTATATTATGCTATGCTTGCATTCAAGTGGGTAGATAGTACAAAGTGAGAAAATTGTTTATTTTACATGTAATTGATTATATAGCGCAGACAATATACACACTATGTACTTGAACATCATTATAAAAAAATCACAGATTATGAATACTTCTGTAATATTCATTGTATTTAAATGCATTATATGTTCAATAATTGAATGTATGACAATATTTTTACTTAATGTTTTATAAACTTAATGTATTATAACGGACCAAGTCTTTCAGGGGTCACCCAGTGTTTGAGTTACATTGTTACATTGATAGGACATTGCTACATTGTGTTTTCTATAGGCCGATTTCATGTTTACTTAATGTTTTATAAACTTAATGTATTATAATGGACCAAGTCTTTCAGGGGTCACCCAGTGTTTGAGTTCAATGTTACATCGATGGGACATTGCTACATTGTGTTTTCTGTGGGCCTGTTTTAGGTTACATAGGGTACATTTAGTGTAATATAAAGATGTGCAGCTGAATTCATTAAATCACATTTTGTCTTTTAAACTGTATTATTCTAGTACAACAAATTTGAAATGCAAAAATTCACATATTACCATTAATTATTTTTTAAATGTACAGTAATCCTTGTCTGATCCAGGTATTGTGTATTCCACACTTTTCCTATAATAATGAAAACTTCTAGTGTTTTTGATTAAATGCAAGGGATTTTTAAATTGCCTCTAAGTTTTTGACTGTAAAGTGTAATTTATGACTTTATTAGGGCCCCGCAAGGATTTGCGGGTGCCCTATAGTAATCACTCTGTCCGTCCGTCTGTCACTCTTCCGTCCACAAATTTTCTGTTTTTTTCTAATAACTTTTTTTATTGTTGCCCAATCAAGTTCAAATTTGGTATGGTAGTTCAGTAGGCAGAAATACATATTTTGATGCTAAGTTTGGTTCTCTATGTCTTCTGGTTTGGAGCTGGGGTAGTGGGGTAGATTCCTTAACTATGCATAAGAATGAATGGGCAACTTTTTTTATGGTTGCCCAATCAAGTACAAATTTGGTATGTTAGTTCAGTAGGCAGAAATACATATTTTAAAGCTAAGTTTGGTTCTCTATGTCCCCTGGTTTGGAGTTGGGGTGGTGGGGTAGATTCCTTAACTTTATATAGGAAAGCATTGGCAAAGAGAGATAACTGCTGAAGATGTTCCCATTGTAAACTGAATGCTGCTATGAGTCCCTTGGGATTAATTAGCTTTCCTCCTGAAGAAAATCTAGAGCATTATCTTTATCTGTCAAATTGAGATGAATTACCACCTCTGTCTGCAAATGAAGTTTGTTTTGAAGTTAAGTCAATTTGGAATGCTATGAACACTCTGAAATGTGGATTTAAATATAAATTTTTATAATTCATTTTTGTTTAATAGTTATGATTTCATTGAATTCTAATAACAAGAAATAGATTAAAGAAGATTTTTTGATTTACTTTTTTCACTTTATGTTAATTCAAGAATATTATTAATTTTTAGGATAGTTGTATTAAAACCCCATTCTATCATTAATACTGAAAAAGTTTTCCTTGTAACTTCAGAAGAAATGATGAGAGAGGTACAATTAATCCCTTGGGATTAATTATCTAGCCTGCTGCAGAAAATTTAGTAGGCTTTTCTTTATCTGTCACTTTAAGATTAATGAAAACCTTTGTCTGCAACTGGTGTTTGTTTGAAGCCTTCATGATATTTGCATTCATTGAAGGCTGGCATTTTATATAACACAAGCTTCATAATTGTTTAAATATACATTCAATTTTAAGTTGTTCTTTACTGCCTAATGTAAATACAAGGATATTATTTTCAGGTTTTTGAATATTCAGGAATTATCTTGAAATTTTAAGAATACAGTTGCTGTTGCTTATTCTTTGTACATTTTTCAATCATTCCGTAAGCTGCACCCTATTAATTCTACATGGCGGGGCCCTTGCTGACTGGTCAGTTTTCTAGTTGTTGTTTCATTTTTGATATTTAAAGACACATTTGCAATGCTTTTTTCCTTGAAATATTTTAATTTTAAAACTTTAACTAACGATAGTTCAATGAATTAAACATACATGACAATTCTGAATATTCATTAACTATGACATTCAGATTCTTCATAATCTGAAAATGAACACTTGTGTTAATAAACATGGACATAATCTCTATTATAGGTAATATTTTGGTTTAACCAGATGTATGGTTTGCTAACACTGCACACATCACTGAACATGACAGAAAACATTTGCTCTCTTTCATTTCTAATTGTGTCTTTTCATACATGTAATTACTTGAAATGTAAATGGGGGAGGGGTGTTGTTATTAATTATGCTAATAAGAAACAAGAACATTAATAATCATTGGGGTTATTTCCACAATATTAGGATTGTGTATTAACAACTGAAATTGAAACTTTTTAAAAGCACTGGTACGCAAAGGTATTTTTCCATGCTTTTACTATATGAATTACTCCTTAAATATTTCCATGTTTACTTTTTAGTTTTCATATTTTTTCAATCGTTAGACTGCAGTTTTATGTATTTTCTTCAAATAAACATCTTTTATGGATCAGATATGATTTTTTGTTTTAAGATTAGGGAAAAAACTGGATAGCTTAGATTATTTTCCAGATTTTGTTTTGTATTTAGATAATATAGCTTCTCCAGAGTTACATTCTTATATATATATTTTAGATTGAAGATGTTGATATTAAAATATTATGGAGGGTTATCTGAAATGTTGTTTTGCAAATAAAAAAAGGATTAATTACATTCTGCGTTAGTGCTATAATTTTTTTAGTTCTGAAAGATCAGAAGAGATTATCCCTAAAAATGAGTTCAGTTTTAAAAATGTCCACTAAAGAATAGGGCTAAAGACAAGGAAAGGTGATGACTAACTTTTCAGTCATTAACTTGCCCTATTTTTGCAGCAATATACCTTCATCACCTGTGTACAGGGTTTATCATTATTTATACACTGAATTGACACCGGGTTTTTCCGTCATTTCCCGATCATGACAAGGAGCACACGGTGGTTGTGACTGATTGGTAGGGGATGCTTACTCCTCCATGACATCTGATCTGATCTCTGATGCTTTGGAGGTTGGAGTTTGCTCTTCTCCTATTTTGTAATGTTTTATGGACTTTTGAGCTTGAGTTCTGTTCGTTATCTCCATATATTTCATCACACTAACACACTCAAGATACAAAATATTATATACAAGTAATACAAAAATATTGTTATTGATGAATAAGTAATTCAAAGAACTTATAGGGAATCAAATGTGTGAAAGATTATACTTATACTGTAATTTTTGAAAAAAAAATGATTAAACTATGAAAATTTGATTAAGATATCTTATCTGGAAACGAGAGGGTTCGAGTTATCATGTCAACTTTGTATTAACTAGGGAAGGTAAAAACTTTGTATTAACTAGGGAAGGTAAAAACTTTGTATTAACTAGGGAAGGTAAATACAATATTAAAATATTTTCTAATTTTTGCATTAATCTTACCTTGTTTACTTAAAAATAACAAAATACCACATGCAATTGTAGGCATAACCTTACAGTTACACCTTATTCAATCCAGGGGCTTGTTCGACACTTTTTCACAAAAATATCTCATGAATACTGTTTGGAGGTTAATAGTGATAAAATAAAACAATACTCAAATGAGACGATCTCAGGTATGTAACATTTCGTCGTTATTAACCCCCAAACAGTACTCACATGATACGTTCTCGACTGTGTAAAATTTAATCATTATTAATAAAGACGAAATGTTACACACCTGAGAACGTCTCATGTGAATTATTTTCGGAGGTTAAAAATGACGAAATGTTATACACCTGAGAAAGTCTCATGTGAGTACTGTTTGGGGGTTAATAGTGACGAAATGTTACACACCTGAGAACGTCCCATGTGAGTAATGTTTGGAAGGTAATAATGACGAAATGTTACGCACCTGAGAACGTATTATGTAAATACTGTTTGGGGGTTAATAGTGACGAAATGTTACACACCTGAGAACATCTCATGTGAGTACTTTGGAGGTTAAAAGTGACGAAATGTTACACACCTGAAAACGTCTCATGTGAGTACTATTTGGGAATTAATAGTGACGAAATGTTACACACCTGAGAACGTCCCATGTGAGTACTGTTTTGGGGTTAAAAGTGACGAAATGTTACACACCTGAAAACGTCTCATGTGAGTACTATTTGGGAATTAATAGTGACGAAATGTTACACACCTGAAAACGTCCCATGTGAATAATGTTTGTAGGTTAATAATGACGAAATGTTACGCACCTGAGAACGTCTCATGTGAATTATTTTCGGAGGTTAAAAATGACGAAATGTTATACACCTGAGAACGTCTCATGTGAGTACTGTTTGGGGGTTAATAGTGACGAAATGTT